TTTCCTCTAATCTTTATTTCGACTATAATTTATCTCTATTCTCTAGTAGTATAGAGCTTATAAGGGTCTAATAATATCTCTATAACCTCTATATCTCGAAGTAGGTCGGTCTATATATAGTACTATATTACCTATTTCTATAAACGATAGAGTATACTTAGGTGTAAGGTATAGGTATTAGGGACCGGGGCTTTCTACTAAGTAAACTCGCCTATTTGTCCTTTAATAAAGGAGACTCGCTCTTAGATACGCTTCCCTAGAGTCCTACTAATAATTTCCTATATATCTCCTAGTTTAAGGAGATCGTTTAAGTAGAGTAGCTATCTAATTAGTTTAAGTAGCTCGATAGTAGTCTTCTAAGTACGTTCTTACTAGAATACTACCCTTTTAATATCTACGAAAAATACTTTATAACGTATACTAGTTACGGGTTTCTCTCTCTATATCTAATAGTCGGCGGTAAACTTTTAGCTATTCTAGGTTTTCTAGATATTTCCTTCTTCTATTATCTCCTAGAAGTACTAGTACTCTCTACTTTTTAGAACTACCTCCTCGGGTTAGTAGGCCGAGGGGCTATCGGGTTCTAAGTCTATCTAGTATAAGAAGTCTCTAATCCTATATTTCTTAGTTATCGGAGAGTCTTCGGATTTTATCTAGACTACTAAACTAAGTTTAGTAGCTTCTTACTTACTCTAATTACCTTTTAGTAGAGTAGCTTTGTCTATTACCGCTAGTTATCTAGTAGGGCTAAACTATTTTTTCTAGCCTTTCTATAGCTTTCCTTTATAATAGAAGCTAGCTATATAACCTTCTTTTCTATATTTAAAGTAGAGTCTCTTCTCTCTTCGACGTATTCTTTTCTTATTTAAAAGTTTCTTTTTATTCTTCTTTAAGGCGTTAAGTTCCCTTCTACTAATTATATTAAGTTCTATTAGATTATAGTAGTAGTTCTTTATTAGACGTATATAGTAAGAATAGACTCTTTTCTTTTTAATACGTTACTTATACGCTTAGTTATCGATTTTAATAGCGGCTTTACTTAGCGCGTAAAGGCTTTTAAGAGGATCTATACGTAATAATTCGTCCTTTATAAATTCCTTTAATTCTCTATAGAATAATATTCTTAGGGCCTCGTCGCCTAGTTCTAACCGAGCTAAGGTTTACTAGAATTCGACGTTATAATAGATAGCTAACCCGGTCTAAGTAAGCTTAAGTAGGGCTAACTCTAATTTCTTCTTAATATCGATATCTCTAAAAGCTCTCCTTATCCTAGCTATAAATTCCTTTAGTGTTTTAAAATAATCTTTAACGAACTAGAAGTAAACTATAGATACTAGGCCTATTTAGGTCTTATTCTCCTAGTAATTACTAATATAAGGTTCGATCTAGTTATAGGCTCTTCCCTTAAAACGTAAGATTAGAAATAAAACCTTATCTATTTTATTTCTAAACTTATCTCTATAAAAACCTATATAGAGTTAGGCCTTTATAATAAACTACTCTAGGTTAGCTAGAGTTCTATTATACTTATCGGGTAGAGGGATTTATAAGCCTTTCTTTACTTCGATTACTATTAGGGTTAGTAGCGGTAGTACTAAGGTTTCTACGACGCTTCCGGCTAGACTAGTAACGTTTAGAGCTATTATTAATAATCTAGTACTTACTAAGAATAGATACTTAAAGTATAATAATTCGGTTCTACTCTAGGTAGACTAAGGTTATCGTAAGGTTAGTATATTAATAAGTAGACGTAAGATTATTACTTATAGATTTAGAGATCTATTTATTATAATAAGAGTAAGTTAAATAGATAATATACTATTACTATAATAAGTTAAGTATAAAGCTCCTATCTAAGGAAATTATAGTCTTTATATAGAACTTTCTTTCCTTAAGTTCGATAGGTTCGCTAGTTAAACCCGTCGAACTTCTAGCTAGTTTAATAGGTTCGTCTAGCGAACTTATCGAACTTCTATTATTACGTAATAGTACCTTAAACCGGGGCCTATCTACTAATATAAATATTACTAATATTAACTAAATTAAGCTATTAGACGGCGGTCTTAGAAACTACCTAGTTCCTGTAACCTCGCCTAATCCTAGGACCTTTAGTCCTAGAAGTATTACGACACCGAGGCCGACGCTACTCGTAACACGATAATAACGGGGCTTTACTATTAGAGTATAGTTCTATATACTACGAACGTACTAAATATATAGCGGTTAAATACTACTATATAAGAAATCTTATATTAGAAGGTATAATAGACTTAATCTATATACCTACTAAGAATTAAAAGGTAGACGGATTTACTAAGCCTTTAGATAAAGTTAAATTTAAGAAATACCTTAAACACCTTAGTTATAAGATTTAAAAAAATAAGAAAATATCTAAGAAAACTAAGATATTTAAGAAAAAGAAGAATCTTAATATTAACTATAAATAATATAAGTAGTTATTAAGAGGGCGTATAAGTATTAGGTAATAAATACTTATATTATACTATAGTACTTATAAAGAGTCTATAGTAAGTATAGAATATTCTAGAAAGTAATATTACTAAGGTAGTAAAGTTTATTTCTAAGCGAATATTCTAGAATAAGAATATTACTAATATTCTTATTAATATTAATAATAGTAACTAGTTAATTTCTAATAAATAGAATCTTCTAGAGTTAAGGTTTCTACTATATAAGGGTTCTTTAGTTCTAAGTAGATAGCTTCTCTCTCTAAGTAATTTAAGTCTTTTATATTCGAACCTTAAGTCTCGCGACTATAATAATTACCGCTATTCTCCTTACGTTATATCTATATATACTTTATATCTATATACCTATATCTTTTAACCTAATATCTAGTCTATAATAATATATATTACTTTCTTATAATAATTATTATAATAAATATAGATTTTACTTATTTTACTTTTTAATATATAGTAAGATATTAAATAGTATTTAGACTAATTTCTTTAATTTATATTTAGCTACTTTATATATATTAGAAATATATAAGATATATATAAATAAAAGTAAATATTAATAAATTATTAGTTTAATTATTAGATAACTTAAAGAAATTTCTCTAGAGTATATACTTTAAAGAATATAATAGATCTAGAAGAAATATATATCTATATATAGAATAACTCTACTTTACCTTTTAGTCTATCTATTTAGTTAGCTAGCTAGAGAAATATACTTAATTTAATTACTCTCTTACTAACTCGAGTATAAAGTCTTTTAATATCTAAGTAGGTAGATTATTATTTAAGTATAGAGCCTACAGGATTATATTTCCATTTAAATCTACTAGCAAACTCCCTTACTTACATATATTTCAATTAGTGGTTTAAGTATATAACACTGCCAAATGTTGCGGTAACTTTCAGCGACTATAACAATGTTCTTGCAGCTGCCAATTCTATTCAGAAACCCTTAGAGGAGTATGCAAGCTGCCATACCCCTAGCGGTAGGCCTACATGTTCTTTATTGACACACCACTGTATTCATGAAGGATACTTCTTCAAAAGGCATGCCCTTGAAATCTGGCAGATCACCACCCAAAGCCACTGTCAATAGTTTCTTCTGCTGGAGATGCAACCTGGGGAATGGGCTGCTATCCCTCCCGCTTCTGTCGGATTTAACTCTCCTATCAACATTAATTGTTTAAAACCACATTCATCCGCTGTCAACGCCGCAACCAGTCTCACTGTGGCGTTTGAGTACGTTTTGGAATGTATACATTCTATTAATCAATCGGCTCCGAACTTCGGCCCAGAAGGCTTCAAATCTCCAGTGAGTATTTGATCGGATATCATAGTAATGGTCCTCTTGGTTGCACTCACAAACGTATGAAGGCTGAATTCATGATGTTTGGTAGACTCATTCTACCGTAAGACGCTTTGTTTTTGCCTGCTCTGAACAATTTTAATCATCCATTTGCCTCAGCAAGCAGTATGATGGTATATGCCTCTTTCAACGCGACAACTTTAAGTCCAGACTACAAAACAAAGATTTCAACCCACATATTCGCTAGCAACATCTTCCCGGTGTCCCGCTCGTTTCGCTGAGTGCAAATTCATGATATTACGGCAGTAGAGCTGTAAGGATGAGGCACCTAATCACGAACACTCACTTTGGTCTCTGGCTTGGCAGGTTTCTTTATGCCCAGAAAGCTTTGGCAATCCTTCCCTAATGCTTGCTAACTCAACACAGAAACTACGTGTCCCTGAACTCAAGGACTGCAGAAAATTTAACTACACTTGTCTAGCTCAAACCCGAACCATCCTTCCTATATTCCAATGATTTTTGCTGACGCATTTATGACACCCAGTTTTGGGGACGTGCCTCCCACCGAAGCTGTTTTGGTAGTGGTAAGACAAAAGTCAAATAGGACGGCGACTCTTTGTCAGAACTAATGAAGTTAACAAGATACTGTAATGGCAGTGTAAATTTCAACATGGCAGTACATTTGAGAGAGAGGTATTGAATGATTTATCCTTTCGAACGGGGCTCCAGAATCGGGAGCGTACTCGTTACTAATAGAATGATATATGATAGCTCGACTGAACTGGGCAACCTCGCTCAAATCTGAATTCCCCTGGGGGAGGCTCGTTATTAAGAGGAGTAACTTGACAATCTTAATGGCAGGCTTGGCGACCTGTTGATGTGCTCATTTTAACCCGGTGCGCAGCTTGCCCTAAGGTTCGTCTATTGTCCTATTTACATTATTTGTTCACGACACATGACTACAGAGTCAGATCATCAGGGGAAACAGTATAAGCACAATGGTAAGTAGTATATTGATTCATTCGACCAGCTAATTGAGAGCATTCCAGCATCTCTTGAGCAAGTCCTTATCAAATGTGTCCAATAAACAACAGATCCGCTGATAATGTGTAAATTTACATAAACAGAAGTGTAGTCACTAAAGCTGCGTCCATTTCAGAACCTCGCGATGAGACTACCGTGATTAACATGCAAAGTAAGAACATGTCTCAATGATAATGTCTGCCACCACTTATAACGGACCCCGAGGCAGAATTACTTGATTCTCGACCAGCCTCTAGTATACGATTGGCAAGAGTGACAAGCATTGAAAGTCGCTTTAGATTTGGATCATTTGCCGAGATAACGCTCACGCGCATGAATAGATGCTCAATACGTTGTATGTATATACCCATGATCTTCGGAATAAGTTCTCGTACTTGCTCCTCCTACATGATCGTTAGCACGTGCACAGAGGTAATGATACTTTAAGGAGTTCCACTCACAAGTTCGCCAGCGTTGAGTCTTCCTTGAAAAGCCGCTAGAATGGTCTCCAACCAGCTTATTCTCTGCAGAAGATACTGATCCTCGAGGTTGATGGTAATAGTTGCGCCGAGCGAGAGTAACAGGAGTGGGCTGAGACTTTGGACGAAATTGGGGTTGAACTTGGAAAAGAACCTCCTGAAAAAGTCTTGTTCGCGGCGGGTCTGAAGCCATTGAATGACAGCGTTCTCGTAATTGCCTTCGTTCATAGCTTCTTGGATACTGGCTAACATCTCGAGATACTCTGCCTCCTCAGGCGATTTCTCTGACGCTGCGGTTTTTGGTTGGCTCTCCACAGAGACGCTAGACTCGGTTTGCCGTGAGACCTGGCGCTTATCACCGGTAGCTTGCTTCTGAAGCTTTAGAAATTGCCCTTGGAACTCAGCTTGAGCAGCAGCCATCGATGAGACAGTCTCAGTCAGACCCGTAACAAGTTGAGTTAATTGCTCAATTTTGATGCTATCTGTATGTCGCTGTTGTTCGATCAGAGCGATTTGCTCAGATGCCTGTCGCTGTACATCGCTTGAGATCTTCTGTGTGGTTTGGAGAGCAAGTTCGGTGAAAGAAGGGACGATGACACCTTGTAGAAGATTAGAAAATTGTTCTTCAACCTGAAATGCAACACTCTGCGCAAGCGAATCGGACATGAGTTTCAGAAGCTGAGGCTGATGAAGAGCCCTGGCTATCACGTCTGGTAAACTCTTATGGAGTTCCAACGGGACAGTTTGCATGACCTGTTCCTTTAGTTTGGAGCCCAATTGCTCATTTACGGCCTTTGACGCTACTTCGGTAATAGCCGGAAGGACAGACTTTTGTATACTAGCCCCGACAATGCGGCCAAGCGTTAACTCAATATTGTCCGAAAGCGTGCTTGAAACCAAACGAAGCATTGCGTCTTGCTTCGCATCGGCCACGGCAGTCTGCGTACGTCTATCATCTGTGATGTCTTTTTTCAAAGAGTCCAATGATTCGGCAAAGGACTTCTTGACTTCCGCAGCGACGCGAGCCTCTATACCTTTGAGAACAGCGTCACTGACTTCTTGTGTTTGCGCCGCAACACGATTGTTGTTGTTAGCCTTAGGCATGTTACCATTCCGAGCGTGAGAAGAAGGATCGAGGACGATGGCCTTTGCTTGTGTAGGCTGTGGTGTAGAGGTTGAGCCAGGGTTCTCTGACGATGAGTTTGCCTTTCTCCGTTTTTTCTTTTCTGCCTTCTCGACCGTGGCAGTGGCTGCAGGCGAAACTCCATTAGAAACGACATTATCCTTCTTTTCATCAAGTTTCGTCGTTGAGCTAGAAATATCTGCAGGAGCTGTCTTCTTTGGAGCTTCTTTTGGCGTGAATTCCTTCGCAGAAGGCCGTGGGATGCTTTGTGGTGGCAGAGACGCAGCAGCAGCTTCGCCAGCATCGGATGGGGGAGCAGCTGGCAACTCATTGAGTGAATCAATTGAGATGATTCCAGACTTCTCCGGAGATGCAACAAGATGAATCACTTTGTTATCTAGGGTCCAACCCAGATCAGCTTGCTTGATGACCAGACAAGTTACGCCCTTGGAATGCATGCAATAAAGCTCGAACATTATGGGTGCCTCGCCTTCAACCAAGTTGACATTCGTGTTCGACAGAAGATCAACGCTTCTAAGTGAACCTTTGTTCGCAAAAGAGTATTCTCGCATTCCGCTGATCACGGCAGTAGAATCTGGCTTCAGAACCGTCGGATCATTAGAGAGTATCTTTTCCATATACTCAGTTTGGGTAATGGACTTTGGCAAATTATACTTCGGCGCTGACAAGTGAAGGAAGTAGATTGAATTGCGAGTGGGGTGACCAACGATAATCATGCCCGTGGCGGCGTGATACAGTACGCTACAAACGGCATCGGATTCTTTGCTGTGTGGCAAGTGTATCTCCTGCACCGGCTTTTGAAGCGCAAGGTCCCACAACTGCAAGGTATGGTTCTGCTTCATGCCGACTATCATATAACGTAAAGCACCACCTTTTTGATATGGTCGGAGCTTGTCAACGAACAAGACGGAAGTTGGCCAAGACTTTTCATTTGCGGGCGTGGTGGTAAAAGTCATGAGGGGCTCCTTGACCTCAATGTGCTCAGAATTGAGTCCATTGTTTTTGGTGAGACTTCGAATGTCCCAAAACTTGACTTTTCCGGCCTTGTCGAGGGAAACAATCGTGGAATCATCCTCACTAAAAGTGAAATCCTTGCCAGCCTTCCCAGCATTGATCTTGAGTGATAGATGGCTAAGGTATTTGTCCGTATCAACCAGACGACCCTTTCCATGTTTCAGAAAAGAGCGCTTTAAGATGACAGATGGGAAAATGATGTGGATGAATTTTCCACGACCGACGCCAAAGTACTCGGGGTGATTTGAACTCTTTCGAGCTCTGGTTTTCAAAACACCACCGGGAGTTTCGTTGTCTTGAGATTGAACAGGCGGCAGAGCAAATCCATACATTTCCGGCATAGAATCATCAAGATGGTCTCCTTCACCATCCTTGATCAACACCCAGTAAACCGTGCCGCTCACGCCAGTAGCAATCACGGCCTCTTTCAAGTCGGATTGGGAGGAAGAGGTGACGATACTGAAAATTCGATCTTGCGTCTCTGTAAAAACCCGAGCATCTTTTCCGTCCTCCTGCCTAATGATACGAACACCACCATTCTTAGACATTCCATACACGATGAATGTCCCAGAAGCTGTGACAAGGGTACGATCAATCTGGTCGAATTCTTTCTTCAGACGGGCAATATCCATTATCGCCTCCTCTCGGAACGTAGGACGAGGTTCGTCTGTGGACTTTATATGGATAGAGATCCAGGGCTTCATCGGAAAATTATAAACCTTCACGATGTGTTCCTCCTCTGCCTTGGACGGACTATCTTCAGCCTCTGCGTCAGCACTTTCCCAACTATCTGCAATATGACCTTGAGCAGTTTCGTCAATTATACCCTTAACAGCCTCGGCGACAGGGGTAGGTAACCCATCCAGGGCACCACTATTTTCCTCCTTCTCGAGCTCGACTTTGATGGCTTGGGCAGTATGTTCGGCTTGCGCTTTGAAATCACTGTCTGATTTCGCTGACAATAGATCTCTAAGGTCTTGCTCGATGGAAGCCTGATTTTCATCCCGCTCCGCACGTGCGATTGCCTCCTGAACTTGCTTGTCAACTCTATCACCAACTTCGCTAAGAGCATTGTGCACAGTTTCCTTCCCATTCTGCGCTCCTGTGCCTGCAGCACCGATACCAATTAAGGCCTCAAGCGGAGTGCGTCCATCTGGAAGAGGAGTGGGCGGGGCAGATGATTGTTGAGATACTGAATCAAGTCTTCGCTTCGAGTGGGCTGGACTTGATATCGTGCTTCGTTCGTCCATCTTACGCTTGTTATCCGGAGAAGACTCGTGTCGTGGGTGTTTCAGAATCTGGATCGCTGGAGCTGAAGCGCCTGAAATGGCGGGCCCAGGCGTGGCAGCTTTGGGTGTCCGATTTCGAGGCGAAGAAGCCGCCAACTGCTCAAAGGGGTTGACATAGGTGAAAAGGCCTTGAGCAGTCTGGCTAGCCAGTTTGCTGGGCTCTTTCGCGAGCGAGGGATTGCCTTCGGTGGCGGATGAACCCATCAAGTTCAGATCCAGAGAAGCCTCTTTCAAAGCTGCAGAAAGATCTTCGACAGCATCTGGTGTGCTCGTCTTGCTTGAAGGTGTTAAGACGTTAGCTGATTTCACCTGGAGTGCTGGGTCTGATTGAGCCGGCTTTGGCTGCTGTAGCAAATTCAAAAGATATGCTTGAGTGTCTGCCGGTGGCGGGGACGCAGAATTGGTGAAAGTAGCGCGTGGCAAGTCTGTCTCGGGCTTGTTTTCTTGCGCAGATCGAGAATGGGAACCCATCAAGGCTGCCAACAGATCGGAACCACCTCGTCCAGGAGCAGAGGCGCTGACCTGTCCTTGCACCTCAGGGCCACCAAAGCTCATCGACGGCTGGCGCGACGGAGGCAATAGCGTTCCAATTAGTGCTAGTTGATGTGGTGAGCCGGACGAGGGTTGACTGAACTTGAGAAGATTGAGCAGACTGGAAGTGCGATCAGCATTGGATGAGCCTCCAGTCGCTGTCGCGATTCGTGGCTGAGCAGGTTCGGCAGGACTCATGACGGCGAAGGTGTGATGAGGGTGTTGATTGTGTATCGGCGGTGTTGGCAAAGGTGAGGAGACGGAGGGCTGGTGATAGCTTCCCAGTACAGATTGCTGCGATGAAGAAGGCTGATGGCCATAGAAGGCTGGGTTGCTGCCGCTACCGCCGCCGTTGCCGTTGTTGTAGTAGCTGTAGCTGGGTTCTAGATTGACGGGCTTGGATTGTTGTTGGCGGAGCTGGGCAAACAGCGAATCCAATCCATTATTACCGCCCTCGCCGGAGCCGCCAGGATATCCAGACATGGGCAAAGTGATGTTCGAATCGAAGCGCACCGAAGGCGCGGATAACGTCGTTAAAATGCTCTGAAAAGCTCAATAGAGGACGTGAAAATACGCAAGAAAGAGACTTAACGTGACCGATGGAAGAGAAACACCGCCGCGACAGCTCTTGCTCGCGAGCAAGGAGAATGTCGTGGATGGAAGTGTTATGATGGAAGTTTGTTTGGAGGTGAAGAGCAAACGACAGAAGTCGATGATGGAAAATGTATTGGAGCTTGGACCTTTGGAGGTGATGCTGCTTGGGGCGTCGTGGCGGCCTTGATTGGCTGAGATCGGGGAGGTGGGGCGCGACTTCCTCGCGAATCTTGAAGTTGAGGATCTCGTCTCGTCTGCTTGTGTCTGTCTGGACTCTGGGCCTTCCTTGGACCTCCCACCATGATCCGGAGATTCAGTTGTACGAATACCTTCATCGACAATCACATTAACAATTACGAGTGATACCATTACCCGCCACCACTGCTCTACCTCCTCTCCTCTTCCCACACGCGGCCACGCTGGCAGCACCATCACGCAGAAGATCCCGCGGTCGGCCTGTCCTCGAGTCCCAAGCCACAGTCGGTACAAAGGTTGCCAAATACACATCCATCCATCCATCCCTCCATCCCGATTGTCCACACTGCAGCCATCTGAATCGACGAGTTGTATGCAGATACCCCCGTGTGCAGGTTTGGTGATGACTGCGTCCGAGCTGGCTGAAACACGCAGCACCGATAGATAGCAACAATGTTCTGCTTAAGGAGGTATGTAATCCAGACTACAGATATGGTTTCCCCTCTCGCCCCCTTCTCACCCTCATTTATATCTATATCACCAGAAAAGTGCGCTGACTCTCCCAGCTGGTTACCCCTCCTTTTCATACCTACCAATGCTTCACCAATATTCATATTCCTCTTTTTCATATGCACATATTTTTTAAATCGGCCATGCGTGTATTGCTCCTTTCTCCTCCTGATACTCTTCGCCTCCTCGTGTCACTGGTCCGACCATTGTTTCTTCGATTTCAGCAGCAATTGGTTTGAACCGAGAGCTTCCGGCTCGAGTCTTTCGTCTGGAGTTGGCGGTTGGTCTGGAACTTCAAACTATACCTTTGATAAGATTGGGATATATACTGGCGCTATAAACAACACAGCTTTTGCTCTTGTTGGAACCGCTCTGGAGGAAGCAAAGAGGCAGGTGGCTATGAATACTGAATGGACCGGCATTGGTGTTGAGTGGCTACGAAGTCTTTTGGGGCGAAGGGAGTGGCGGCTACCTTGCGTGGACGTCTATATCCGTCTGTGAAGCTTTAAGATGGACTGACAGGAGGAGCTGATCGCATTTGGGCTGGGTTCTTCATATTCAAGCGTTCTATACACGGAGGGTGTCTTTGGAAACCAAGAAAGGCTATGTGGCTGCTAGTCTAAACTCACTGGTTCTAGAAGGAGACAGATGCACAATGGATTATTGGGCGAAACAGCTTGTGCTACCCCGAAACTAGGGTTAGGCATAGTACACGGTTGAGATGTTAATCGTGAAGATCTTATGACGTGACGTGGATGAGTCCTTAATCAGAATAGAATCCGCAAAGTTGTTCTTCAAGTAAGCGATGGACAGTTGTAACTGAGTTTAACAGAATCACGGTGTTGAGTGTTACATCAGCATTCAACAAACATCATGCATGCCTAGCTAGATTCTATTACAGTGATAATTGAGTTGGGCTAGATCATGCTCAGAATCCTACATACCACACTCTACCTACAGAATTCAAAGCCCGAATATTTGGCCTATATCGTTCGATCGACGTCGAAAAATAATCAGGACTATTGCTTCGGCATAACATGATTGCCGATTAGTACATCGATTTTCCTGGAACGAGTTGAATATTTTTTCAAACTTATTGCCTCAAAGTGTGCTTTGTGGTCTCTCATCTTGATATTCAAGAACATTGTGAAATAATAGCAGGATCGTCACTGAAATGGAAACATTTCCCACGGCTTCGAATGGCTGGCCTTGACTACGTCTACTTCTATTTATTTTGCCGTGAATTCGGGGCACTACGTAGTGTTGAATGTATCACGGTATTCAAATGCAACGCCAGTCTATATGATCCGCTAGGCTCAGTATGCTTGTGATAAGTTGCCAGTTCCAAATATGAAAATTAACAGCAAGATTCATTGCTCATATTGGACCAACTCATCTTGGACTCTTGATATATGCTTTATTGGTAAAAAGTGTGCAAAGAACAATATTTTTGTCGCGTCTAAGGATGAGCATTGCACAGGATTAAATGTTTCATCTACTTGGAAGTAACTTCTCAGGAATGCCATAACTTTGGGATTATTCGTTGCGAGCGTCAGTGCTAATAGAACCCAGGAAGACCCCTTTTCACAGCTCGATTCTCGTTGTTCAATCTGTCATTATAGGTTTGTTATACTTGGCATTTGTATGATAACTAAATCTAGAATCATCGAACTTGATTATCTAAGACGAATCTAGATTCTGTTGCTGCTTGAGATAGATAGTGAACGGAAAGGTTTAGGTGAATTACCAGTTAATTCCTGGACATCGAGATAATTATTGAGAACGTTATAGCTCTTCTTCTCAAGGGGCATCATAGTCGGCGACTTAGTGAATCGCAGAGCTTGTATTACCCCTTTTTCCCACCCATAAGCGAAGGTGAGAATATTAGATTTTTCAACAAGGCAAGTTGCCGTAATTCGACGTTCACTCCAACAGCTAAAGTAACTCTTATCATCGCCTTATCGACTTAAGCATGGTTGCTCTTACCGTAGAAGGTAATAGAATTGATGCACCTCGAGCGATTAACATGTATTGGTCAACCGAAACGGGATTAGAATGCTAACATCAATACATGCCAGTGGACTACTCCTTACTTCAAGTAGCAATATCTGGCGCGATCTTCCAAACTGAGGCATTCTTGTATCTCTCACACTCCATCATCACCGGAAGGAAAAAAGTGAATATCGTTGACTCTGTAACTAGGAGGTTTAGACGAAATAACCGAGAATTGATTACCTAGGTATATACAGGTTTTGGAATATGTCTAAACCTAGGTGGTACATATTCGCTGCTTGAACCTGGTATGGACCCGCTTTCACTAGTCGCTTAATTGTTATAAGATCTTATATAGACTTGAAACATTCTTTCTTATTATCTTTGCACCTCCCTCCTTTTCAACATCATTTTACTTGCACCCTTTTCTGGGTGTTTCCGGGAGGAAAAATACTCTATATTTTGCACTCTATTTTAGGTTTTTATCAGAAAATCCATGGGAAATTGTTGATCACTCATTCTTTACACTGTGCTATTTGATACCTTGGAATCGGCTTTCCTTCGCAACCAAACTGAAGTGTTGTCTTCTATCCTCACACCAAAAACCAAACATGCAACGAAAGAGCGACAGTATGGCTAACACTGCCGAGGATTGGACCTGGAGTTCTGGTTTGTTCAACCACAACTTTTAGAACGATGAACAAATGAGCGTGGGTGTTGGCCTAGGCATTACTCTAAGAACAGAACACTTTTCTTCACCAGCCTCTTCATTTTTGACGAGGACAGAGAAGTCTCTCAAAAACCAAGAGCTAAGAAGAATGTTAGCTGTGGAAAGCTCGTCAGAATGCTGGCTTCCGTCTCGTAAAAATCCAAGTCCCTATCCACCTGTAAAAACTCCGAGGCAAAGTAGCTTGCAAGGCCTGGAAGGCAGCTTTGCTGGTCATCCCCCCTATGAACACTCGGACTCAAATACACCTACGGTATTTACCCCATCCAACTCAACCCCGAGCACATACACAGCATCAACACCATCTTCGGTTCCCAGTTACCAGATGAGCCACGACGAATACGCCTTTCCAACACTCCCAGCTCATTCTGTTCAAGCTTCTAAGAACAACACTGTATTCTTACATGAAGATTACAACTCTTTTGGAAATTATCAAGCAACTCCCTCTCCATCCACGCCCACACCCACAGAAACACTCACAACACCCTCCCCTGTCCTCGGACCCCCCTCAACAGTCCCAACAATCACAGTCTATAACTGGGCCGTCCCAGTAACACCAATCAACTATCATGCTCTACGCAACGTCCACGGTGGACTCCAAGATGCACCTGAGGAAATTCCAAAAACGCAGCTATCCCGCGCGATCCAGATTGAGTTGGCCAAAGCCGGTCGACCGCGCAAGAGGGGAAAGAGAAGAATGTGCGACTGTGGATGTAAGAGTATCATTCAACCGTATGTTATTAAACGCCACATGAAAACCGCACGACGGGTCGTCGGGAGGTGAAATATCCTTTGAGAAATGACATGGGGATTTCGGTATATTTTTATCTTGGAATTTGATTGAGAATTTATGGAATCGGTGCTTACAAAATTAACTCTTCGTGGAAACGAAGACTTGAAAAAAAATGAGTTTTATAAGGGGAAAAGACAAAAACAGAACGGGTATTGTTAACTACTACTTTACATATTATCTACATTTTAGGATACATTTATCAATACATCATTTATCAACTTGCAATTTAATCTTTTGGAATGTGATAGGTTATTGAAGTTCCCCCGTTGTACCTTATGAAGATTTCGAAATAGCCACCATGTTGGGTGGAGTACGAGAGGTTGTGAGAGAACATCATCTCATTTACAAAATTAGACTAGCATTAATCATTAAGCTCAATAAACACAAACGATATTGCTACTAATGTCTCACCAACTGTCCCATTTCTAAAAGACCACTTCAATTGACTACTTGACTTATGTTGAAGTCAATCACTTCAATATCTCACTAAGGAACAGTAACCCTTCGTTCTCGAATCTCACCTTTCTGGCCCCAGATAATGCTCACCGAACCACAATACGATCATTACCCCGCTCCTGTATCAGATGACTTCCAAGACGTTACACAACAAAACAAGTAGGGAAAAAAGTTCACTTCGCAAATCCAAACCCCTGCTAACCGAGATTTCCCAGCCTCCGAACTAAAAGGCGTGGTGATTTGCATCAAATATGAAGAAGGATAGCGAGAACTAGATGCTGAACTCATTTGTTCACACGGGGTGGCACATTTCATTCTCAGGTATTTCATTAGTGCGTGATACAATTCTGTGCGTACCCAAAACTTCACCAGCTGATATATTAACAAGATAGCCAGATCTCGTTGTTTTAACGTATATAGACCAGTGAAACCCAGTTGGACTTGGTTGTTAATCTGCTGCTGAAACCCTAAGTGTTGTTGTTGGGTCCCCAAATAATTGTGATTGTAGGGTTCGAAGTATACGGTTGCGTTTTTACCAAAGTTCAAGGATTACTCTGATAAAATGGAAAATCAAGAAACGTGAGTTTCTTTACCGTAAGCTCAATAGGTATGGCATTTCATAAGTTTCCACTGCTTGGACTTGGAGTATACAATATATGGAAGTACGTCACACAAAGTATTTCTCTCCTGTTGTAGCTAATGAAGAGAGCCACCATCTGAACACGCTATTCCTATATCCAGGTTCATGGCTTTCGAGAATGTTGTGGTGGATACGATATCACCAATGCGAATATACCAAATCAAGCATTAAAAGTGGCTACAACACAAAGGTAGGAATAGATTCACCAGCTTATGTAAACGTTTCACGCGAATGGCTGCTGTCATGATTCTGACGACAGGGGAAGTAGGGATGACTGTCATGTCGCGAGCTTACATACTGAACCCTCGTACATGCGCGCTGACACCATGGATGGGATATGAAACCACGACGATCCAAGCTCGAGAAGAAGGCAGAATGTCTCCGTTCGAAAGCATTAGTAATGCTCGTAAGCAAGGTGAGCTTGGAAGAAAACAAGCAAGCATTGACGAAGGAGCCATATGGAGTGCAAACTCTAGAAGATTTCATCTGTATTTTAGTATTCTATTATATCTACAAGATCACATTACCCAAATTGTCATCTGCATCTCTTGATACATCAAACAAGAATGTCTATTTTCCATCTACCCAAAAATGGGTTAAAACATTACGCCGGCAATGCAACGCCCATATACGCCAAAATTTAACGCCCCTGGGTATCTTCGTAGCCGAATGCTGTATGTATTTTATGGTACCGAAATCGTATATTTTCATGATTAGAAGATTTTCAACAGGTTGCCTAAGCCTGCTTTTGGTTTGTTTTCTCCGTCGAGCGATCTAGGGACATGGGCGCCTTGGTTAGGGTTGAGTGGTTCTTGGGAATTCCATTCTTTCTTGACCCATTCTTTTTGGGTTGGGATCCATTGGTGTCTGCACAGAAGTTAGCATTGATCTCAAAAGATGAGAAAATTTGAGTAATATACCCTTCATGTTCTGTCTTGGTTAATGCTCTAGCGCTGTATTCCTCGGTGAGGATTCTATCGAATGAATAAGGAATCAAAGCCGGTACACCTTCAAACTCCGTCTCTCTAAGTGGGTATATATCTCTTGTTCGGTATCGGTGGAAGTTCTTACAACTCCAAATACCAGGTTGCATGCTTGGATCCGTCTCTGCAAGACCGGTAATATCAATAAAAAGGCCATTTCGTGTATCGATCCATCTAGCATCAATGACATTTTGTCCATCACCCCGCAGTCGATCCCGAGAGTTTGGGTTGACGTCGAGAAGAAATTCACGGTGGACCTCTAGCCCATCTGAACCAGTCCCAGTGTAATTGTGGAAGGTCATATTCATATGTTCGCCCATCCAAGTCAATGTCGACGAAGAAACCTGGGTGTCCAAATCCCAATCCCATGGCATAATCTTTCCATTCCACCACCAGCCTAGTAAAGTTCCATGCGCAATCCAGGTTTCGACATTCTTCTCTCGGAAGACTGTAAGGTATGAGCGAATGAGATGATGTAAGGTATCCCCGCGTTCTTCGTAAGTTACTGGCTGGCCGGCGTAATATCGAATGTCGTAATGTCCCATATCATCGCCCGCCCCAGGTTCGTGGAAGTATTTCGTGTCGACTGGCTGTTCTGGCGCCGCATTTTCGGGAGTGGGAGTTGCGATGGTTGAGGGTAGCAGAAGTGAGGTGATGAATGTTAATTGCGAAAGCCTCATGTTGGTGATTGTTGGAAGCTCGATTTAGCCAACCCGTCCCCTTTTCGTACCAATACGTTCGATATATATGTACCCGTATGCGCGAGTTGGCCAATTTCTTGTCGAGCTTGGTAGGTGATGTTTTTACTTGGTATGACAACTGCCAAACGCCAGCTACCTTTGAGCAGCGATATGGAAAGCAAGCGGGTGATCCTCCTTCCTGATCCCGGGGCCAAGTATATAAGACGGCTGCGAACCGTCGAAATTGAGCTTGGCAACTTTGACGTCGTTGCACGGTCGTCGCGAGAGGCTGAGACGGTTGGTGGTGAAGCCAAGACTTTTGGGACGAGAAGTGACTTCCAGGTTGGTGAGGATGCGAGAGAGAGTGAAGTGAGTAATTGTTGTTCTGGGTTGACAGGTGAAAAGACGAGTAAATCGAGCCAGGTTTTCCAGTACCACTCGCTGGGTACCAGGCCATTTTGAAGAGCCATCTTGTCCCCCTCCCCCCCTCCTCGAGGCCCAGCTCGTCGTACGGTAGTACTTTTTGGGCAAGCAGGCACATGCCCTTCTCTTGGCTCGCGGTGTTGCTAAGCGGATATTTCAAACTTGGCAGATTATGTCGACGAAAGTGGATGTTTCAACACGGACTAAAAATGGCAGACGGGGATGGCGAGGGATGTCGAAGGAGCATTGATCTGCATGGATATCTTGGGCATCTTTGGAGGAGGAGTGATTGGTCGGATACTACGGAACGGCTCTTGTTGTGTGGGATGGCAGCTGCTGGCAGGGGAGCCAAATGTTGGCGCCGATGGGGCGTGGGAAGCTGAAGCCCATGTCATGTCATGGTCGCGGAGGTTGATGACGCCTAGCGACTCAGGCCGCTGCCTCCACTACCTAGGTACTCCTCCGACTCCGCATAGAAAGGGTAGAGGTAGGTACTTGAAGTAGTTGTAGTCCAAGGTGTGATCCAAGAGAGAGCGGTGATATCTCCTTCTCTTGCATCAGACAGTTATTGTCTCTTGTGGTAATAGATAATTACGCAGTAAAGAATTAACTGATCGGCCATCATTTTTGCCTATTCTCGTGCAGCCGCAGGTACACGGAACAAGATAGCCGGCACTGCAGAACTTCCTTGAGATCCAGCTGCAGCCTCCGGAGTCCTACTGTCTACTGTCCTACTGTCCTACTGTATAATAATCAATGTTTAATAAATGATTCATTAATCGCGTCCGAGTATGTGGCTGGGATGGTGGTGGAGAGATCTGATATTAAACGTACGCGTCCTTGGTGCTCAACTCCACTTGAAGACGTACTCCTCCGTGGTATCAACCATTTGCAACGACGAGATGAACGCCACTGCGAACGAATTGCACCTTTGATGAGTTTCGAAGAAAACTTATGGTGAAGGTCCAGATCGGTCCTCGTTCACACCGCCACCGGAAGTCGTACCGTCGAACGTATGCGTGGTCGCGTCGTGTGAAGTTCGACCGGTTTTGATCTGATAATATTCGGAGCTTGGTCCTGGAAGATCAACATGTCGCGTGCTCAACCCGATCTGGAAATAACCTTGACCTCACGAGCCTCCCAGCCTCGTACCCATCGTACTGTATGGTTTCTGCCATCCTTGCGTTCCTCTTTCAATCCAAACGGCCCAAGAAGTATCGCCGATGATCCGTCTTGGGACAAATCTTCATCCAATGTCACTCTTATATTGATGAGCAGGTTCAAAGTTGTCCAACTTCCAGACTTTGCATCTCAATCGCACGCGACCTTCAAAGAACAATATTAACTTCCACCAGTTTGTTCGTGAGACATCCCGTTTCCAATCTCCTCTGTCTCTCCAGGTCAGACGTCTTATCACGCCTCTTAAACGCCCCTCCCGTAGAAGGTCTCCCCCACCTTCTTCATCTGATACCCGTCCGATATCTTCAAAACGAGCAAAACACAGGATTTCAGTACGGTTTTGTTTTACATTGTAGATTTTACAAAATATCCGAAGAATATTCTTATCTTAGATATCTATCTCAATTATCTCATTCCTATTTGTACCATCATCCAATCTTGAATTGAGATAGGTCACGTGCGATTATGAGGGGTGCTCTTCGTGCCGAGCCGAGTTCCCGAAGGCCTTCCGTTGGCATCGTCGACTTTGAGAAAGATGACTTCGTATGACTTCGTATGTTTTTTGTTGTAGCTGCAATGCATTGTATCTAATTTCTCAATCACCATGATCTCATTCTTTAGCTTTTTTTCGTTCTTCCTATTGTAATTCAAACCACTGCCAAAACAAGTCGCCGCAGCTGCGGGGTTGTATATCACAACTTTCCAAGCATCATTTTAGCACTTCAGTCAAAACGCAAGATGGAGGAGGATAAAGAATCACGTGAAAGGGCTATGAAGGCTGTGGAGGCCATCTTCGAACGGTAAGTCTGATCTTATTGTAGGTAAAATTATCACAAATTCCTACGACTTGCAGGTGACATTCATCCGCGTTAATCTCATCTCTACACTTACCAACTTCTGCCTGTTTTACCTCGCCGAAGTGTATTGATCCATAACTAACACGACTAGATACCACCTCATATCGGCCTCTAAACCATACCCAGGCTTCGACACTCACACCATGAATTCTCTCAAACTCGTAGACGCCTCCTCCAAAGGAACAGTGACCTACCACCTTCTCATTGATCCCTCAATGACCAACTTGAATAGTGTAATGCACGGTGGAGCCGCTGGTGTAATATTCGATATGGCTACCATGTCCGCTCTGGGTCCGCTATCAAGGAAAGGATATTGGGATTTCCTAGGTGGTGTGACTAGAATTCTGAACTTGAGTTTCTTGAGAGGCGTGCCTGTTGGTAAGTATTCCCCAACCCTGTTGTCAGATGAAAATAGCCATTGACATGGAATTAGGAACCACGGTAAAAATTTATAGTGAGGTTGTTCAATTAGGAAAGACTATGGCCATGATTCGGGGAACGATGTCAAGTCTGGATGGAAAGACGATCTATGCAACCTGTGAACAACACAAAGTCGCCGTACCAACGCAACCTAAGCATTTAGAGTTTAAGGTTGGGTGGGATGATTTGTGGGATAAGGAGGGCGTTGATGTTGGTAGGGAAAAGTCAAAACTATGAGTTTGAGGTCACCATATAAGTAGGAGTTTTAATGTCAATAATTATAAATGATGAACACTGATAGCCGCAAAATATTTCAAGTTACTAGCACATCTACAGACTCATTCAAGGCGCTTGGGACGTGTATATTATTTCGTCTAGCATGGTTTTTTACATATCCTCGCGGTGGACAAAATAAGTGGTAGTCACCTACCCGTAAATCTTAGACTAAATAAAAAGTCTACTTCGAATAAAGCTTAAAAAGTCTTATTTACTTGAAATAGTTGACGAAATAGTCATAATGTTCTAAGTTAATTCACTAAATTACGATATTTCGTCAACATAGTCGAAGAACTATTCTAGTTCGACTACTACTTATTTTGTCCTCCGCGAGATATCCTTTGTGGCATATATAACTGAGCGTATGAAGTATTTTGCCACCCTGATCATGATCGGGAACCAGGGTTCCAAAGGGTGGAGCTGACAGGGTGTGCTAATCAATTTCGACACTTTCTGTCAAAGTGCCAGTGAAGTCAAATGGGTACTTGTTGTGACATGCCTGGCTGATCAGACTTGATGTGAGTAACCTCATTCTAAATACGAGCGACCTTGAAATTTAGCAACGCTCATAATCTAATTATGCTCTCAAGCCGATAATTTCTGTTCCCACCCTCAGTTCTACAATCATGACCTATCATCTGCTGCAAACTTGTTTTTCCAGAATCCTCGATAGTGCTTCTCCTTCCCAATCTCTGCAATCTCTTCAACTTCCTTTGGAGTCAACTTGAACTGTGCAACTTTCTGGTACGCTCTCAATCTATCTTCGCTTTGACTGGTGGTAATAGCCACCATTCCTTGATCAATAATCCACCGCAGCGCAACTTCTCCAGGGGTGACGCCGTATTTACGAGCCAATTTCTCATAAGTGCCGTCGAGCGGACCGCCCTTAACTTTAGTAATTGCAGTTAATCCCGCATAAGCAGCGATGGCGATGTTGTTCTTCAAATGAAACTCAACGAGATTGCCGTGTTGGAGATATGGATGATACTCGATCTGATTGATTGCTGGAATGATCTTTGCTGTCTTTAAAATTGCCTCGAGATCGGGTTGTAACATATTGGAAACACCAATTGATTTCGCTTTCCCAGATGCATGTATTGCTTCGAGATCCGCCCATTTTCGCTGCAGGTCTTCTGGTGTTTTGGCAAAGAATGGCGCATGGATGAGATATAGGTCAACATAATCAACTTGCAACTTTTTCAGTGAGAGCTCGAATGCCTCTTGTGTATTTTGAACCGCTGTCCCTGATATTTTTGTCGTGATGTAAAGCTTCTCACGTGGAACACCGGATTCCTTGATGGCGGCTCCCATCTCGGTCTCGTTGTTGTAGACTGAGAATTACACTTAACATAGACAACAATCGATGAATTGGTAATCAACCCACCTTGAGCACCATCAAGATGGTAAAATCCAGCTTTGATAGCCATAACCACGGTCTTGATCAATTCTTTATCCAATGGAGCATTGGCATCGTCCTTGAACCTAGCTGTGCCTAAGCCATAACCAAGCTAGAATAAGTTAGTAAACCCGCCTAATTTCACCCCCAGATGATTGAGTTTACCATGGGAATCTCATTGCCGTCGTTTAGCTTCAAGTCTCGCAGCTGAGAAGCTTGCTTTGGGCCGACCCCTACTGTACCTCCCTCTGCATAGCTCGTCTGGAACGTCGAACCCGTTGTAGAATTCATTCTGGATGTATGAGAGAGATATGATGATCGTGAAAACGGGACAGTAGCTTTCAGAGTGGGAGAGAAAGTTCTTCGCAAGAATAACATAATATTTTCGAGTTGATGAATGTACTTCCAAATGAACCTTCCCCATCTGTGCTCCCGTCCCACCATTCTTGTCGTCATCCCACCTCATCATTCCGCCTCTCGGGCTTAAGTGGCATCCTTATCGCCGACGTGCCGTGAAATGCTTTCATATTCTCACGAAGGCATCTATCATTCGCACCAAGGGAATTCGCAAAGAGAAGAAGATACTCGAGAGACGTTTGTGGCAGGCGAGAATGCTATAAGTCACCGCGCTTACTTGCGATCATATCTGACTGTAAAGACGTGCATGGTTTACGTAGGTCGTAGAGAAGGGACCCTTGCACTCAGCTTATATTTCGAGCTACATAACTTAAAATAGAGGTAAAAGCTGTTTATTCGAGACTGTAGACGATGATCACAAGATGTATATTGCAAGACGGCAAGGTACATTGTAGATGGGACAGAGAATTCTTTGGAAGAGGTCTACGAAGAATTCAAACATCGGCTCGCGGAGGACAAAATAAGTATCAGTTACCTGCCTACTGATTTTGGGACCCAATAAGTCGACTTTGAACAGAGCTTAAGAAGTCTTATTTATTTAAAATAATTGAAGAAATAAGTCATATTGTTCTAAGTTAATCCACTAAATGCCGATATTTCGTCAACTTAATCGAAGAAATATCGTGCTTCAACTCCTACCTAGGTACTTATTTTGTCCACTGCGAGATCGGTCGGCTGTTGGTGGGCGGTGTATAGATTATGGTGCCGTGCAGTGAAGGTGTGGTCGGAAACTCGATTTCGCGAAAACAAGAAAATAACTATTTAATTCTTAGTTTATATCTATAGAATTATCGACGCTAGCGTAGCCCTCGAGTATAGTATAGATAGATAGAGTATTTATAAAGCTATTATAATTATTTAGATAATTAAATAAAAAGAATTCGTCGTAAAGTAGAGCTTAAAATTGTATTTTTTATTAAAGTTCTTAAATCGCGGGGTCCTGACTTCGAGCCTTAGAAATTCGGCGAAAAACGTTTAAGCGAAAAATAATTAAGGCCGAAAAGGAACTTTATTTTAAAAGAGACAACTCTTATTTCTGCTATTAATTAACGACGAATTACTTTTATTTAATTATTTTAAAAGAATCTAAAAGGCCTAAATCTACTCTATAATCTTAAACTATCTCTAGTAAGGTAAAGGGCCGTGTTTTAGCTCTATATCTATCGATTATACTTTACGTTTGTTTTCTCGTTTTCGCGAAATCGAGTTTCCGACCACACCTTCACTGCACGGCACCATAATACTTCGTATACCCCCGAATAAACCACAGTGGGTCTTCTAGAAGTTACGGTAAACAAGGGCTCTGTGGCCAATAGTAAGTAGAGGATTTGACTTATCGTTACTATAAAAGGTAAAGCCGACTGTAATGCACGGATTCTCCACTGTGGTTTGTTCAGGGTTTGACGAAGTAGATGAAGAAAGTCAAGCTATACTCCATGCAGCGTTCTGCCGCGGGAGACAATTCCCCGGAACCAACCCCAGACCTATCGCAAGGCGCCGCAAAACATCTTGTCACTGGTGTCATTGGGGGGCGAATGATGCGGTTTACAATTCCGTTCGTCGTCTACTACTTAATTGATAGTCCTTAATATTTTCTTCTTCTCATGCTTCGTTTTTGAGCTGTAATTTCCTACAGTTCTTTCATAGTACATGCTTTCCAAAGTCGTCTCCCGGCCGCATATACCCCCCCGTTTGCGACTTGCACAAATGGCAACACATATATCCTCACACTCGAATGGCACTTCGAATGGCACCTCCCATTCGGGGCGGTCTCTAGTTGATTTGCCGAAATCATGGACCTTCACATCGTCGTTGCCCCCCGATCCTCTATTTCCAACGCCAGCTGCATCGCATAAAACTCCAAGAGAGAAGATTGGGCCACGACAGGTGAAGGGCGCATTGTTTACGTGGGTTCGGCCAGAAGAAGCGAAAGACCCAGAGCTTCTCGCGGTGAGCCCAGCTGCGCTAAAAGATTTGGGCATAAAGCTGGGCGACGAGAAAACCGAAGACTTCAGGCAGGTTGTTGCCGGTAACAAGATATTAGGCTGGGACGCTGAAAAAGAAGAGGGTGGTTATCCTTGGGCGCAATGTTATGGTGGGTGGCAATTTGGATCTTGGGCGGGTCAACTGGGTGATGGCCGAGCGATTTCACTTTTCGAAACGACGAATCCGGAAACGAACAAGCGATATGAGGTGCAGTTGAAGGGATCTGGACTTACACCTTACTCGAGATTTGCGGATGGAAAGGCAGTTTTACGGTCAAGCATACGAGAATTCGTAGTATCAGAAGCTCTCAATGCCTTAAAAATACCTAGTACACGAGCCCTCTCCTTGACTCTTTTGCCTCACCAAAAAGTACGACGGGAGACGGTCGAACCGGGCGCAATAGTTGCTCGTTTCGCGGAGAGTTGGCTACGAATTGGCACATTCGATATTTTGCGAGCTCGCGGCGAGAGGGCGATGATTCGACAACTTTCTACGTACATAGCAGAGAACGTATTTCCCGGATGGGAGTCGCTTCCAGCACGTAACCCTGCTGATGACGGCAAGAATGAGTCTCCTCTGGGTACGGGAGTCGCGAAAGATACCATTGAAGGACCACCCGGGCTGGAAGAGAATCGTTTCACGCGTCTATATCGTGAGATAGTTCGCCGCAATGCGAAGACTGTGGCTGCGTGGCAGGCTTATGCTTTCACCAATGGTGTCTTAAATACCGATAACACTTCCATTTTTGGTCTTTCCATGGACTTTGGCCCTTTCGCTTTCTTAGATAACTTCGACCCTCACTACACACCTAACCACGATGACCATATGCTTCGCTACTCTTACCGAAACCAACCTTCTATTATCTGGTGGAATCTTGTTCGTCTGGGCGAGTCGATGGGCGAGCTGATGGGAATCGGTCCCGACGTGGATGCCGAAGAATTTGTTGAGAAAGGGGTGCGAAAAGAAGTTGCTGATGACTTGGTATCCCGCGCAGAGGGTCTCATACAACGCGTAGGAGAAGAGTACAAAGCCACATTTTTGGCTGAATACAAACGATTAATGACCGCCCGACTCGGGCTCAAAGTTTTCAAGGAGGAAGATTTTGAGAGCTTATTCAGCGAGCTTCTGGATATGATGGAAGCATTGGAGTTAGATTTCAACCATTTCTTCCGACGACTGAGCTACTTCTCCATCGCAGATCTTGAAGTAAACGACGCGCGCAAAGAAAAGGCCAGAGTTTTCTTTCACGACGAAGGAGTCACTGGCGGACACAACGACGATGCCGCACGTACCCGCATCTCTAACTGGTTAGGAAAATGGCAGACGCGAGTTCACGAGGACTGGGGAACCAATTCAAATGACGCTGCAAGACAGCAAGCTATGAGGAGTGTCAACCCAAACTTTATTCCTCGGGGCTGGGTTCTTGACGAGGTAATTACGAGGGTTGAGAAGGGTGGGGAGCGTGAGATTTTGGACAGAGTATTGAACATGGCATTGCATCCATTTGAAGAGAGTTGGGGTTGGGATGAAAAGGAAGAGGCGAGGTTTTGTGGAGATGTTCCGAGACAGGATAGGGCTATGCAATGTTCTTGCAGCTCTTAGATCATGTGAAGCTTAAATGCGCACGATTTCTATCTTTAATGAAATGAAACGATATTGCTATAGTTATAGAGCTGGTATACAGTTTACAACCTGACCCTTTAATATTATTTAGCGTTTTCTGCACCACGTGGCCAACCTCACAACTTCCATTTTGTCCTCCGTTCCTTTCCACTTGCTGATCATTCACAAGTTTCATTGTGTCTCTCCTCACAATGCCCATGGATCATGAAACACACCTGTGCAGACCATTCTCCTATGTCACGTCCCGCCATTCCTGGAAAAATAAATACCACAATCCCATCCTTCAAAAGTTTAATCTCAGGTCTTCGACTTCTGAAGAATCTCACCATATATCCCGACTATCCCCAACGACTCCGTTCCGCTACCTCGAAATCTCATAATTTTCACCTAACTCATTCTTTTGTGGTCCCTTCCTCATCGTCACGTAACCTTCTGCGGCGAAATCTCACCCGTCTCCTTCCCACCGACAGCACCCTTCTTCTCCAGCGCAGTCTTATATCTCTCCAGCACAATTTTACTGTGAATATCATAACCCTCAAGTTCACAGGTCGTCAGCGTGATAATCTCCTGCAGTTTTTTGGCCACTTCATCCTTGATCGTGTCTGCGGTTCTGGTGGTTGATGTTTCCGGGATGGGTTCATCTTCTGGAGGGGTGGTGTCGGTGATAGAATTGCTGTTCAGCTGTCTCATGTTGAAGAGGAAATCTTCGGGGCTGGAACCTGGTTTTGGAGGCGTGCTTAGACGTGCTAGGAGATTGGCTCTGTGTGCGTTGCGTATGGCATCAATCTTTGACTTGGCCTCCAGTGTTGCTCGGTCCGAATTTTCTGGTTCTGGATAATTTTGTAACTGGCGGATTTCTTCTTGGGCTCTTGCTTGCACATAGTCTGCTTGTTGTTTTGCCATGGATATCATGTTTTGACGGACTATGTCCTGTTGTGTTTTCAGGTTTTCGACGGTCTTTTGCAGCTGCTCCATTTCATCTTTGGGAGGCTCTTCATTTAGATCGAACCCCTCGAAGCGGGAGAAGATAGCTGAAGTGAGTGAAAAAGGCTTCTAGGCGTTGTTAGTTATCTTGTTCGCTCTTGTCGAAAACCTTTCAAGAGGTCAAGAAGAAGATTGGCCGCTCAGTACATGTCTAAATATGTGACGTGATCTTATAATAGCCATGAAAACCTGTGTAAACCCAAGCGATTCGAAGGAACCTTGGAAAAGCTTACATCTTGACCCTCCTTGACAGGCATGACTGGCGATTATTTCGCAGCTGAAAATCTCTCAACTTCTTAAGTCTCAACCTCAGCCTCAGCGTCCAATCATCAAACTTGCGGAAGTCAGTCCGCAGGGAGTGCTTATGCAATGGAACAGAGACATGCAATCTGTGCAGTCTGCAGATGCGGTTCCATTGCGCACTTTCGTGAGCTGCCCTGAAAGTGGAGCATCTCATTCTATCCACCTGGATGTTAACCAATGGGAGACCACAAAATAATCAATCGCATATGGCGAGCGGAATCGCAGCCAAATACCGAGAATCTAGAGTTACGAAAGATTCCAAATGCTTGATTTACACACCGATTAAGTCTTCACCACCAATGGCTGCATTCGGGGTAATGGAGCGTAGCCCCAATAATGTCGGCTTTTGCTGTATCCGAGTGGAGGTGGTGGATGGTAGACCTAGTCGATGTCAAGTAACCAAGGCACCCCGCAACTTAGTGCTCGACTACGATCTACAGGACACGCTGTTGAAGAATTGAGGGACAGGAGTGGGCGGTTGTTGGAAAGGAAGAGGGGAACTTGGTGGAAGAACAATAGCTATATATATGTGACCAAGTACCTCTCAAGGTGCTCGTTCACTCAACACCAAACGACGCTATATCTCCGGATCATCTATCTAAAATCATCTATAACCAATCAAAATGGCGCAAGAAGGTGGATGTTTTTGCGACAAGGTGTGTTTCCGGCTTATCGACAAGCAAGCCTCAAATGTAAAAGCGTAGATCTTTGAGCTGACGATTATCTTAGATTCGTATTTCCTACACCGGCGAACCTGGAACTCATGTCCTATGCCACTGCCTCGACTGCCGGAAGATCTCAGGAAGCAGTTACGGCAACAACATTGTTGTCCCTGAAAACAATTTCAAGCTTCTACAAGGTACGGGGATCGGTTCCTCTCAATGTGTGATGTCGTTAGCCTAACCACGAATTTTAGGCAAACCAAAGACTATTTCAAAGACGGCCGATGGTGGCAACGAGATCACCTCTCATTTTTGTGGTGACTGTGGAACCACTTTGATGCGAACTGGTCCATCCTTTCCAGGATCCGTCATTATCAAGGTCGGTGTAATGGATGACCCAGACTGGCCTAACAAGAACACACCCAAGGGTGAGCTTTACGTCGGCAGCAGAGTGAAGCTCCATGACGCAATTCCTGGCGCCGCTCAAATGAGGGGAATGCCATCGTGATGGAGATTCTGTGGTAGATAGTTTTCGTAATAAAAGAATTCAAACGTGCAGTCGCTCTTGCCCAACAAATTGTAGCATCGTAGTAACGCCGAATCCTGCAGCTTATGTAGTGTGTTTTGCGTAGTAATGCGAGTTTCCTATTTGAAGATATCATCTTTCCGGCAACAACTTTCTGGCGTACTCCCGTCCGAGTTTCAAGGCCGACCTGACCAAATCCTCGAATCTTCTGTCCTTGCGTTTCCGTAACCATAATAATACAATACCTAGCACAACGACGTTGACGAGAAAATGCCTTATAGCTAGCCATATCAGCCAAGCAATCCATCTACCCGCTGTTCTTCGTCTTCGTCCTTGGTACTCTCTCCCCGTAGCTATTTGTTCTCGCAATGCTGTGATTTCGGTAGTCATTTTTACCAAGGCCTGCTCGACGGTCCTCCGCCAGCTTTTATTCTTGCTCCCCTTACTTCCGGGCACGTCAGGCTCATTCTCCCCGTCGTCGTCGTGATTTTCGTTGTACTCCAGCTGTTTGACAGATCGCCGCTCCATCTCATCGTTCTCACTCATCGGGCTAAGTACTCGCATCGGTCCGTCGGTTCCTGATCGGGGTTCTCGGAATTGTCGTTGTTGTCCGTTGTAGGATAACTCACCTCGGCCCGGCGAAGAAGCAGAGGATGGAGGGCTGTTATTCTTGATTTGGTCCCATACAAATTCGAGTTCGGCTACAAGCTCCCTTGCATCACTAACAGCATTTCGTTAGCAAGGATGTATTCGTGAAATGACTAGAGGATTTTTCCTCAGTGACAAGGACTATTACTTACGCAGTAGTACTAGCATAACGATGCATAGTCTCGATTAGAGCCTCGATGTACTTCCTTTTCGCATTCGTTCTTGAGATTCCTTTCTGTGCGTGCCAGGCATCATATTTATCCCTCTCCCGATTCAATTCCTCTCCCTTCGGTCCATCCTCATTGCTACCAATACTCATCGGCCGCTCCATAACCCCATCGACATCTCCCTCCATTGACTGTTTGTATAAGCCATAAAGTCGTAACCGGTCTGCCGGCGGGGGTCGGGAGGCTCCTGTCTTTGGTATTTTTTTGACGGTATTGAGAGCATGGACGAATACTCTGTCTATGAGTGAGCTACTGGTTAGCTGAAGGATCTACGCCAACGGCATTTCTGGTGAACATTTGGGATAGCATACCGACGGAGTCTGCCATGTTTTATCTCTGGGCCCTCATACGGTGTTTGTAGTGCTGTCGGAGAACGCGCTCTAGAAGGCAGATCAAGCACAACACTGATCCTCTATGGAAATGACATTAAGCCGGAGTATATAAGAATATGAAACAGTCGAATGGAACAGACATATGTCTAAGGGTAAGTGTAGTGTTGTGCGCCGGATGTGCAGATTATCGCGCGATTCACTCGCGTGCTGCTGATACCTCGGCGTTGAAAGGTGCAAGGGTTACCTAGCGGGTCGGAATTGTGAGGTGGAGTCGCAATTAATTATTTAATTATCTGGAGAAGCCCGTCATGCTTCCCCGGATTAGTATCCCAACTGGACATTTTATTGCTCAATTTGCCCTATACCGTGCAAACTAACTGGCGAATTTGATTCAGGCCCAGGAAAGTGCAGGTCTTGGACTTCTACCAAAAGCTGCAAATTATATGGACTAGTAGAAATCAGCGCATAACCGTCGAGAGGGTGGCAACACACCCATGATGTATATATTCTTACATGCGTCAGTTAATTTATGAATAATATTCTACGATTATTTAACAAGCATATTCCGGAGCTCTCAAAATCTTGCTGTAAATGTCTCCTTGTGGTAGCTTGCTTACAGCTCCTCCGCCTTACACATTGTCGAAGAAACTCCCGGCAAACTAGAGAGCTTGCGCATTCTCTAACGCAAGCCTTTCCAGCTCCCGTTGTTCGTCATGCAACCTTTTCTTTTCTATCAACACCGTCATCATTTTCTTATTGTTAAGAGCCTGTTCGGCAGCTTTGAAACCAGCCTCTTTCTTGCCATTGGCTTTTCCCTCACCTAGTTTTTTGTCCTTCTCACCCCACCCATCAAGAAAAACGCCCACCGAGAATATCGGGAGCTTCGTCTTGCGACATTTGGTTTCTTTGGCAGTATCGCGATATGAGATTTTGACGACTTTTGCTCCAATGGCCTGCGCCAATTGGTCTTTCGGATTCAGCAACACAGACTGTTTGGTTGCAGGCTCTGGTTTTCCGGACAGGTTCCATAACGGGCTGGAGTAATTCAAGACACTGTTCTCCTGGCTAACAATATCTTTCTTTATTGTCATACTCCACAGATCTTTCAACCATTTCACAGCATTTTGGAGTCCGTTTACCGGATCTGACAGAATGACAGCAGCAACGTAGGCTTCAAATATATCACCAAAAATCTTGATCATCTTCTCGTTATCCCGGACGGCAAAATGCGGACCAAGGTTAATGCGTTTATGGAATCCGTAAGCTCTCGAATATTCCGAGAGTTGTGTATTCTTCACGAGGCGTTCCCGTACTTGTGAAGATTTCCCCGGATTAAGAGCGGGAAATGTTTTGGATATTAACAGGGTCGCTATAAGCTCTATGTAGGCATCCCCAACCCATTCTAATTGTTCGTAATCGAGGTCTGTGATTTTACCACTTCCACTGTTGGTATGAGTGAAAGTAGCTTTCTCCAGTGTTTCATCGTGGATGAGTGGCAACGTCGGGAGACTTTTGGGTATATCTCTGCTGTTCCAAGGTGTGACAAGGGTAGTAGGTAACGTGCTTGGTATGTTGCTGATAATATGATGATGTGGCGTGGCTGCAACATTCTTGGATTTTTGAAGTTGTTTTTGGAGTTGAAGGCATTTTTTCAAAGAGTCGGCGTCGACCTCGGTAACTCCGTCCTTGAGGCATTCCTCGATGGTTTCGTCTAGTACCTTAGCAAGTCGGGCAAATCTCATGTGACTGGAAGGGTTGTGCAAAGGCCAGGGTTCCTGATTGTGACCTTGAACATTGTTGGAGTCCCTGTTGGAGCCATGCATTTGTGATTTCTATCGAATTGTTAAAATTGATTGGCGTGTTTCCCGAGGATTGCTAACCTTATACTTTTTCGAATCAGAACCATTTTCCGCATCCAAAATATTTCCTACTTCATACTTTCGCTTATTAGTTCTACCCAGATCTTCCATGTTTGAAGAGAATTTTGAATATGGCTTCAGGTGATAAAGCTCGAAAGGGGCTACGGCGATATTGTTACTCCTCTTGCCGAATGTTGATGGCTGTCAGTAGAAAGGCAGGATCGTGGTAGCAAAACTGATCAATCTTTTACCTTGTTGGAATGGAACCTCAAGCGCTCTGAGATGACTACGAGCTGACTGGCTGACTGGCTGTATATAATCGCACCAGCGCCGATTTCAAAAATTCTGATGTTAACGGGAGCTGGCACCAGAAAAAGGTCAGGATCTGATACTCGGTGGGAAGAACAAAAGTCCGGCGGCCCCACAGAAATTCCGTATCAACGTCGTTGAATCGCGACGAGGCTCTAACAACAGCCATTTTGAGAGTACACATTCGGCAATGGCAGTGCCGCGCTCTAGATTGCTGGACCTCGCGAAGGTATGCTGATTTCCAGATAGTCCCGTGGTCGGACGACCCTAATGAATCAGGTACAATGCCGAATATTTTCGAACACCTTCAACCCCCAGGGCCTTCGTCTGGGAAACAAGGTCCTACGACAGAGATTAAAGGGACCGGCTCTGGCATCTTACTATCCCCGTAAGATGGCGACATTTCAGGATCTTCAAAAAGCATATCCGGATTGGGAAACCTTTGACGAGGAGCAAGAGGACCGTATCGAGAAGCTCAAGCTGTATGTTGTAGTGTTTCCAGGGAAATTTTTGCAGCTGCTAACTATGTGAAGTCTCAAAGCAAGAGGAAAGGGAGCGCCAAAGAAGAAGAAGACTGCAGAGGGTTTGTCGATTCCACTATTTAGAGAACGAATGCTCACCATTTATGACAGAATCGAAAAAGTTTAAAGGGAACAAGAAGCGTGCGGCAGCAGTAGCGGCGGGTCTAGCATAAGTCGAAGCGGGTGTACCAACGAAAAGACATGTATAGAATTGTGCCTAAATGTATATCACTCGGAGTTTAGGGGATGGTCTAGGAAAGGGTCCGACATGGGAAAGGCAGCCATTATAAAGAGTGCTTTTTTCTCAATTTCGTCACTCCAGTTGATGGTCAAATGTAAGTGTGACCTAACGATTCTAGTATGTTGAGGATTGAAAGAGTCGTTTTATTCTGCATGAAACGTAAAGTAGTAGAACTGGAACGCTTTAAATATGCATATTATGCCAACTATGTTTGCCGGTACATATGTACAACAGCGGAGACCGAGTTGGATATTATGAACTTGTAAAGTCAGGATTTCTGGCGAGATGCCACAAACCTTTCTTCTAGGTTAGTCATATATCTAGGATTTCGATTCAGCAGTGGATGTTGTGAATATGGACGACCAAAAGGCAACCTCAAACCTTGCCTATATATCGAATATGAGCTCTCCATGTAGCTATGGTTTAGGGGTAACTTTTGCATCTTCACCTCGCTCTCGAGATATGGTTAAACTGCTACTATCATCATTTACAACCTCTATTAATTACCTATATTCACTAGCTACGCAAAAGACTGAGCTACGTGGTGGTTGAAATTTTTGGTGTCGTCGGCACGCATCAGTTTGGTGGCGCCCTGTATCTCACAGCTTGGAAATTTTCGTCACTTGCTCCGATCTCGACGTTTGGGGGAAAGCACCATCGACAGACACGCCTGCGACCCAGTTGCGCATGACCCAGCGCTCCTTCCTTACTTGCCATCTGAACCACCTAGGACACTCATCGGTCTCTGGTCACCTACCTTTTCCCTTTCTTCCGACTTCCATCTCTCACTCAACCAAACCTCCTCCCAAATCTCTTCCACCAACGTTCGTCTTCCCTCAGACTAAGCACAGTATTAGCTGGCCAGCCAGTCACTTTCTCTCCCTTTCTTGAATACAGCAAAAAACCAAACACCTCTGCCAAAATGTCTGCCACGGCTGCCACGGGTTCCCCAACCTTTCGTCGGGCAGCAGCCAGCAGAAGCATTTCTCAAGAAAACTCTGGTGTTTCTGACGACAAACTGGGTGTCCGCTTTGTGAGTGACAATTTCACCTTTGCTGTGTGTGCTTTTAGTGGCGGTTATCAGAGCGGCACCAGGTTTTCTTCCCCAGACCAGGCGAAGCATCACCTCGTCCCTCCATACCTCATTGGGCACCGCGTCGACACCTTCGGATATCTTCACATCCGCCCACACAAGAACAACAATACGAAGACTTTTTGCAATACCATCTGTATAGGAGTTTGGACGGCGCTCTCTCACATTTACTAATATTTATGCAATATAGGACAGCCACAATACAATTTCACTCAAGAAATCTTCCACAGCATTATCTACAAGCAAACTTGGAAATCAAGCAGCCCCAAAGGTCAGTCTTATAATCGACGCGTCAACTATCGAGCTGACATCCCCAGAAGATGAAAATCAACCATGAATCAGCACCGACAACCGAAATCAGCCCTATGGAAAAACTGCTTGCGAAACTTTCTGAACAAACTGCTGCCATCAGCAAGCAACATCAAGAAGCTCTGAAGTCATCGGAGGAGAGCACTGCATATACGCGTACTGTCGAGTATATATCCTCCGCAAGCTCTGCGGCTCCAGTCTCTACATTGCCAATCACTCCAGTCACAGAGACCCATAACAACAGTGCAGCCACTAGCACTAGAGCTCCAAGCAACACGGGTGATTCTGGCTCTGAAGGCGGCGAAGAGGTCCTACGCCTGAAACTCGAGCTCGAGGCTGCCAAAGTCAGAATGGCTCGGATGGACGAAGAACTTGCTCAGAGCAGGATCACAAAACACACCATCGACCAAGCCATGGGCCCGGTCTCGGAGGCTGATTTCTCCATGAGTTCAGAGATGTCTAACCCGCAACTCTCTCGAATCCAGCAATCAATCAACGTTGGCCCTCGTCCCCAGATGCAACGTGATCATTCGTGGACAGCACAAGATGATGCTCGCTCAGATACAAGCGATGCACTTTCTGCTGGGGGGCTAAACCGCTCCCGCAATATCTGGGGAAACAGCGGCAAACCTGGCTATAGTGGCTTTGCGGGTGCTGTCCCAGCTTTTCAACAGCCAGAGTCTCTGAATTCTGGCCAGTGGCTCAACCGTGGCGTTGGTCAACCATTCATCGAGGGCCCTCTTCCATATTCTGGTCCCCCAGTGAACGGCTTTGGGGGTGAACGATTACCCCCGGATTCCGACTTTCTTATGGCACCGCCAATTGGCCGCCGTCAGGGTGGTAATAACCGTTTAGGTCGTGGATCATTCCCATATGCAAGCAGCAACAGCTCTTATGATGGATACACGCCAGCATCTACTCTCTATGGCTCGGTTGGGGGTATGGCTGGTGGTGTCGCTCCGATAGGTATGGGTTCTGGAATGAACATGGGCGGTAGTATGTATGGCGGCTACCAACCACAACCCATTGGCACTCCGCTTTCTCCCATGGCTCCGGAGTTTACTTCTGGCACTGGGGGATGGAAGAACGAGGTGAACACATCCTTCTATACCGCCATGGAGTATACTGATACTGTGCAGGCTGGAGTTTCTGAAGGTCAGACCTTCTTGCCGACCACAGAGCCTCTCAATTATCGCCGACTACTCGACCGTACTGTTAACTGCAACTGGAAATATATCGTCGATAAGATAGTTTGCAACAATGACCAGCAGGCATCCATATTTCTCCAGCAGAAGTTGAAGATTGGCACGACGGAACAAAAATATGATATCGTTGAAGCCATAGTTGCTCAAGCATACCCGTTGATGATCAACCGGTTTGGCAACTTCTTGGTTCAGCGATGCTTCGAGCACGGGACTCCTGATCAAGTCATCAAGATCGCAGAAGCCATTCGGGGCAATACCTTGAGTCTCTCCATGGACGCATTTGGATGTCACGTCGTTCAGAAGGCTTTCGATTCCGTCCCCGAAGATTACAAAGCAATCATGGTTCACGAGTTACTCCGTCGTATTCCCGAGACAGTCATTCACCGTTACGCGTGTCACGTCTGGCAGAAGCTTTTTGAACTCCGTTGGACTGAATCGCCACCCCAGATCATGAAGTTTGTGAATGACTCGCTTCGAGGTATGTGGCACGAAGTGGCTCTGGGCGAGACAGGAAGCTTGGTTGTCCAAAACATATTTGAGAACTGTCTCGAGGAAGACAAGGTACGTCGATCATCATGGAGAGACACGTTTATTTACTCATATTCTCGTAGCGTCCCTGCATTGAAGAGGTTCTTGCGAGCATTGACATCGTTGCTCATGGACAATTCGGCAATTGGTGCATTCAACATATCTGCGAACACGGAGCCCCTGCAGATCGCAGTAGAGCCATTGATCATGTCATTCGTTACGCTTCCGAGTATAGCATGGATCAATTCGCTTCCAAGGTAGTCGAGAAGTGTCTCAAGATTAGAGGTGTTGACTTCCTTGGCCGCTATCTTGACCGTGTTTGTGAGGGTCGTCTTGACCGACCTCGTATTCCACTGATTGACATAGCTAGCGACCAGTATGGAAACTATCTCATTCAGTACATCTTGACACACTCCAACCCTCAGCATCGCGAGATTGTTGCGCAACACATCCGAAAGCACATGGTATCTCTCCGTGGATCCAAATTCGGCTCCCGCGTTGGCATGCTTTGCACCAATCCAGCCATTCAGACGCGACCTGGACCTGGCGTTGGACCTGCTATCAGCGCTCCTACCCCACGCATCCCTCAACAGCCTCCTCGGTACGGGGGTGGAGCGTATCGTTGAGCGCCAAAATTATTTATTTCGCACTTCCCCCACTGTCATATTGCACATGGCTTCTTGGCTCACGCACGATTTTAACTTGATCCACGATGTTTCAGAACCATAAGGATACAACATATTCAAACCGGCTCTGTCTCTGCTTTGGTTTTGGTCCTTCACATCTAAGGATGTCCTAGATTGGCTTTTAAAACCTACGGAAGTCACCTTCAGCATTGTTTGTCCACTTGTTTTGGCTGTAAAAGCTTCAAAAGTCAAGATAACGATATTTATTCCTGTTTCACCAACATCTCCTTCGACAAACTACTGTACCAATACTGGTCATCCTACGTTGAAAAGGGGCACTTTTCGGCGCTTTGGACATATCATGGTTACGCCTTTGCGATGGGTTGTCCTGGCATAGGCGTAGCTGTTCTACTGGCAGCTCGTTCTATTCCATCTCGACTTGTTGCATAGGCTTTCGCATTCATGTATTAATATATCTGAGATTACGTGTTTTCATATTGCGCTTAGAGGGGGAACATAGATGTATTCCGCATGTTGGCGGAGGGTAAAGTGGAAGAAAAAAGCTTGCTTAAGCAATTAAGAGGCTTTGCCTCCTATCATTGTCCTTGTAAATTGAAATCGAAAACTGAAGACAACGTTATCTAGTCAGTCATTACAGAATAAACAATATTCACCATACTACCTCCCACCCCCCCAGGCAGTCGACTCTTTCAACTGCCTTTGTGGCACTTTAGCCGCCTAATAAGATGCTCTGTCAAGATTTCGGTTGTTTTGACCAGACCCTCTAATCTCGTACATTCAAACTATAGCTACATTCCACACCCATAATTGTAATGTGGATGAGTATTGACGTCTCACTCGTACAAGCATGATTTGTTAAGGAGAAGTCAATAGACGAGGTATATGGCAAATTTAAGACATTTGGGTCATAATAAGATAAAATATTCGTTGTTATATCGTGATTTTTGACGACGAAAACTAATTCGAGAGCTCAGCAATTAAGAACTTTGTCGAAATAATGTATAAACTGCTTGCAGAAGAATACTTCGTGATCCGAGGTATATATGTACGAGGTATGCTCCCCTACCTCCATCAAACGCTCAAGACGCCAATATCAACGCCAATATGTCATGGATGCCCCCAATAAAATGTTCCGCGCCTCGTATCCAAAAGATTTATACAGCTACTGAAGGACCGTTATGAGGCATATCCTCCTCGGGTAATTCTTGAACGATATGCTTGTCTCTTTGATCTCCAAAAGTTCCCTCCTTCATGCCATTCAAGATCACGTCATCTGGTATGTCCTTCTCCCAGGGTTTTCGCCGCCGTGGAGCAGTTGGCTTGGCAGCCATAGATATTGGGTACACAACATCTGGTATATCTCTGATCCCTGGAATTTCTTCGCCGCTCGTTATCATTGCTACTATGTCGGCGAAAGTTTGGGGATACGGTGCTGCATCTGGTGCTGTTGGATTAAGTGAGGGAATCGAAGTCGGTTGATTCTCTTTGTGCTCAGGCTGATCGGCCGCTGAGCGAGGCGGAAGGCTGACCTCTGAAGGTGAAACGAATGGCGCCTCGGGATGCGATGTGTTGGTCTCCACTGCCATATTTGCAGGTGATGATTGCGTGCTGCTCGAGGAAGGATGGCGATCCACAGGAGTCATGTCTTTAACTGGACGGTCGAAAGCATGTGACGTTGAGGTCGCTCCGTTATCAGGATTGGATTGGTATATTTGCGGGTATTTGTTGATTAAGTATGTTTTGTAAGAGTTGTAGTCAATTTGGATAGCTCTTTTGCGTGAGAAATAGAAGCATTGTGCACGAATGGTGAGATCTTGGATTTGGTTTGGAGAAGGGTTGGGTCCGAGGATTGCGGATAGACCACCCTGAATAGATATATATTAGCTAATTACAACATGGGGTGAATGAATCAAGTTCGGTATGATGAGAATCGAGTCCCAGCCGAGGCTACGTCGTGCAGCAGGAGGTCTGAATACCTGGAATTCCTTATCCTTCTCCCAATCATACGTTTCTAATTGGTGATATATCGTATCATCACCGTAGTCCTCTCTGGACAGCTTCTGGGAAGCCATCGCTATTCCGTCGACCTGACGAGTCGTTATAACAACAGCCTCGGTTGGTGGGTGAAGTGCGTAGAGCAAGGCTGAGGTTAGGAACTGCGCGTCTGGCATGAATGGTCAGCTGCACCCCACACTTAGGAGTTTACGCGACACAGTTCAGACCTCTTTGGAGAGCTTCCCAGCCTTTAACACGAACCTCAACATAAATCCTCGTTCTTCCATTGCAAAACGGCTTCACTTTTTTGTTCAGCTTTCTACCGCCCTGCGCTTGTGACCAGATCCGATTTTCTTTTCAAAGCTCAATATCGGAGCTTACTGCAAGCTTGTCGCATACGCTCTTCAACATGTCCGAATTCTTAGGGTATGCTTGTTGCGAATGGCCTCATCTTGAAAACTGGATCACTGACGTGTATGTGCAGAGCGAGAATTTCACTGGTGTCAAGGAGTGATATCAGGTAGACACACCGCAGCGGTACACCTCTCCACGCGCTAACCAAAGCTCTTAGATATGTCGGGACCCTTCACGAGATCAATTCCGAAGCCTCGACTGTCGCACTCGAAAATGTATCATCATTTGGTACAGAAGGGCGATTAAGCAATCCAGCAGACGAGATACCTCCCTCAGACAGCGTCTACGAGTACATTGTGTTCCGCGGCAGCGACGTCAAGGATTTGAGAGTTGAAGAACCACCAGCCCCAGCAGCCGACCCTCCGCAGGTCCCAAATGATCCAGCGATTCTTGGTGTAAGTCACGATTAGGTCAATTTCCTCAACACAAGCTTTAAATGATGAAAGATTCCGGATGTTAACTCATTATTGTCTCCGAGAGCGCAAAACTATGTGGAGATTTCCGTTGCCTTCCTTCTGATTTCACAAGCCATTTGCCCACTACATGACCATAATCATCGCTCAATTTGCTCACTACTGATACTTTGTTTTTAGGGTACTCGACCGACTCCTCAGAAACAAGCTCCACAGGGTCCGAATCGTCAAGCGCCGAACCCACAACAAGCTCCCCCTCCACATAGCACTCAGCAACACGGCCCACCACAGGGACCGCAAGGTGCGGCTCCTTTTGGGCAGCATCAGCAGTTCCCTCCACCATACTATCCTCCACCTCCAGCGGGCTGGGGTCGCACAGGTCCCGTAGGTTATCCAGGTATGCCGCCATTTGGTGGACCACCTGGCTGGTATCCTCCTCCTGGACAAGCCTTTCCGGGACAACCACCTAACTTTCCTCCATATGGATATCCTCCTGGACCACCTGGACCTGGACAGCAATTTCCTCCAGGTCAAGGTCAGCCACCAAGACCAGCGCCAATTGGCCCTGGGGCAAACAGACAGACCGCACCAAGTGCTCCAGTCCAAGCGAATGATAAGCAGCCTGAAGCGAAGAGTGCTGATAAACCTGCTGAGATGGCTGCTGCTGCAGTAAAGGCGCCGACACCACCAGTTGCTTCAAAGCCATCACCTGCGGCTGTCCAGCCTACGGCATCTCAAACAGCAACACCAAACACCTCGACTGCTCCCGCAGCGAAGCTTGCTCCCAAGAACAACAGCCGCATCCAACCCGCTGTTCCCTTGAAGAGTCCGGCTCCGGCTTCTGCACCGCTGGCCAATGTCGCCAACACTGCAGGCAATGCTGACACTACCCTTAAGGATGCAACAGCAGCAGCCACTGCCGCAGTGGCTGCGGCGATGGCAAAACTCCCACCCGCTGCTGGACAATCAAACGGTAATGCCGTCGACAATTTGACGAGAAAGGTCAATGAAATGAGAACGAACGATACCGTTCGGGCTCCTCGTCATCCTACGGGTGCCGGCGGGTTTAATGGCAGAGCACGTGGTAACCGTGGCGGCGCTAGAGGAGGAGCCGCACCTAAGGTGGAGGTTCCCGCAACAGATTTTGATTTCGAGGAGTCCAACGCGAAATTCAACAAACAAGATCTAGTAAAAGAAGCCATAGCTGGGGAGCCTTTAGGAGATCTTTCAAGTGAGGCCGTATCGCCAGAACCAGAGGTTCCAGTCGGGGGATACAACAAGTCGACTTCGTTCTTTGACAACATCTCTTCTGAAAGTAAGGACCGAGCAGAGGCAGGTAGTAACAAACCCGGTGGGCGAGAATGGCGTGGCGAAGAACAAAAGAAGAATGTTGAGACCTTTGGTCAGGGGAGCGTTGATAATGGCTACCGCGGTGGGTATCGTGGTCGAGGCCGTGGGCGTGGCTATAGAGGTCGAGGGTATAGCACCGGGCAACCAGGCCGTGGCCGCGGCTCCTATCGAGGCACTCGGGGAGATGCACAAACGCTCGTCCAGTGATCGCAAACGTCCCCGCCCCTACGCTGGGTAACGAAACGGAGAATTTCTGCATTGTATCAAAACACTTGCGATGACGGCTTTTCCAACATCTGGCTGACACACTCTATTTATTTTGCCTACGGGGAGGGAAAACTTGGAGACTACCACGGATATCAAAAGGGGTGGCGCGGTAAATTCGCTGTTGATTACTTCTGCTTTCTTTTCCTTTACTTGTATCATGAGGGACCAAATGACGGACTTGTAAGGTGTATCACGATATTACCGAACTGCAAGCTCAGTGTTATGCTGGTGCTTTGGAATGAAAGCCAATACTTGGTCCATGTGGATCAATGAATAGGAAATAATGAGGTGATTTTGGCGCATAACCTTTCCTTCACTCTGTTCTATTTTCCAGCAGACCCAAATGTGTTTGGGTGCTCTATCGGATTCAATTCTGAGCAGGTGTATCAAGAGAAATGAACAAAAGAGTCACTGGCCTCATCGGCATCACATATTCTTGTGGCTGGCGATGGATCAATGTGTGACGATCAAGCTTGCAGTATGCACTCATCATCATTTTCAAGTGTCTACATGAACTTTGTCATTTATGAGGGAGAGTGGACTCTATAAGGTCACTCGAAAGCTCGCAGGGGGACATATCCCTTTATTATCACTTTAGTTATGTACCCACTTTGAGCCTGTCTGGTATTTCTTACGTTTCACCAGTCCCGTATAGTTGACAAAACACTAGGTTCAAGTCGCAGTAATATGTTGAACATTACCTAACTTTGGAGAACTGACACCATTACTTTCGGCCACTTGTACACTGGTATGATGGTAAGGCTGTATCGATGGCTGTGTGCTTCTAAGCATTTGAAAAGGAGTGGGAAAGCTGGCACGTGACATGTGGTTGCCAAGCTTTCGCATTCATCACAAAGGACATTGACTCTGATTTCTCTTCCTCTAATAATCTATCCTCCAACCTGGAATCGGAGTGGTTAGTTAACGAGAAACACTCGCGAAAATACGGCGCCGGTGGTATGTTCTCCAGAATCCATGTTGTCAGTAGTGTCTTCCTATCGTTGGCGGCTTAGTGCTGACATGAGATTTACAGCCAGCCTTCTTGGAACTCATTTTCATCATCCAATAATTTATAGACCTCGGTCATCTACTATCCCTATGGTAGGAACAGGTTTCAAATGCTACGTCGTGAAGGAAACGACATGAAATGGCGTGTTGCAGCCAGATGGTTTCGCGTTTTCGCGATGTTCGCCAAATGGCCAAGAAGAGTTCGGCTCGTCTAGTCCCTATCGCTCACGGATCGACACTCCATCGTTTCTTGTCAAAGTGCTATTACATCAGCCAATTGTTGGAGAGTCTTGGTAGCAGATGACCGAGTGCAAAAAAACTCGAGAATCGCTGACAATCCCCACAATCCCGAGATGCTACTGATAATTACTCGTGCTGGAGTACTAGTCTTGTCGGCCCTAATTCTCTAAGAGGGAAACTTCATCCCCTTGCCCAGAGGAAGCCAAGTCATCCGCAAGCAAACGGCGAAATGTAAGGAATGTTGGGGCTTCTTGGAATATGAAGGGGTTGTGGGGAAGTTGGGGAACGTAAGCAGTCTTGTCCTGTATATAAGGAAGCTTCGGCAACTATACATAGCTTTTGTTGATGCTTTTATTTCCACTCCCACCAAGTATCATCACCTCCAGATATCGCTGCACTTAACAATATTAGCATGTCGGAGCTTAAGCGAGAAGATGTCGAGAAGCCACATCAAGAGCATGCCAGCCCACCTCTATCGTCGCAAGCATCTACGTATGGTCAAGAGGTACCAGGTGAAAATGGTGTCGCCATCAACGCAAAGTTGAAAAATCCTTTGGCAGGGCTTACGAGAGAAGAATTGTTAGCCGACGTTGAGGCCTTTGCCAAAGAGAAAGATATCGAAGACATTATTCCCCTGTTGAAGAAGGGTGCGTTGGTAGCACAAGACCCCAAAGGGTTTGAGTCGATACAAGACTTGAATGAAACCGAGCGAGATTGGCTCCGAAAAGAGAAAACTTCCAGATGGAACCAGCCGAGAATGCTGTATTTTATGACTGGTAGGTTCTCATGTCATAACGGCTTTAATTGCTTGCAAAATGCTAACAATCTTCTTAGTCCTCTGTGCTGGGTCTGCCATCGTGCAAGGAATGGATCAGACAGCAGTTAACGGAGCGCAAATTTTCTATTTTGATGAATTTAACATCGGCGAAGACCAAGTATGGCTTCGTGGCTTGCTAAACGGAGCTCCATATCTGTGTTCAGCACTAATCGGCTGCTGTAAGTCTTTTCCTATTACAGATACCTAGCGATCTAAGAGAACCAGAGCTAGTCTCATGGCTTCTTTTTTCGACCCCTAACTTGATTCAAAAATTGCTCTACTTTGTATGCTAATTCATCGGACAGGGACAACCAAACCTCTCAATTATTATTTTGGAAGACGAGGATGTATCTTCATATCTTGTGTTGTGTCTTTTGCCACCGTAGGTAACATCCGTATCCGATGATGAATGTGCAGAAACTAATACAAACAAAGGGTATCTGGATGGCAGCTGCTAATACCTGGTGGAACCTTCTTCTTGCACGATTCGGTCTCGGACTTGCTGTAGGAGCGAAGAGCTCGACAACTCCAATCTACGCGAGTGAAGCTAGTCCAACAGCTATTCGTGGTGCTCTTACTATGATGTGGCAGATGTGGACAGCGTTTGGTATCATGCTAGGCTTTGTCGTCTCGGTTGCTTTCCAAAATGTTCGATATACTCCAGGACAGACACCATACTGGAACTGGCGACTTATGCTTGGAAGCACTTCTATCCCACCATTTTTTGTGTGTATGATGGTTTATCTGGTTCCGGAAAGTCCGCGCTGGTACATGACGAAAAACAGATATCGGAAAGCTTACGAGGCACTGTGTCGATTTCGGAATTGCGAGATGATGGCAGCTCGTGATTTGTATTACATCCACAAGAGTCTAGTCATCGAAGACAAGCTACGCGCCGGAAAGAACCTGTGGAAGGAATTCTTTGGTGTTCCACGTAACCGACGAGCAGCACAATCCTCCTTTTTCGTCATGTTCATGCAGCAGGTGTGTAGCCTTAATCCTATGTTTTATTCTCGTATCCTTTATCCTTTGTTTTATTCTCGAGCAGTGTTGGCAATAATCAACCGCCGTTAACGGGTCACCGTTTACCTTGGCGTTATAGTCCGTTAAACAAACGGCGACTTGTGAAGGATATACTTTTTTCGGACCGGAACAAGTGAGCCGCGTGCCGGGCCGAGTATGCCGAGACGGTCCGAGATATAGTATGGGGTCACCGCCTGAGATACTGCCACTTTCCTGCCATATTCGTCAAATCAACACCAAAATCACTACTGAAAGTACTCTTATTTTCTACGAGAATCAACCCCCCTAAACGGTGTGTAATGGCCGTATAACGACCGTTACACCCTCTCCAAACTGACGGCGCTCCAAGCCGCTAAAACCGACGCCCGTTAACGGGCTTGGTGTCAGTTAGATTCCGTTAAAATTGCTGCCAACACTGTTCTCAAGTGCTAATATTACTACGCCTAGTTCTGTGGAGTCAATATAATTGCGTACTATAGCAGCCAGATATTCATAGATGCCAGCTTCACGAGATCAAACGCTCTTCTCGTCTCCCTGGGAACAGGTATCGTCAACTGGCTCTTCGCCATCCCAGCCGTCTACACAATCGACACATTCGGCAGGCGAAACCTACTCCTCACGACCTTCCCACTTATGGGAATATGTCTCCTCTTCACCGGCTTCTCCTTTTTCATCACCAGCGAGCAAGCTCGTCTCGCCTGCGTCGCCACAGGTATCTACCTCTTCATGGCGGTTTATAGTCCCGGCGAGGGTCCTGTCCCCTTCACTTACTCCGCTGAAGCGTTCCCTCTTTATGTCCGCGAGTACGGAATGGCGTTTGCCACCGCAACGACCTGGGGATTCAATTTCATCCTCTCGCTTACGTGGCCAGCGCTTGTACAGGCTTTCACGACGCAGGGGGCTTTCAGCTGGTATGCTGCTTGGAACTTCTTCGGATGGATATTCGCGTACTTCTTTCTTCAGGAGACTAAGGGGTTGTCGCTCGAAGAGCTCGATACCATTTTCAGTGTCAGAGTCAGGGACCATGCCAAGTATTACAAGGACATGTTACCGTGGTACTTTAACAAGTATATTAAGCGTGGAGATGTTCAGCCCAGAAAGCCGCTGTATGATTTAGAATAAGCAGCAGCATAGTGGTGGATGTTGAAGGGCAGATGATTATTTAAGCGGATTCAAGTATAAGGGAATGAACGATGGCATGGGAAAATGTTATTAAGAGTTAAAACTCTCTTGGCCAGATACCCGAGAATTGGAATGATCATTAATTATCTTTGAGAGATTGCTGGCAAAAGTTCCGTGATACTTATTGATCTTGCTATTTGGTAACCTGTGGATCAGTGTTTAGAGAATCAAAATTTGTAGCTCAAACGGAACTATGATTATACATTTCGTATATGTTGTAATTTTTGTTTCTGCTCGTCGTACAATCGTGTTTACCATCTCCAAAAATCGCTCTATCAAAATGACATCCAAACTCTCAATGCAACCGCAACTGTAACCACCACTAAATCAACTCCTAACAACGATGCTCAACCTAACAACTTCACCAACAACCGCCGACGCTTTCCCAAAATGCATTTTCCTCCCCGCCACCGGCAGATTCCCCTTCTTTGCGCTAGCAGCCTCCATCGCCGCCCTCCTTTCAATAGCATCCGCAGCTTTGTTTCCATCTATCAAGCCCTCTCTAATAGGCCAATTCCTCAATAAATGTATACTCCTCCTACGTATCTCTGCGTCTTCACATTCCACTGCTACTATCACCAACGAGGATATAATACCTCGAAGACACAGGAATGAGCGTCTATCGGGCTCGTTTGACAAGAGTCCCTTTTGCAGCGTTTCGGATGAATAGAGAATGGTTTGCAAATGATTGAGCATGTTCGTGATTGGTGTGCTGGATGTTGCGGATGCGAGAGCGCCGCTAAAAATCGAGGCTGTGGTGTGGTGCAGGATTTGGTGGTTTAGGATTTGAGATATTTCGTTCCATGAGGTTTTCTTCGACGAATTCCGGAGGTCAGCGAACTTTTGAAGAGCAATCGCAGAGTGGTTCTGTTCTCGTACGAGAGTCCCGATCTCCCGGAGAAGTTCTGGTGTAATCGAATCCATCGTCTCGAACTCGTGTTCCCGAATAACAGAATTGAGAATGCAAAACGCCCAATTTGTTAGCTTCAACCCAACAGCAGAAATTTCTGTCATGCTGTGATATTCCCTAGGCACGATTGGTGTGAGGCCTTTTCTTTCGCTCTTTGTGACCAAAGTCAAGCCCGGTCGACCATAATTCGAACCAAAACTAAATCGACCATCTAAAGTCGCAAAATGACTGACTAATGCATCGTTTATGTCGTCTAGAGGTCCATTCATTAAGTTGACTTTTGATTTTGGCCTTGCTCCAAATTTCTTCAAGATTGCCAGTCCAGCTAAGGCATGTCGAGTAGCTATGTTGAAATCGCCTCTCGCATTTTCGATCATATAAAAAAGGAGGCAGCACATTAGAACCACCTCATCGTTAGGATTCGGGCTTGACAGGTACTCCTGGCCGTGCTGTAACGCTTTGCTGTACGCAATCAGCGTGCTCGGCTTATGCTTCAGCTCGGTGGGCGACATGTCCTGCGTGGCTATGTGTTCCTGATGGAACGCTGCCAATGAAAGAACTGCATAACGAATGGCTGGTTCCGACTGGCTATAGAGCGGTACTGATCTGTACCAAAAGTCCATATGCGAGTAGCCACAAAGATCAGGGATAGATTCCAAGATAAAGTAGTTAAACAGGAAACGCTCTCGTTCGGTGCCGGGGACTTTGATCTGTAACTCAGTTGTCCTTCGGCTAAAAGTTGAAGCAGGATCACTGGCATCTTTAACTGCAGTTCTGGTACCTGGATGCGTAGATCGTCTAGCATTGCCATCTATGTATATCCACTTCCGACCCGGCCGGAATTTACTATCAAGAGGTTAGGCCAATCTCTGTATACATTTCACCTCTTGACATACGCTTTACCCTTTTCACCCCCAACCGCCTGACTATTCCCCTCATCTAGGTGCTCTCGGAAGACGTCGCGCGTATCCGCATCTTTCTCAGACCCTGTGCTAGATTCCGAAGACTGCACAGGCTTTACAGGAAATGTATAGAAATTTTCTGGATTCGAGCCGTAGCGAGAACCAGTGCCATATTGCCCGGTAGGTTCTTGATACCACTCACAGAGCAGTCCAGCCCTCTGGCACTTAGCACATTGAGGAGTCTCCTCGCCACATTTGATCCTTCTCGTCCTGTATTAGAAATGACAGGACGTCAGATCAAACATTCAAACACAGCACCAGCAAAAGCACGTGAGGCCACCTACCGACAATTTTTGCATCCACTTTTGCTCCGTGGAGTACTCTTCCTTGTATTGGTTCTGCCTACCATATCGTAGCCAACATCGGGTCAGAGACGCCGTGGATGGAACGGGGAGTTGAGCAATGGTTTGACGGCGGTGATGCAAAAGAGTTGTGGCGTTGTGGCAGTGGAAATAAAGTTTACGATGCTGTCCATTGAGTCGGTTTTTGTGATGTTAATTGCATGACCCTCAGCACTCGCATGTTACATGCAAGAAGAGATCTAGATCTGGCGGATACCGTTACGGTTAGAGGGTTGACATTGGTGGGATAGAAAATGGGAGGGGAAGAAATCCGGAGGTCTGTCTGACAACCTTGGCGAACTTCGGAACATGAACATGTCCATGGCTTCCTGCCTCAGGCCGGAAATTGCTGCTCCTTCAGCATACCCACCCTACAATTGGCTCGTAGATACGTGTCCATGGAATTTGAAGAAGAGTACTAAAAGGCTTTATTTATCTTGCCTTGCAACCATCGTTTCATAACATATTTTTGGGTATATCCTAAAGTACCAATCAAACCATATCGCCTTCCTCCTTACTACACTATACATAGTTCAGATGATTATGCCTATTCCTTCCAGTGCCATAACCTTGAGGAAAATTCACAACCCACTTGCTTTTCCGTGCTTGAGGAGCATAAAGACCAAATGCAGTCGCCTTGTCTGAAAAGTTTGCTGGAACAAATACTCCGAGGTAGGAACTATTTGCAGCGGCAAACGCGAGTTTGCGGTATTGCTCGATTTGAGCAGCTGTCATAGGAGAGCCATCGTTGACTGGACGAGCTTCTGTGAATGCTCTGCGGAGTGCATCGCCAGCTTGGGCACCGTCCCAGCTTTCCAAGAGAAATATGGCCCGCCTCCTGATGAGATCGTCGGTACAAAGGACCGCAACGATATATAAAGTAGAAGAGTAGCCTATCCGAAGCAGGAAGGATCTCAGTTTCTGCTTCCCGGGCGATTGCAATATAAGTCCTGCGGTAAGCGATTCCGCAGCTGTTAATATTTCTGCAAAATCACTATCCATGTTGAGCCAGGGAGTCCCATAGGTAAAGTGTGCTGTCATGACTTGAAACTTGGTCCTCATCGCTAGCCCTGTACGATCTGCTCAGCAACCGAACTATCATTCAACTATAACAAAAAAGACTGTACACAAAATTTCACGCTGAAGGATTGGCCTACTTACATAGTATTTTGCGAATGAGTGCCCTTGACTGACCACTTCCCATTGAGGCGATATTTGGTTCCTGTGCTTGTAACACCACAGCAAAAGGCCGATCCCATCGATCAAGCTCGGCTCTTAAAACCGAGTGCTCGCGTAACAGAGGGGGCGGTATGTCATCTGGATGACTATGTAGATATGGTAAACTTGAAAACATAAAGTGCGAAACCCTAGAAAATCGTTCTGTCAGCTTTTTGTGAAATTTGCGCCCGAAATACATATTTCATGTCCACGTGCGTTAAGCCAGATGGGAAAGGGACTTACCAGTTCTCCAGATAATTATAGATAGTTCGTACATGTTCCACCCCCTCAAAAGCTTGTGGAATATGAGACATACGACCTTCTCGGACGTCAGTCGAAGTCAGTACTAGATATGGCTTTTCGTCATGAGCGTTGCTAAATAGCGCATCTAAGCCCCCAAAAACTTCCTCGAAAGAGATTATATCATGCAACGGACCAGAATTCAAGTTAGAAGACGGCTCTTTGTACAAGTTTTTCCGCCACTCTCTCAGGACCTGACAACCAGCCTTTGCATGCCGTTCGGCGTTGACAAACTGTTCCCGAGAAACCTCGATACAGTAAAATATGACGCAGCAAACCAGCACCATTCGATTGGATGGTTTGGTCTTGTTCGTCATGAATGCCTGTAAAGACTGAATCGCTCGGCTGTATTGATAAGTGAAGGAACCTCGTGACAGGTCGCCGAGCGCAGCAGGATTTCCGACCGATACAACGTATTCCTTGTGGAAGGCACTGAGAGCTGTGGTAGCGTATCGAACTACTGGCTCATTGTAGCTAAAGGGAAGTACCACTTCCATCCAGAAGGAGGGACTGAAATAACAACAAACATCGTCGAATGTCTCGGCACAGAAATAATCTACAAGCTGTCGATCATTGGCATCACCGGGCATTTGCATCGACACGCTGGAATGGGTCGGCGAGATAGCGACTTCCGAGGAGCGCGTTGGTGAGTAGGAGCCTGGTGGTTCCCAGCGCCTGTGAAAGCAAGCCGGGTGAGATCCGTTACAGAGTATTAGGTTGGTTCTAATGGTTTAGCAGGATGTCATGTTGATCATTCGAGGTTCAAATAACTAACCTGCAAAAAGAACAAGGTAATACTTGTTGCCTTACCACACTACCTTCACCAAAAGAACTGGTTAAAGTCGAAAGTCCATTGGAAGATCTCGTCTGCCCAGTTAATTCTGAACCTCTTTGATTGAGCGCCGAGAGATTCTTTCGCTGTCGAGCTTCGTCGGGACTGGGACGAATAGCGAAGGTATAGAATGCGTTGGATCCACTAGGCGCCTCTTTACGGCCAGTACACTCTATTCCAGCTTTAACGCATCTAGCGCATTTTGGTCTCTCTTCACCACATTTTACTCTTCGAAGTTTGCAAGAATTGCACCCCAGCCTAGATCTGGTGGGTGGCAACGTCGGGGTCAGCTTCTCTTGCGCGTTGACATGGAATGGGGTTTGTGTTTAACAATGAAGAAGTAGCAGGATCGCGTGCTCCATTCTAGCAACACCTAGACATCCTCACGGCCGTTACACAAGTGACAGAAGGAAAATCCAATGCTGACCTTGGCGTGGCCTTCCGGCTCTTCCCTTGCTTTTCCATCAACGGTCCACCAGATTTGGAGTGCCCTGGATCCAGTTTGGTAGGTTGCGCGGAGGAGCAGATTTTATGGTGAAGAGCTCAAGAAGTCAAAGGCGTAGACAAATGACTTTTTACCGGCAGTGCCTCCAAGAGGTCGCCGATCACCCCACATGAACCAACGTCAGTTTGCTGTGATTACTCTAGATTCCAGTGCGAGACAGGGCGCTTTTGACAGCTCTCCAACGAGAAGGGGCCACCAGGTGGGAGTGACTAAGTCGGCCAATGATGACGGGCTGAGTGAGCGGTACGTTGGTGGCTCCTCCTAATATTGTCTAGGCAAGTTGCTGGAAGTCGTGCCTTCGAACAGGAGTGATGCTGTACTGGAGGTGCCGGCCAGGGGGGGTGGAAAGGCCGTGCTTCTTGAAGCGAGTTCTGCTGGGTGCGGTGCTGTGCTGTGCTGCCCCGTTTCCCACTTTCGTGGATGAAGTCGTACCACCGCGGTATGGGATAGCGCTTGCCTATCGCTGTCGGGGAGAATTGTTGAGGAGAATTTTCGAATTTGAGAGCTTGATTGTTTGCCTGCGTGGTACTGGGGACGGAACACGGAGGTTGTCGTGCTCTGGGGAAGTCAGATCCTGAGGGCGTTGCTGAGCCGCAGGACGACAGCTCAGGGTCACACGATGAAGCCAATCGTAGGATGAAGGTGCGACGAATGAGCGCAATGCTCGGGATATGCCATCTTCGGCCTTTTGGGCGTCCAAGGCGTCAGTGTTTGGTACGCCTTTTCATGTCCAAGCACAATCCCGTGACGTTGCGAGCAGCTTCGCGGACGACGTGGTGTTTCACCCCGGAGGTGTCGCCCTGACACCAGGTACCCGGGATGCATTGACAAAGCTCCTCGACTGTTGTGGCTGCATCCTCCGATGCAAGTCTCATTTGGGGTCTGTTGGAACGGCGTTGGTTCAGACATTGAAGCAGCAGAATCGAGAGATCCAACGTTGGATTCGCTTGGCGTATGGTTTCGTTCTGCCACGAAAGCGGTGACCCCTGCGCAAAATTGTGGATGTGGTGTCGAGATAGAATGTTTTTGCAATCAATTCTGACAGAGTATTATGTATTTCGTCAACTGTTTTCAGATGGTGAGACGTTTGCAGACTCTGCACTGCATGGTCTAAAGGCTACCTCTATGAACAACGTCGGGAATCCCCCACTATGGTCCACCATCGTGGCCCAGTGCCGTCGGCTGGAGAACCCTCAATGGCTCAACAACATTAAAATGGATGTCTTTCTCGTTTGCTACCATCGTCCAGACAATGTTCATAAACGTCGCGTGGTCAAAGGTTTCCTCGCGATCTGCCATGGCGGGGATGGTGCAAAGAGCCATCGCTTTCTCAATTCCTCGAGCCGCCATCTTTCCATCGAAGGATCCCTCTTTTATAGGCCAGGTCTTCATCATCTGTAAAGCTCTTCTCTTTTTGGTCATGTCCAAACAGCTGCTCGCAGTATAAGACAGAGCACCCGTCACCCCGCCATGGAAGAGATATGATCTTCCCCTCGCATTGATCGAATCGCTTGACATCAATCCATCATGGAGCGTTTTGGCAATACTCAAAATCTTCTCGTAACATCCGTCGACATCTGTACTCATCCATAGAGGGTCAAACCCTGCGAAGAGATGGTATAGTTCCAACTTTAAAAGAATGTACGACGAGTAGAGAGTCAGGACGCTCGCTTTCTCCGCCCAGAGCGTTGATGGTAGCGATTCCTGGTAGGCTAGAAGTGGGCTATATGCACCCTCCCATGAAATATATTGTTCTCCAAAGAACGATAATTCGTCGATCAGCGATTTGGGAACTCTTCCAAGGCTTCTATACTGGCCAAGTCGCTGCGGTTCAAGAAGATGGCGCCCCCAGTTTATCAGCTTGAGAAATGCTTCGTTTGCGTGGCTCATTGTCGGTAGCGGCGTTGGGAACAGCGGCGTAATTCCTGATCGTTCTTCCTGTGTTGTTAAGACTAAAATCGGGGCAGAAGATCCTGCCCATTGACTGAAGACTACATCTAAAGTCGCGAAGTGAGGTGTAAAATTGGCCCTCTCTGATTCCGTGTCCGATGCAGTTTTAGGCTTCCACGTTTTGAAGATCTCAATTCCAGCCTTTGCACTAAATACACATTAGTAATCTTTGAGTATTATAAAATACTGGTCGAGGGAGGGGAGGTGTGAAGAGCGTCGAAGAAGGAAGCACATCCACTTACTGTCTCACGGCTACTAGGTCATCGCCTCGGAGAGTTTCAATACAATAGAAGAGCAAACAGCACATGAGTATAATCTCGACAGACGGCTGGATATTATTAGCCAAATAACTTCGCACAAATCGAAGTGCTTTGTTGTATTGGCGGAGAGCGACATCATGATCAGCAGCCGCAGTAGGGCTTCCAGTCAGGCGTTCTCTATGGAATCCGCTCAGTGCCAAAAGTGCGGACCGTACAATTGGAAATTCATGGCTGTATAGTAAGATTGAATCGTGCCAGAAATTGTCTGTTGTGAATCCGCGTAAATCTTGCAGTGCCTCATATTGATAATAGTGCAAGAGCAGCTTCTCGCTATCGTTACCCGGGGAATTTATGGGGAATCCCTTAGATGTTTTGAGTATCGAACGTGTCACTGCTCGTGAGAAATCTTCAACGGAATCCTCAGTTTCGTGGTTCTTATCCTGGTCTTTCAGTGACATGTCAGGCAACGCTCTAAATCCACGTCAGGCGACTATGTGATAGACATCAACTGCAATACCACCCACCTCTGGCGTCCAAGTAGTAGAAGATCTTTCTTAAGGTGCGAAGAGCCGCCCGTTCTCAACGTTGAAGGAACGAAGCCTGGGACTGTCCGTGACGGAGGGCCTTTACCAGTGATCGCAAACGTCAAAAACAAGTTTGAGCTTTTTGATTCGGACGAATCATCGTATCCAGGACACTCCCATCCAGCTCGAATGCATTTCTCACAAGATGGCTTTCCCTCATCGCATTTGGTTTTTTTAGCTCTAATTCTTGTTAGCAACTGTCAAAACCACCATACGACACCCAAGAGCAAATGGCTGACTGACGAACCTGCAACTATAGCATCCTCCACGTGAGCGAGGTGTAGACCTCCTCTTCATATTTGTAGCTCGATTGTCACGAGAAAAGGCCCCAGCTATCATGAGTTATGGTGCGTCTCAACAAGCAAAAATAAAATCCATAGCCAAGTACACAGGGAAGAACTATACGAGCATCGGAAAGGTCGTAAAGCAAGCTGCTCGATTTCGGTGTTGTCAAGAATCTTGCCAAGTAGAACTATTACTAATGATTAAGTCCTGCACAGGAATGAGGACCATGGTACGTGCGTCTTTGTGATACGGCGTCGTTATAAAAGATTGCCCGAAAAGGGATGCAGATCTAAAGCTTTGTGGGCAATTTTATATTAACCCATTGCCTGTCGAGGGGCAAGCAAGCTCCGCCGCAAGCCGGTGAGCCCCTTGTTTGGTCCTTAGCCTCCTCCCACATGTGTGATGTGGCGCTGATGTTCTGGCCCCCAACCATATGAAGTGCTTATCTCAGCTCACGGTGAAAAGTGGCAGTTCGAGAAGCGATAATTATTCGATCAACTTGACGATCATGTATCTCGTCTAAGTTTTCAGTAAATAACCTAAAAACGCTTTCATGTCTGTTTAAACTGATTGTAGATTACAATCGATACTTGATTGCCAGAATATTCAGAGGGTTCTGCCACTTTTGTTTTGTCCGCTGCGACTAAGCTTGGCTCAAGCAATTAGCTGAAGACAGCTCGTGTTCCATTGCCGGCAGTGATTGACGGGGAAGACATTCGTCTCCTGACGCCGAGACTAAAAGCTCGCATGCATTCAAGGTTTAGGGTAGATTCAGACATATTCTGCATCAGACAATTCTGTTAGTGGACCATACCGAGTCACACGGTTCAGAGGGGAAACGATAATGGTGCTCCCCGCGTGTTACAGCTTACCTATATGCAAGGTGTAAACAAGACATACATAGTACATACTAAACGTTCCGCCAGGATAATTTTGGATCGCACCCCAGGACTTCCAAGTATCCTACGTCAGATTATTTTGGTTTGCGAAAAAGCATCACCTTTTGTGCCAAAGCTAGTAAGAAGGGAGGCTTCGCGGGGTTCGATTGAATCTTTTCCATCACTTATGCTCGCAGGTAGCCTGACAATGACTGGTCATAGAAAACAAAAGTGAAGGCATCGGAGTTGCTGTCAAGAAATCCTTCTGTAAATTTGTACTTAATCCTGGTTGGAATGTGTTCTGGAGAGATAATTGATCTAAAGCTTCTTGGGTTGCACTGGCTTACCTTCGGATGGTCAGGAACTGTCGATAGGAAGCAAACAGCGTCACAATCTCGCAAGTGTTTGTGGTTGACAATGGCATCTAGCCAGTGCGTAAAACGAGGATTCGCTTGTACTTTCATGAAAAGCAAGCCTGAGTATCTATGGAGTAAGAACAACCAATCCGATATATTTGTTTCACAAATACCACTCGAATTGCCCTTAGAGGACGTGAGGTGATCGGTCAGACAGTTTTCAGCTTGCTATTCAAAGCAGACTTTACGCGTCCAAACATATCGACCCACATAATAAATCCTACAAGACAATAAGTCCAATGTTGGGGCTAGAGCGAAGTGAGACCTACCGACTATCAAGAAGCTCACATATCCAGGAATGTTCTTATTGATCGTCTCTCGTGGCCAATCTTCGGTGTAGATAACCTCAATGAGACAGACAAGTGTCGAGGATATCAAATGAGTTGACAAGACGAGGAGATGTACGGGAGCCATGGTTGTTTCTGAACAACGTCAACATGGATTTGAAGATACAGACCTGAAAAAATATGTACCTTTAATGAGGCCTACAATGCCATAGATGGCCATTGGAACAAGGTAAAATGCCTCAACGAAAACATATAGTTGGAAAAAGGGCGGGTGCTTGGCAAATAGGGGATCATTGTATTGGACGCTGTAGAACTCGTAAGGAATCTTGACCCATGATGGCAGTCCGGCTGGGTAAAACGGGACGAAGTCCAGGACTATAGTAATTAGATATGTCTGTTTCAATGAAATAGGAAGCGGATAATGGATAGCCACATACTCAATGGGAAGAAAGCAACCGCGGAGAGAAAGATAACATAAAGTGAGTCCAACTTCTTTCGGGTCCCTGTTGGTCGGGATGCAATTGCAGAGGAGTTTGCCATAATGATGCTAAGAACAGAAAGGGAAACCTCTCTAGACAAACTCTTGGAAGAAATAGTCAGAAGTTTGGTGTTCAATCCAGTTGACGGTGAAGAGCTGAGATGGACTGAAATATTGTTTGTTCCGTTAGAAAGTCTGAGGAAGGGCTGAAAAGCGCGCATGGAGCCAGTGCGCATTGCTCCACTTTTTTGGCTGCAGTTCCCCTTTTGAGCCCCACCCCTCGGAAGCGGCAGTAGGTATTCTTCTCTCGAGGCAACATTACCTTTCTGTCAACTTGCAACTAAGCATGTTCGTACCCTTAATTGATCAAAGTTGTCAAACAGAGTCTTGGATTACGGTGATTTGTGAAAGTAACATGTCCGATGTACAAACTTTTGTCAACTTTGAATAAACAAATTACAGGCTTTCGACTGCCACATATATTGACCACCAAGATCCAACCACTGGAACCACTGAAATTTCTTCAAGCACCTTCAAACCAGACTTCCTATTGAGCCTTCCGGGTTTCAAAGGAATTTATACTTCCTTATTCTATCCATATTTAGACCAGAAAGCTCAAGGGTGGGTTTACCTAGCTATAATATTATGCCTAAGAGAGGTAATTTATTACAGGAAAGAGCACTTCCATTAATATCACAATTGATTTTTAGGTTGATGCTTACCACTTTTTGCCACCCAGACACGCGGTGGACAACAAAAATGGCAGTAACCTTTCGACGTTTCCACTTATTCAAGCTGAGCGTACCTCGAAACAAAATTACATAACTTTGATGTTTGGACGATTCTATACACAACTTGGTTACCCTAGATTACAGGCGAAAACTTCGGTATTTTGTCAGCTTAGTCGGAAAAATCAACATCTTCCAACCGCCATTGATCTTGTCCATTGCGGGCCAGGTAGCTAATTGCATGCCTACGTGCCCGAGGCAAGAAAAGCACATTAGTAATCGCACTTATGCACAGATAGTGTGACTCTACATTAGGTAGGTAGGTATTGTGGGGAATTTCGGGCTTTCACTTTAGGTTTGCTTGTCAATACAAAGCTGATGACAAAACGGAACTTTCAACAAACAACAATAGCAAGCTTCACCAACCACCTACCTTCGACCACCTTCTTAATAGACCTGTCGTTACTAAAATCTCTCTGACAATTTTCGAGTATTGCAGAAGCACCCCTAACTTCAGTGACATTCAGACCTTCTTACTTCCATGTTAGTAAGATCGAAACTCAACTTCAACTGGATGATTGCTGACGAAGATTTCACCACAGCATCCAAGATTTCATCATGTCTTCAGATAACGAGGACCACAGTGTCAAGGATACTTCCAGCGTTGCTAAGCCACCTTATGAGGCCACCCCAAAGGACGCATCATTCTTCTTCTCAGTTCTCAAGAACTGCAAGTCCAAGCCAGATGTAAGTAACACTCTATAATCTCCAAATTTATGCTTGCTTTGGTTCACTTTCGGGCTTGCTGCTTCGATTCCCAGCATGCAAGTCCCAGACCAATGACACGCCACTACCTGGCGTTCACCTGCGGCAATTAGCATTCCTTATCTTCGATCTCACGTTAACTCTCTTTGTAGGTTGACTGGGACGCAGTTGCCGCTGAGCAAGGCCTCAAGAGCGCAGGAGTTGCAAAGGTTCGATACGGCCAGATCAAGAACAAGTGTGGCATGACCGCAATCCCTCCAGGAACAAAGAGTACCCCAAAGGAGCCAAAAACACCTACCAAGCGAAAGGCCACGACCAAAGCCGGAGGAAGTGCTAAGATGGCAAAGACGGACGGCGGAGAAGACGATGAAGGCGCTGTCGCTACACCGACCAAGTCTCCAAAAAAACGTGCAACTCCCAAGAAGGCACCAAAATCTGCTGTTAAGGCCGAGGCTGATGAGGATGAGGACATGGACGCAGGTAGTGGTGACGACGTAAAGCCAGTTGGTACTAAGTTTGCCAAGGCGTCCGTCAAGGATGAAGAGGACAACATGGAAGAAGAAATTTAAAGGGTGTCGTTCTCGCTTTCCAGTAAGTCTCAGCTTATGTATCTTGTGTAATAAGAACTGACATAACAACAGCTATCATGATGAAGGATGTTACAAAACATTGTAACAGACGATTTGGAGCTTTGGAGTGGTTGACATTCTTTGTACTTCTGATTTCTGATTTCTGATTGCAGGATAGCGATGCTAGGGGAAGACCATACGTCGATTAACTCTCCCGGTGGGCAGATATTATGACAACTGTGTATACAGGCATTAGAACTCAATCTTTCAAACACATTTAAGATGTCAAAATTGCACAAATATGTCAAATCTGTGATTTTATGGTGTTTAAATCCTTCCTCTTTGCGGACATAGTAACAGCATGGAATGGCATTTGGTTCCTGCTCCACTCACAGATTCTGAAGTACTTGCTCTACTTTTTGAGGTATTTTTTTCATTCGAATTAGATGGTGAACAGCCAGGCTACGGCTCCTTTCTCGGATATCTGGTGCAAGGCAAGGAATGAAAGCATTTGGTAGCTATTTCCAGCACGATACTCCCACTGGCCACGTGCGATCATCTATTCTATCAGTTTTCGGGCTCACCCGTCTTTCTGTTACCATTCACACCTTCTTATAGTATGGATTTTTACCAGGTGTAGCAACCCAACGTGTAGTTTTCTGCTTCAGAGGTACGAGGAATGACATTAGTAAGATAGCTTCTTATTTGTCACCCCCAAATGTCAACAGGTCCCAGAAACAACTTGTCCAATAATAAATTATGCAGCTGACCAGAAAAATTACGCTTGATGTTTTTTATTTTCACAGTAAACATCCAAGCGTAATTGTCACTCCATTCCTCCTTACCACGTAGAGCGGATCGATTTTATCTGCAACGAAGACAGAGTAGCTCAGCAGTGTATTTGTGTATGTTTACGACCGCATTGGTATCTTCGTGGGGGGAGAATTGAAAGAAAGACTGAACTAGTTTTATATTATGGCGGCTTTTATCTATCTGCAGTAAAGAAAAAGTGAAGAGCAGCGAAGTGTTGATATCGCAGAAGAAGCTTTCCCCCAGCTAACAACGTATTTCCGAATAAATCCCCATTCCCTGCGCCAGTCATATATGTATGTGTATTCTTGCGAAGATTTTGCGAGAACTGTTATTGAAGTGATGTGAGACATATGATGCTTCCTACTCCTCGTCGTCATAAAGGCTATCGTTCTTATTAGCTTGAGTCTCGACACAGGAGTAAACATGCGGCACTTACTCATTCCGCTCCAAATCAATGTATGGACGTCCCCCATAAACATTTTCTCGGCCTGTGTCCTCCATCTTGAAGATAGGAGCTTGCAAAAACCCTCTCTCGACTTTGGCAGTTTTAGACTTTTTGGTAGGTGTATCTTCGAAACCTTCATCGTCATCCTCGACATCGACAGATGTGGTATTGTTTTTGTTTCCCTTAGAAGTGGCTGAAGTCTTTGGTGCGTCTGGTGTCTTCCTTTTCTTTGGTGTTGTAGCGCTGCTTGAGGGGGTGCTTGATGTACCTAGTGCATTTCTACGCTGCTTGCGAATTTTTTGAAAGTGTTGGCTGTAATGGTATTAGTCTAGGTGTAAGCAGTATGGAAATCAAAAATACGGGAGACAAATTCTTGAACAAACATAACACGAGAAGTAAGCCTTCATACACATAGTGAAACGCTCCCCTAAGGACAATTTGTGTTGCAATTTGCTTAATGAACAAGGAGCACGAGTAAATAGCGAACGTATTGTTATCGATCTGGTTCCCTCCGACCTGAACAACTCCTGGTTTTACTCGAAGATCATGGGAAACGATCGCGGCCAAAAATGTGAGGAAAGTGAGGACACGTGAGTATGGGGAAAACACTTACCGACATGCTTCGTGAGAAAATCCATAACCTAATGCTGTCATCTCGGCAGCAATATCCTTCCATACAATGCTTGTCAAACTACCCCGAGCGATAATAGTTAGCAGCAAATCTTTGTCCGACTCATGATTCCAGGTAGTGTTGGTCATTTTGTGGTTGTTTTTTTTTAGGAGTAGACCTGTGATTGGGTTTCGGCTTCTAGATATGTGATAATTTTGTCGACAGGTTATTGTCAGTGAAGATCGAGCTAAAATTCGAGGTGGATCTGTATTGTGATCAAGTTGAAAGATGAGGTGTAGTTGAACACGAGGTAGATTGGTAATGGAAGAGATCGAAGTGAATAGATGACAAGCGAGTGGTGACTACCCGAAAACCTGCGCAACCTGGGACCGACTCGGAACTCGGCAGGCAAGAATGATACAGATCGTAGTGCGTGGACTCGTGAGTATTTCTTCCAATTTTCAAATCGTGATAAAGAACTCCTGATGTCACATGCGGTGTCGCTAGGTAAGTAGTAAAGTGATCCTCCTGCTTTAATATCGAAATTTCCTCCAGAATCTCTTTTGAGAGTGGAAAGAGAACACCGTAACTGTAGAATTCTTGCTAGAATCTTAAATTATATATCCCGCTATTAACTAGATCGCTATTCTTCTAAATTTCACTTCTTTTCCGGATCGTTCTTAGTGTTCACTTTTTTAACACGTCTAGTTCACAAGACATTAAAAAACATAGGCATAATTAGTAGGTATAGTTCGAAAACTTGTGAATTTCACTAGACCGCTACTTTAGAGTTTACTTGTCCAGAAAAATTTCAATTTCGCTCTAAAGGCTCGCGATCTTTCTTCGGTTGAACACTATCTCATCCCCGAAAAGGGGGGCGATCCGACGTTGCCACGGCAGCGACAACCTATCAACAACCTTAGAACTACGCACCAACATGTTTGACTCATAAAGCTGTACAGTGTTGCATAAATGTATCGCATTACTGCATCAAACTTCCCCAGCCTATTAATTGTTTCTTTTCAAAGAACCAAGACCCAACCCCCCCAATTTATGATTCGTCAAGACCAGGCGTGGGGAAAGGCTTCGTGCCTTGCATGGAGCAATCGGCTGTTGGTCGCGACCCAAACCGCACAACGAACCATGATCTTCCCAACTGATGGCTTTCATTCTCCATATGTATGGCCATCGAAAAGGATATGGTTGGTCCGCGTGGGAAGTCGCATTGTCCCCCGCATTGCTATCAGATAAAGCATGCAAACACTTAACGCGCTACGCGTCCACCCATGGTATCAATGAAGATGCAGCCACCACGTCGCGCCGTCACCTGCTCCTCGTCCGTTGCCTTGGCCAACGAACAGCAAAAAAGGGGGGAAACATGGGAACATGCGAGGATAGTGGTCAGGCAGAAGAAGAAACGTCATTTGCGCCATGCCTCAGACCGACCGGCAGATGTATCAAAGCTCTGGATGAGAAGGAAAGCTTCTCTTTTTAGCCAACAATTGACGAGCATGTCAGGACGTGCCTCTACTCTGCATCTCTCATCAGCAGCTTGCAGCAAAGCTCAAAGCTTTCCCACAGAATCACGCTTAAAGCCGTCGTTGTTGTACAGGGAAACCTTAGTGCTGGTTCTAGAGAAAGAGGGAGGACCTCGCTTGTGACTTCTGCACACTCTCCCAGCCATTCTTATAGCCAAACTTGTGAATAGGGGACCTCGCTCCCATGATGACTCCTCCAGGCCTCTCACAGCTACTTCTTGACAGGTCCACACCGCTGATTGACGTACGAAGTACTCTAGCCGAATAAAGAGTGAAAGAGCTAAAGCAACTGTAAGAAGTTTAAAGAAGTAGGAAAGTGATTGTTCATGTGTATATCTGTAACAAATTTTGGCTCTTTGAGAATCACTTCAGATCAGCCATCTCTTATTACAATCTCGATCCTGTCGACGAGGGTTCTATTCAATAAAAGAACCGGTAGTTGTATAAAATAACTTACAGCCCCTTCGTATTCCGAGTGCGATACCAGTAATCTGATGAACTCCCAAGTCTTTCGCAAGATGCCGAACGATTCATCCATGAATCGGCTCCTGTATGCTATTCTGAGCGAGAAGTGCCTGAAAGATGTAAGTGATACATATCCTCGAACATTTCACACGCCGGACACAAACTCCTCACACTTACCAGTTTTCACATAAACTAATAATTTCAGGTTAATTGGGACAAAGTCGCCAACAACAAAATACTTGAAAACGAAATCTCAAATGGACATGCAGCTCGGATGAGGTATTCGCGTTTTAAAACGCAAATGGACAGCAGCATAGGCATTGTGAAGAAGCGTCGGAAGAACTCGCCGCGTAAAGCCAAAGCCGACAAGCCTATCAAGAAGGAAAAAGGCCGTAAGAATGAGAATCCTGAGAACTCGGATGAGCAGCAAGACGTGAAGCACGAAGAAATGGAACGGCAAAATCTTGAAGACGACGACGAGAGCTTAGCTGGCGGACGACACATGGTGAAGCGAGAGCTGAAAGAGGACAGTAATGAGTATCCATCAATTTTGCCTTACACACCGACGTCGCAATACTCAACTCCCAGTCCAGGAATGAGCCACCAACGATTTGATACTCTTGGGAATGGTTTGGACGACATGACAACGACATTTACTAGCTTTACTGAAGCTTTGGGGCCGGATATGTTTGAACCTTCTCTGATGGAGCATGGCTACACATCTGGGTTGGGCATGGGAATGGGCATGGGAATGGCAGAGTCTTTTGGGACGCAGTGGGATGAAGGCGAACCCCGGTATTTTAATGAAGCCAGTGAAAGATCGCTGATGAATACGGGCGGTGTTTTCGTAAAAGATGAAGCTCAGTGGGAGGAGGATTGCGGCCATTAGAATTCTTGGATCTGGAGTCATTTCGAGGGTGTTTATTTCAAAGGTGTTCATTCCAAACTCAGCAGCGCTGCGCAGTCAAATTTGCGTTGTTTGCTAGATAACGGGAAGAGTCTGTCAAGGTCGACCAATTCATAATGTTCTGCAGATGAAAAGCAATTGTGGCATAATAGCTATGAGCAGCTGACTCTTTGACATTGTTTGTTCTTGTATAATGTAAGATAGATGCGGGAGAGAATATCAAACCCTTACTGTAGCGTCATGTCTTCGACCTGAAATGAAGCATAATAACAAGATGTGAGTTTGATCGAAGGTGAATATTTCTGTGGTGCTATCAGTTGTAAGATAGCATTCGCTAATAGTTGCATTGGGACTGAGGTGAATGTTTGGGGTTATATAAACGGCTACCTGCCCTCAACTTCGAACATCATCGCATAACATACCGTCTCCCAACATACGATCTCCAGTTCTCCAAATACTTTCATCGAAATATATTCTCAGAAGACACATCGCAGCGAGTGGGTGTTGCATTACCTCAGGTAAGCTCAGTCTAAGTCGCTTAAACCAACTGCGATCTGAGATATTCCGACAAGATCGTCAGCATTTACGCTCATTCTTGACCCTCGGGACAACTTTCAATTTGCCAACCGATCTTTCAAGACGATCTCAAGCAGGCAGCAAAAGATGGCGCCACAAGCAGAAGACAAAGAGATGGAGAGCAAGAGCGGTATGCCAAGTAACGACGTTGAATTTCTGATTATGTGTCTGAAGAACACAAATGGTGGAGTGGTTTCTGTAAGGCTAATTTTCTCGACCCAGACAGAGATTCTCTCGAGTCTTATTATATCCGAAAATAAGCTGACCAGTTCCACTCAGATCAACTCGGCTGCAGTTGCAAGCGCGATGAACTATTCCAATCCAAGATCTGTCACCAATCGCATCGCCGCACTGAAGAAGAAATACGATCTGCCATTTGGTACGGCAAAGGCAAGTCCGACTAAGTCCACCACCGATGAAGTAAAACTACCAGTGACTCCCACTAAGAACCGTGTCACCAAGACGAAGGCGACACCAAGAAAGGCCGCTACTCCGAAGGGGAAGGCCAAACTGGAGGCAAAGGCCGAATTCTCGGATGAAGATACGCCCATGTTAACCACTGAAAAGGCTAGTGGTAAGTTCTCCCTTCTCGAAACCCCATTCTATGGCCATTGCAGCTTACAACATTTGTCCAGGAGAAAGCGAGCAGGAAGAGGATTTCGAAAAAGATATTTGATCCCCCTTGCAAATATGGCTGTTGTCCGAAGTTGAGCGTGTGTCGTCGTTGTTCATAACGAAACTGGTGGCAGCGTTATCATTCCAGGAATTTTCGAGGGTCTCGGATGTTCAATGATGCTTCAACTCTTGTTTGACCTTCAACGCTTCAGACTGATGCAGCAGAAGGTGATGAGATCCCTTTCTTGAATGAAAGGTTTAGATAGATTTGGCATGAAGCTGAAGTTGGGCTTGCCCTTACGATCGTTATCAATATAAATTTATGCTTTAAATTTTGTCCCACTAAAAATTTGGAAGTGGTTACTTGGTGGAAAATAGAAAAGAAACGCCGCTGAGAATAGTTATACAGGGATTCAAAGAGGTCATTCATTCAGCCTCTGAACGCGCGACATGAGAACATAATCATTTGTTATACCATCTGGTTTAAGATATAGGACTGCAGTGTTGAGTCAGTGTTGAGAAGAATATTCCTCAGGTAACTCGCTACCTTAATGTAATGTTCATAAGAATGTCTGGTCTGGCGGTGACAGATAACTCTCCGTACCCTTTTCACTAGCTCATCAACCTATTAAACTTAGGTCCACTTAGACCGGGGGCATTTCCAGGTACCAGAGTAAGATCAATTGGGCTAAAACTATTTCTTCACTTTCAGTCAGTTGATGAAATCTTCGGTCTTGCGTCAGATTGATCCCATTGATATTGATTCAAACTAATATTGATATGGCCGTCCACAATTCGATTGAATCTACCATCGTTCAAAATGACCTCGATGGACAATTGAAAACTGCTGTACATGTATTGGTGAATGTAGGTATTGTCAAGATAATGGACGGAAGCTAAGCTCAAATGGTCGAAGTCAGACACTCTCGCTAAATTCTGGCCCTCGCTTTTGTCAACCATTCCAGTTTGTCAACAAAACATTGGCCAAAATTTGCAGATCTGCTTCCACACATTGAAATATACTCTCGCGCCGCAAATCAAAGCTATTGCAAGGGATTCTTCAACTAGGTAGAAACAAGCTTCCAAGGTTAGATCTTGTTTTGAGATTTCCCTCAAATCGTCCAGACGTTATTTGAAACTGATCAAGAGCAGATCTACGTGGTAAGCAACAAAACATGCCTCCGAAAGTCGCAACAGATGGTGGCGCTACTACGCTCACGCCAAAGGAGACCCAGATGCTGGCTGTGGTAGCTTCACTTATGGGGGACGTTCCAGAGGTATGTAAAGTATTTCCAATTACTCCCCACTGCATGACACCTCCCTACAGACGCTATATGGTCCACAACATCAAGCTTCTAACTCTCGATCTTTCACTGATTTACCCCGCAGGTTGATTTCAACATTGTCGCGTCTCTCGTCGGCCAGAAGTATGCACGTAATGCACGCTCCGCATGTAAGAAACTGTTCGAGAAGCTGAAAGCAAACGCTCCGCCAGGCGATTACTCGGTAAAGCCCGCAACTGCTGCCAACGCTGAAGAAACCGAGGGTGAAGAAGACGAGGATTCTAAACCAAGTGTCAAGAAGGCCGCTGTGAAGAAGGCTGCAGGCACGAAGAAGGTCGGAGCACGTGCTGCACCAAAGAAATCTACAGCTACGAAGAAGGGCAAGAGTTCAAAGGTCAAGAAAGAAGAAGATATGGATGAGAATGACGATGGTGCTGATTCTGCCCAAGCAGAGTTCGCAGACCATAGTGAGCTCAACGGCGAAGATGGCAAGTCACCTCCCCCAGCCCCTGCAATCCCCAGCGAAAAGTCTACTGAAGATCTACCTGATGTCTCTCATGATGTCCCCTGGAATTCAGTCATGAATGGTATCGAGGCGACCTTCCCCGCTGGATACAAATTTCCAATTGATGCCACCGAGCTTGAGCTTTATCATGCTCACTCACATCAAATCACTGTTGAGGCGTGGAGAGTATGGAAGGAGCAGAACAACTACTATGAAGACCGAGCGCATACACCATCATAGTTCAGGTCTCATTGAATTTTCCGTTTGTCGCCAATTGTCCGTGTTTGTAGGCGTTTGTTCTGAACTCCCTTGAATGTTCTTTTTTTCTCTTCAAACAAAGTGCCAAGCTGACCATCCTCTGTTTGCAGATTCGGAAGACATTTGAGACATCACTCAACCTATCGGAACTGCTTCAGCACCTCTCTGTCGTCTACCGAAAGATTGCTACAACTCCGAGGATATTTTTTGTGGAAATCGCAAGAAGGATATACGTTTGGTTGACAGTGCGTTTGTTCATACACTGACTGATAAAGAGCCTATGATCGAGATTGTTCCTTTCTGCAGGTACATTTGAGCTCCGTCTGGTACTTCAAGATGGTTTAGGTGGAATTTCTTTGAGGGGGTGTCTCAGACCAGTGGATCAGATGTATGTAGCCGCAGTGCAGGACTTGGAACGAACGTGCAAAATGGAGGCTTTCACACCAAAACATCATGATTGTGACGTTTACTCTGCAATTCCGCTACAGATCTGAATTCCTTGATATTCAAACTATTTCTGCATCAAGTGAGGTTTTGTTCGTATGTACGATTTGCGAGGCGAGCCGATTGGCGTTGAAGACGCTTCTGGCTCTCACTACCGGCATGCGTTTGATGTCGGCAGCCGTGACAGACTCACTCTTTATGATATCCTAGATTCGTGTGGAAGTCTTATTTGAAAAGTCTCCCATTAGTCGCGACTCCCTACTGCACTGTTAAACAGGTTTTCGCAACATTAAAGTTCTCTAACTTTACATCCATCTCCCACCCATCTCCCCATCTCGGAGCACTCGCCACATCGCATTTCAAGATTGAACAACGTGCAACTTAAACCACAGCCACTAGTGGTAATTTTCCTCCTCTAACAAGGAGTCACTCTTAACGATGCCGATAATATCTAACGATGATCAATTCAAGCTCTTGCTGAGCTGCGTTCGCCACAGCAACAATGGCAAGGTGGGTTTCCAATCTAGCTTCTTCGCGTGGATACTGATTTAACAACCTTGCAGGTAGATTTTCTCCAGGTCGCGAGAGACTGCGGTATCGCGAGCAAAGCAGCTGCGTAAGATATAGCGCCCGAAATACTCTTCTCGAGGTCCACCTGCTTATTTACTTGCACAGTACGAAACGATACGAACGACTGGCCCGAATCTACGGCATGCAATCCATACATAGGCGTCCTAGGCCCAAATCCGAATACAGCGACATGCAGACGAAAGCCTGCATGAAACAGAAGCTGATTGAATCCCAGGAGGGCAGCAACACCTATGCGGATGACGAGGAGGGGTTCGCAGAGGCTCTCAAGCCAGTCATCAAAGTCGAGCCTGAGAGCATCGTGGTAGTCAAAACAGAGGACCATGATTCTGCGAATCATAACACAAAGGTCGGATGGCAAGGGGATACGGAACTCATGCAATATTACGACTTCCCTGAAATCAAAATCAAGGAGGAAGCCGGAGAAGAGATGTACAAGAGGGAGCTTGTTCATGGAACACGTTGTCCTGGACCCAGCCATGAGGTGTGCTGCACCTCCGCACTAGGCCAGTCGCAACATACAGTGATTTCTGAACTGGGTTCTTCAAAAGTTCAAGGATGTTGTAATTCGGGTTCAATCCAATCCAGCATGAAGCAAGAGAATCAGACTCTCCAAAGGCCAGAACCGGTGCAGTCCCCTTTCGCTGAGGGTAGTCATCCAGAACGTCCTTTCCTTCTTGATTGATTCTGTTAGGACCTCTGGCAAACGACTTATTGTCATCCCCAAAGTCGTTGACATATGTATTGAGACGAAATTGTTATGAGGTGGAATTTAGCGGATGGGATTGGGAGTTTGGCACCAGTTTTAGCAGCAATTCAATTGTTCCTTGAAAAGGAACATTTGTACACCTAGAACACTATTTTTTGTTTGATCACTTCAGTTGAAATCAGATGAGACTCAAAGAATGACATCTGCGTTCCAGTTTTCCATTGAGATTCGAGCCAATATTAATGATCAGAGCTGTAAACTCGGTAAACTCAGGGGACGAGACACGTGACCGTCAACGTCCGAATTTTGTGAAAGGACGTTTTTAAAGCGATCTGACATGGTTATGCTCCTGATTCGCTTGTGTACTCAATTGGGAGCATTTACGAATACCATGGGAGTAGTAAAGACAAAAAGTCTCCACAAATCGTTGTACCGAGAAAAGAATTCGTGCCGGGCGACACTTTCCTCACTCCTGTGAAGAACCCCAAAGGTGAGATATCTCGGCAAAACCTTCCACGGCCTTGATGTGCTCATTATGATATTTGAAGCTCCTAAGACGTACGGATCCAGAACAATCCTTCACTTTCGATATCTTAGGCAGCACTCTTCACCAATTTATCTGGAAAGCCAGAAACCTTCTCACGTATTCCTGTCGACGTCACCGAGCCGCTTCACTGAACACAATGTCTTCGGCCCGCGACCTTATCTTGCACAGCATTATCGCGGAAACAGGCCGTTAAAGAGTTTCGTTGGATGAAAAGTTGTAAATGTTGAGGACGTTGTTGGGGAGAAAGTGCCTGATGTTCAGTGAACATACGCGGGCCTTCAGATACTAGCAATAAACTTGGTCTCCGAAGAAACCGGCTCGGCTCATGACCGAGAACAATTGTATCAGATAAGCTGTCGTCGCAATTCATGTATTATATGGCGGATGCTCGAGGCGTATCCGATCCGATCGAGTAAAATGACAGATTTTTGAGACCCAATTCAACGGCTTGACTTGCATACAGAAACGTCCAGGAGACCAGTTCTTAATTTACGTCTAGAATCACACAGTACTTCAGGAAGATGGTGTTTTTCTGTTGAGTAATGGTGAAGATAAATTCTGAAACAACGGCAACGCCAGGGGGGTTGGAATCGAATAACGAACAATTCCGGCACCCGGATGCTCCTAGACATCATTCGTCGATAAGATTGATATCAAATGATAAATTCGAAGTGAATTCTGTGAAGTACAGAGAGAGTTTATGTGCCAGGACGATAGGGTACCTTCGGATCAAGAGGCGGAATCTTGCCATGAGCACGTTTGAGGTAACGCTTTTTGTATTGGAACTAGCAAGTCAAGATACGTACGTAGCAGGTACCATGCGATTTTGGGATTTGATGAAGCTGGAGTAGAGAATTTTGTAGCATCCAGTGGTAGCTTCCCCCTATGAGGAAGCTTAGAAAATACAGAAAGAGTTCCAGACACCCAACAACCTTTAGCAACACAGGTGTTGTACAGGAATTCTGAAATGTATCTCGATGTGAAGCCTGACTATTCCCTGAGGTTTCCATATCTGGAAAATCGAGGTACTATCTTGCGATCCACAAAAACCTTGTAATTGAGCATTGGTGAATCCTAAATTGCAATATAAATTGACGAGGCTGGCCGAAGGATTCTTGTTTCCGCACATCCTCAACGTGACGTTATTTCAACCACAGAACGGCGCGGAACTCCCCAGCTCAAATCAGACCATATTTATATCTTTCTAAACCATTCCCATTCCTAAATCATCATACCGTTCAAGAAGCACCTGTCGATAACGTCCAATTAGACACCCGTCGCCGCTATCGGAGGCAGAATTAGTGAGGCGGTGGACCAGGAGGTTCCTTTGACAACCTCGCGACCATACCTAGGTATGCTCAACAATAACATCTTTCTCTGCTACCAAGATTCGAATCCACAAAAGAAATTGAGCACATAGAGTCCCTCTGTCTCTGCTCCATTGCGATCAATTAGGTACGTCCCGCTTTGGAGATCCTTGAAGTTGCGCGCTCTATTGCCGTAACGGACCAACCTCCGCAAAGTCAATATACACACGTCGCAACCCCTCAATTCTGCAATTACCAGATATCCTAACACTCGCAAGACTATCAAAGGCGCGCAAGGTCGTGACTTGAGTCGCAATCCTTAACTTCATCATCTTCGGTCGTTATCACAGCATCGCGCCAATCTTTCAAGAGTGTTCTTGGTCGCGTGCTCATCAATATCATCAATAGTTCCCCAAGTCGAGCGGCGACATTCGAAGAACATACACACACTTGCTCCTTCATGCAGAAAGAGCGATTTGTAAGTCCTCCTCCCAGATTGCGAACGCTCGTTATCAGTTTCTTTCATTTCATCCAACCGCGCAAGCGTAATCACCAGCATCGTTACTGGCGATCACCAGGAGAACACCCAATTGGAGAGAGAACTTTAGTTCTCTTTGATCCATTCCAAGAATAGTACACCCTAGGTAGACCTAGTCTCCCACTGCCCAGGTGTCTATGGGTCGTTGCTATTTCCACCTTGCCCTTGGACAGATTACTACAAATTGCTGGCGCAAGTGCGCAAGACGATAAGCTCAGAAGCGTATCCAAATCACAACCCACCACGAAGTGGGTTTTCCTTCTCTGGTGTTGTCTGGTACTTTCTCAATGGCGCTGCTTCGCCTTTCTAAAGAGTTGATTTCCGCATAATATAATCGGAATCCAAGGCTAACATCTTTCACAACATAGACCATATCGACAGCCAAAATACAAAAATATTACTACATTTGAACAAGCTCTGGAAGCATTCTCTCTCACACCAACATAATGGCAACAACTCAGGAAGGGGAGTCCGCCGTCGACACCCAAATGACTGATTACACCCCGGATGGATCTATATCAGCCAGCATGAGCATGAGTTCTAGCGTCGCTCCGGAGGACAGCATCTCTTCCAGTAGCTCATCTATTCCTCTTGCCATTGCTCAACTCAAAAAGAAGACCCCTGCAAGACGCCCGCGCAAGTCCACTAAGGAGGGAGGTCGAGCTGGTTCGGCAAGCCCAGCGAAGCGGTCTCCTGGTGGAGTGACCAAGAAAAAATCAAAGTCTAGTAGACCTCAAGTCAAAAAGCCAGGTAAGCTGCGACTATACACTGAAGCGTTGGATTGAGATGCCTAACATATATTAAAGGCCTAGCCGACTCACCACAACCGGCGATTGGCAACGAAGACGAGCCGTCGAATGAGATAGATGCGGACGGCGAATTTGAAGAGAACGACGATGATCAGGAGGAGCAAGAGGATTCTGCGCAGGAAAACGGGGAAGTCCAGGAGGATCCGCTCTCGGTTCCGAAGGAGAGGAGATCTAAATGGAAAAAGAAGGGCCAGCAGCCTGACCCCAATGGACGCTTCCGAGGTCGAAAGCTTGTGATGTGGCATCGTAAGTCCGAGAAATAACTACCTGATTATTTGCGCATCCACTGATCAAAGACATATTAGGTCCACGCATGATGGAAAAATTGATGCTCCATGTTCAATACGAATGCCAGCGTCAAGGTGTACAAATTCCATGGGATAAAGTAGTTCATCGCTTGAGTCCTGGTTCTAGCGGCGCCACTGCACAGCAGCATCTGAATAAGATCAGAGACATCTTGGTTGGGGAAGGCCACATGGTCCCTCCTCTCATTGGAAAGTTGGGCGCCCCTGCACCGCCAGACACGCCAAGGGGATACGTCCGAGACCTATCTTCTGACGATCCTCATGTTACTAGAAAAGTTCTGTGGAGCGAAGAAACAGAAGATCTCAAAGAAAGCTTAGTCGTGCCAGGCGTTATTCGAGGTTCTGGAGCGTACCGCAAGTATGAAGTTGATGTCAAAAGCCACGTCAAGAGGGCGCTGTCTCAACTCAAGGTCAAGGAAGAGTCGACCCCGGAAGAGCTGGCAGAGCTTGCATGCAAGTCCTTTAAGTACGAAAGTCTCAAGAAAGACAATACTCTCCGACTAGGCAGTGCTTCTCATAAAACAAAGTACGCCGATCGTGAGGAGCCTTCCCAGAAAGCTAAACCTCGCGGGGCCGCCAAGGCAGGCAGTGTTGCAAGAGCCAAGCAAGCTGAAGCAGACATGGATGATCTCGAGGACTTCAATCGCAAATTTGTAGGCAAGTCCAATTCGTCCAAAAAGACACGGGTGACCAAGGCTCCTCGTCTGAAGGTTGATGATGGAGCAGACGAGGATGATGACGAAGAGGATGAGGTAGACCCGGCCGAGCTCTTCTCTGATGAAGAATACACTCCTGGTATCACTAGCAAGCCGACAACAAGAAGCAGAAGATCTTGCCGGAAGCAGGTGAAGTATAATGAGTCTTTCGAGTCTGACGTCGACGACGCGAACGTGACGCCATCCAAGGTCAAAAGCAGGACTGACTCGGAGGTTCCAATGACCCCACCGAATACCGGAGTGAGTGGTGGGCAGCATGGCCATGAATCCACTCAAACGATGCTTTCCAGACAATTTCGTCAGTCTAGTATCGCCGAGGTTTCTGATTCAGATCAGTATAATTATGACACAGTAGGGACACATTTGGCTGACAGCCCGTCGGCGATGGGCCACAGCCGAATGAAGCAGTGCTCCCAGGCAGATGCTAGCTTCAGCGGTTCCACGCAAGAACAACATCCTGCTCAGAGTCCTCGTGGGTCGATCGACGAGAGATTCCAAGAGAAGTGTTCCTACCAAGTCCATGAGAATCAGGAAGTCAGACACAGCCAAGCCATCAAGTTAGAATCGGAATCGCCACGGAAGATGAACAGCTCGCTGCTACTATTTGTAGGTGACACAATATACACCAACAACAACATGAATGCCATTGTCCTTCCAGATTACCCCTCTATTGCTTACGATGGCATGGCAAACCAATTTTCATCCGATGCTGTAATCCATGGTGACATGGACCTTGCACCCTACGGCAGCATGGCAGGAGTCTCCACCAGCAATGATGTCCCGCAGCAAGCTGCATCTCATCTTCACTCTTTGTCATCCTCATCTCATGAAGCCGAAGAATTCTCACAACTGGTCCACAGCCCAGGATTCGGTGGCAGCGAAGCCCAAGTCTCGTTCACCAATACATGGAATGATACTGATCATGCTAGACAGCATGTAGGATCTCAGCAGGAGGCGTATGGAGAGTTCGCGGCAGATCACGGAATCGCCAGTTATCAGAGCCAGGAAGCCTCCGATCACAGTTTTCATGGATTGCCACTCCCAGCATCTAACAACGGTATTGGTTTTGGCTGGACTGGGCCACATGACGATGTTTTCGCCAATTCTGATTTCCTGGGAGATGGCCACCAAGATGAGTTCAATCCCTGGACGGAGCTGAGCGCCAATCATCAACAACCCAATTCCAACTATATGGGAATGGGAAACTTTACTCACAGGAGGGACAATTAGAGACTCGGGTTCGACAAGTCCAGATCGAGTCTGCTCGGAAAACCATACAGCCTACAGCGCATTGGCGGTATCGCTCTGCTAGCACTTTGCTATTGGGGTCGCAACTTCGATTCCCGACTTGTTTTCAACACAATATTTTGACGCTTGAGTTCCTGTCGCGGCTTGGATGCAACTTGGACAACGTGCAATTGATGACTTGACTAATGCGCACCTGAGGTTGCATTGGCCGGCGACTTATAATCTTATTCAATTCTTTTAGATTTTTCCCCATAAGTTTTCGGATTTGATGGCCTCGGTACACCCAAAAGCTGTTCTGCGATTATGATAATGGATACCATGATTGACTAACTTTTCCTTTTTGATATACCAAAATAGCTTCGTGTTCATTAATAGGATACCAGGGGCATTCAATATGTTTCCATAGGCTGATAGAGAATTATCTGGTGGGATCGACTTGTCATCACCATCTCGGAGGATTTTACGATGGCGTTTTGTGGTGGTATCCGCGATATTGACATAGATGGTAACTCGGGATTCTGCTCGACTCGGAGGATGAAATGGAATGTACTTTAGAGACTATCATAGCCAATACAAGACCTCTATCATTTGAGCTATAGAAGCCGTGGGGTGAAAAATTGAGCGTAGCCAGAAATTCTTTGGGTCTCGAATCTGGTTGTACTAGCGTTCCAGTAGGTTGCACCCAGGATCGACTCCAAGCCTTCAATAGTCGTGATGTGCCAGTCCAGTCTGGCTTGAGTACACAGCCCAAGTATAAACAAAGTCTCTTCCAGTGAAAGCTCTGTGACATTGCTTCGAGCCTAAGATGTTCAATGGCCATCGCTAATATTGCGGTTGGTTAAACGAATGAAGGCATGCTATTAGCTGACCGATATTAATCCACATGGCGAGAGTGACTGACCTCGACTTTAAAAGGCTCTTCTGACAACAGTCCCTTTACCAAATACCACTCTACTTTAAACTTCAGGAGCGAATAAATCGGGTTTGGAATCATCCATGATAACGCACTCCGGCTGTCATATGGTAGAATCTACTATTGGTGCTTCTGAAGGTAGACGGATTTCTACTGAAGCAGAAGAAAGAGGATCTAATACACACATCAGCTTTGATGTAACTTCGAGATGTCGGACGACGAACTTAGGATATCAAGTAAAGGTGTCATACCTCAAATTTTCAACCTTCTCATAATTCGACAACTTAAGTATGTGAAGATGATGATACTTCCGTTCGACAAACTATCTGTCATGGAGGAGGCTTGTATTCCCAGCTGTGAATCAACGTTGCTTTGGACAGTGAGTAAGGCCTGTGAATATTCAGTGATGCTGAGATAGAGCATCCTCAAACTCCCATGCAAATCCCTTGAGTCTTAGTAGACTTGAAGTAAATGAACCGTGACGTTGCGGATTCTAATTGTCGTGGCAGCAAGGGAAACAATAATTATAAAACACGAGGAATAGAGATTTTCTGGAAGACCATTGCAAGTAATAGTAGATCGTATTTGGTAAGCTAAAAACAGGACATTTGCTCATTTGTTTATACGAACTAAGGATTCGAGTGCTCACATTATATCAAGACAGGCAGAGTCTTCTAAAGAAGCAAATAGCCGCTCATAGCCAATTGCCATGAGACTCACTGATCCAGAGATGCTGGTAAGCTCAGTAGTGGTAGCTATTGAAAGAAAGTAAGTCCTCGTGATCTGCTGGTCCAAATCTTGATGTTTAACCACGTATAAATATCGATAAAACCGAGATACGCAGAGAACATATCTTTCTTTCTTCTCTTATTCTCAATTTCACAGCTGTGTAATAGTTCTATTCCGATAGATTAGAAAGGAGGTCGTCGTTAGTGTGGAATACCAGGCTTAACTCCGGTATAACTATTAGCGCCTTGGCGTTCTGGCATGTTCCATCGCCGTGCTCCAGAAAATTATTTCCTGGAGTCAGTACAAAATCCACTTGAGCTCATCATCCATTGTTTTCTTTCCATTCCAAAATAAGTCTTGATATTACCACATCAGGTCTCCAAAAATTCTACTTAACCTGTAGTTGTACTTTATATCAGCGTCGTTCATTATAATTCTCACAATATGCAGCGCGCATTAACAAGCAGGGCCTCGGCTCTCCGTTCGTCCTCGAAGCTTCGCCCGATCACATCTTCCTTTAATGCTCAGCAACTGAGATTCGCACACAAGGTAAGCTTGCCTTGATATATATGGACATCGGAAAGCTCTCAAATTGGAACAAGGCTGACTATTGGCTGTTCAGGAGCTCAAGTTTGGAGTGGAAGCACGAGCTGCTCTCCTAGCTGGTGTAGAGACTTTGGCGAAAGCTGTGTCAACCACCCTCGGCCCCAAAGGACGCAATGTCCTCATCGAGTCTCCTTATGGAGCACCAAAGATCACAAAAGGTTTGTGTAATCCATTGTTTAGTGATGCAGCTGGCTGACGGTGCATAGATGGTGTGACTGTTGCAAAGGCTATCACACTCCAGGACAAATTTGAAAATCTCGGAGCCAGACTTATCCAAGACGTCGCTTCGAAAACAAACGAGACTGCAGGAGATGGAACTACCACCGCTACCGTTCTCGCTCGTGCCATCTTCTCCGAGACTGTCAAGAATGTCGCTGCAGGTTGCAACCCAATGGACTTGAGAAGGGGTACCCAAGCCGCCGTCGAAGCTGTTGTTGAGTTCTTGCAGAAGAACAAGCGAGATATCACCACAAGCGAAGAGATTGCTCAAGTTGCCACCATATCCGCAAATGGAGACACTCATATTGGAAAATTGATTGCCAATGCTATGGAGAAGGTTGGAAAGGAGGGTGTTATCACTGTCAAGGAGGGCAAGACGATGGAAGACGAACTTGAAGTCACTGAGGGTATGCGATTTGACCGTGGATTCGTTTCACCATACTTTATCACCGATACCAAGACCCAAAAGGTCGAGTTTGAGAAACCCTTGATCCTCCTTTCGGAGAAGAAGATCTCCCAGGTTGCGGATATCATTCCAGCTCTTGAGGCTTCTACTCAGCTTCGTCGTCCACTTGTTATTATTGCAGAGGATATCGAGGGAGAGGCTCTTGCAGTCTGCATCTTGAACAAGCTCCGTGGCCAACTCCAGGTTGCAGCTGTCAAGGCCCCTGGCTTCGGTGACAACCGCAAATCAATTCTCGGTGATCTAGGTATCTTGACCAACGCTACTGTTTTCACTGATGAGTTGGATATCAAGCTTGAGAAGGCTACCCCAGACATGTTCGGATCTACTGGTTCAATCACAATCACCAAAGAGGACACCATCATCCTCAACGGGGAAGGAAGCAAGGACGCTATCAGCCAGAGATGCGAGCAGATCCGTGGAGTTATGAGTGACCCAACCACCTCTGACTACGAGAAGGAGAAGCTCCAGGAGCGTCTCGCAAAACTCTCCGGTGGTGTCGCTGTCATCAAGGTTGGTGGTTCGTCTGAAGTCGAGGTTGGGGAGAAGAAGGACCGTTTCGTGGATGCTCTCAATGCTACTCGTGCTGCTGTTGAAGAAGGTATTCTTCCAGGTGGTGGAACTGCTCTTCTCAAAGCAGCAAGCCAAGCGCTTGGTAACATCAAGTCCGCAAACTTTGATCAGCAACTTGGTGTTGGAATCGTCAAGAGCGCGATCACCAAGCCTGCCCGCATGATCGTTGAGAACGCCGGCGCTGAGGGCTCTGTCGTTGTCGGTAAGCTCATGGATGATTTCGGAACCGATTTCAACAAGGGATTCGATAGCGCCAAAGGTGAATATGTCGATATGATTGCTGCTGGTATTGTCGATCCATTCAAGGTCGTACGAACCGGACTAGTAGATGCCAGTGGTGTTGCTTCATTACTCGGCACAACCGAGGTTGCCATTACTGAGGCACCTGAAGAGAAGGGTCCTCCAGGTGGAGGTATGGGTGGGATGGGTGGTAAGTGATACATCTCCATTCATTGAGCTTTGCTAACACAACTCAGGGATGGGCGGTATGGGTGGAATGATGTAAGACAATGATTTTTTCGCGATATGTACAATACACTTTGTTCTTCTTGTCGCTGCAAAGCTGCCAGAACGATCATTTACGGCTGGCCTATATGTTGTATAAACTACCCCACTCTTCGACAATTGTCTTACCATTGGGCATGGATGAGCGGTTTGCGGATTTAATGAGCGATAAAAAGCATGTATCATATAATAATGAACAAAAACACTTTGAAAATTAATAAACCTGATCGGTTCCCTACTACAAAATGAATCAAATGCACAGTTCAGAAGCTTCGTGGACCCTCGGAAACTGAAAGGTGATGGTGTTGTAGATTGAATTGTGCAATTTTTGAAGAATGATAGTTCCTTGGTCGGATTTGACTCCATTGGGCTTTTCAGACCTACCTAGACGCAATCCTAGCGACAAAATTATCTCCGCTTCATCCTGATTTTATGGCATTGACAGACTAATTCAAAGAGTGATGACCAGATTTTCTCTTCTCAGTATCGAGAAGTATTCACGTCGTATTTGCCCAAAATGATTTCAGGCTAATTCATGCCGCTTTTATGACTTCCTTCTCGTTCCAAAAAATTCCCTAGGTTGGGCTTAGCGCGTTCTTAGGCGGCAACCAATTATCACGGGCACACCGTTTCTTCGCTCGAAACAAATTTTGTTAATAGCAACCCCACCATCAGACAGACAACCACACTCTCTCACTGTCTCTTCCACCCCCAACCTTATATTCAACGATAACAATATTTCACAATGGGTTTCGCAGACGTCCTCACCGATGCTGGTCTGTCCGGTAAGCTCTCGATGACTTCTGCCAGTTTGAAAGTCCTCAGGCTCGACGAATTTGGCATGTTGTGGGATAAATGCTAATGTGACTCAGTGCTTAACAGCTGGTTGACCACTCGATCATACATTGTTGGGTAAGTTTTGTCCCGTTTCTCGTTTTTCTCCAGCTGCCAAAATCGCATTTCTATGCCTTTTCGCGCCTCAACCTTTAACATCAACAACCTTATAATTTCATGATGAGCAACATTGGTCCGTGTTACTGAGCGGCCTCAAGAACCGTCATATGACGATCACCATTGCATTCAAGTGCACCTCTGAATTCCTTTTATAATTCTTGCTTGAAGATCAAAGAGTTGTTTGGATTCCCAGGCTAATACTTGGCAGTTACTCCGCATCCCAAGCTGATGTCGCGACCTTCAAAGCTCTCAAGTCAGCCCCAGAGTCCGCAAAATACCCACACGCAGCAAGATGGTACAAGCACATCTCCTCATACTCCGACGAGTTCGCCACTCTCCCAGGTGATTCCTCGAAGCAATACACAAGCTACGGACCAGAGGTCTCTGCTGTTACATTAAATCCAGCGAAGGCCCCAGCAACCGAGGAGGAGGACGATGATGTCGATCTTTTCGGATCTGACGACGAGGAGGAGGATGCTGAGGCCGAGCGTATCAGAAATGAGCGACTAGCCGAATACAAGAAGAAGAAGGAGGGAAAGACCAAGCCAGCTGCTAAATCTGTCGTTACAATGGATGTCAAGCCTTGGGGTATGTTGCTATATGCTTGATGCAAAGACTTTACCTAACAATGTTGCAGATGACGAGACTGATATGAAGGCCCTGGAGGCGGCAGTCCGTGGTATCGAGAAGGACGGTCTCGTCTGGGGAGCTTCCAAACTTGTCCCAGTGGGTTTCGGTATTAAGAAGCTCCAGATCAATTTGATTATCGAGGATGACAAGATCGGTCTTGATGATTTGCAAGAGGAGATTGCTGAGTTTGAGGATTATGTTCAGTCTAGTGATATCGTAAGTTTGTCAGTCGGTCAAAAAAGTCATCCCTCTAACAATTTCGCAGGCTGCTATGCAAAAGCTGTAGAATGTATCTCGGCATTTCTTTCGCTGTACCTCGCACTTTTACGGCATTTCATTGATTTTACGATCCGGCTGGTGGATGACCAAATGTCTTACGAAAACGTAATTGGTCTCATGAATTGATGATAATCATGGCTAGCAATAGAAAATGAATGCAAGAATAACAGCGCGCATAAGACACAAATGATCAACGTATAATTGAATTGCTTAATTTCTGTGAACTGTTACTTTTACTTCCACATACTCTAGAGTTTTTAGTAGAATTTGTTCAAGGTCGGACTGTCACTGGAACATCTGCCTCGCGGCTGGGCTGCAAGTGGTGCCCGGTCGCCCCACTTATTCATCTTGCAACATTGGTAGATGCCCGCGTCGAGACTCGAAGGTTCCCGTCGTCACCAACTACCTTAGACACACTCTGTATATATGCTCTGTTAAACGGCATAGACTCCCCCTTGATTCTGGCAATATGACCTGGATATCGAAATCAATCACTGGTTTGGGATTGGTGTTTCTGGCGCATGCGTAAGTTTGTGCTGAAGCTAGTTCAAGCCATCATGTTAACATTTATCAAAACAGCTGCTATTCCGCCCACGAGCACTCTGCCCTCCTGTCTGGAAGCGCCGCCGCGATATCCTCCCTGACCGCGCAAACAGCACCGGTTACCGCTGCCCTACCCCTCGATATCTCCATTGAGACGATCGTAGCTGTCTTCACAATTTGCCTTGGTCTTGTGCTTGGAACTCCTGAATTACGACCAATACAATGGCGTGTCTGGGCTGGTAAAATTGAGCGCGAGGGAGAGTATGGGTTTATGAATGGTGACGGAGAAGTGGACAAGGACTTTGTGGGGAATCCATTTCGCGTGTTGGAGAGCAGGCCGGGTTTCGTGGATATTCGAAAGCAGAGGAAAGAATTTGCTGAGTGGGTTCGGGAAGGCGGAAATGGGCAGGCTCCTAAGAGTTGAACCTCGAGATGGGGCAAATGATTCATTGGGGGCGTCGAGAGTGTATAGTAGGAAGAAAAACATTGCAAGCAAGGGTTGTTTGTTGATGGCGGCACTCCTTAATCAAATGCAGCACAAACCGATGTTAGTTTGACGACGGATTTTGCGCTTCTATCAAATCGATTTTATGTCTTTTAGAAGATGCGCAGGTAATAAAAGGGTATGGATGATATACGACTCTTTCCTTATCTCTAAGAAACATCCCGTCACTATTTCATTCGCTAAATTTCCATTCCCAAGACACAACACTGCCACCGCAAATAAAATTAATGATTTCGTCAACAGCAACGTTTGAAAATGCCATACAAACGCCGCCGGGTGGAACACGCGTCAGGGTCCGTGGCCGCCTCCTCATCTGCTTCTCGTTCGTCGGCTCGATATAGTTCTGCAGCTCGCAGTACAGTATCAAAGCCCCCAGCCTTTAGGAATCCTGCGCAACACAAGAGAGTTTCTCTAAAGTTTTCCGACTCACCAGTGTCCAAGTCAAACAATGACGGCGCTTCCAGTCACGGTAAAGACGTGTTAAGAGTCCATGCTGCGGAGACGGATGCTGAGATCCAAGAACGAGAGGAGCATGATTCAGTCAACGAAATCATGATGGCGGTCGACATCAAGAAAGGTGGGTCAGTAGGATGCGCCTACTATACTGCCCGCGAGGAGACTCTGTATCTGATGCAAGATATACCATCTGGGGACCTTGCTATTGTAGACACCCTCAAACTCCATGTACAGCCAACGACTATCATTATCAGCACCAGAGCGGACGAGGAGCTAGAACAACATCTCAGCAAAGACGCCAGAGCAATCGAGCGTGGAGAAGACGATAGTATGCACTATATCCTACTAGCCACGAAACACCTGGGCTAATACCATAATCGTAGATGACGTTATGGGCTCTTATGTTCTTGACATTAGACAAGCTGCCGATTTTCGATATGATACAGCGAAGGAGAAGCTGGCTGGACTCGAGCTTAGTATAGACGATGCTCCCAATATCGTCTTCAGGACAGCTGGAGATGATGCGATGGGTGAGGCAATGTACGGTCGTGCAGAGCGGGCTAGTCTAGGGAAGCAAGGAAGACTGCTCAGGCTTGCTGGTTGGATTGATCTCGGCAGCTATCTGACGGTGCGTTCCTTGCCTAGCATAGAGTCATTCGCTAACATGTTGAAGATTGGATGTGCTGGTGCCATACTCAGCCATATCGCCAGGCGAAGGAATATCGAATACCTGCCCAATGATGGAGCCGCCCTAGGGGCTTTTCGAATACGTACAATTGAGATGTTTACACTGTCAAGTCAAATGTTCATCAACGCAGATACGTTGGCGTCCCTTCACATCATGCAATCCGAGAACCACCCGAATTCGCAAATGCAAGGACCTAATACATCCGGATCGAAGGAAAGTTTGTCTGTTTATGGGCTCTTCTGTCACCTTGCGAGCACGCCTCAAGGAAAAAGGAGATTACGAAGGCTATTCCTACGGCCAAGCTTGGAGCTCGAAGTCATCCGGGAACGCTTGTTGAGTATCAGCATCTTTCTTAGACCGGAAAATTCCAGTCCGCTGAGAGATATTTGCAAAAGTTTAAAGATGGTCAAAGACATACGTTCTGTAGCAATACACCTACAAAAAGGTGCTGCTGATGGAGGAATGGGGAAAAGTATTTATAGAGGAGTTTGGGCGAGTCTGCAGCAATTTACACATCATGCCTTGGCGATTCTTCGCGTTATTCAAGAATTGGAGGGTGGGGATCTGCTGCCAATATTGAATAAGGTAATCAGGTCGTCTGTTCCCCTTTGAGTGATGTTAATTATTTGTAGCTTGTTGACCATGTTCAACCACCAGTGCTACTTAGCATTCTTCAATCGATAAGTCAGATTGTCGATTTTGAAAGCTCAGCAGAACAGCGCCGTACGGTTGTCTTACAAGGAGTCGATGCAGAATTAGACGGATTCAAGAGAACATACGATGGCATGGATAGCCTTCTCACACAAGCTCACGGTCTGCTCCTCAATGATCTCCCTGAGTGGGCTATGCAATACGTTACAACATGTCTCTTTTTCCCACAACTTGGGTTTCTTACTGTCGTTGTGCTTGATCCAGAAACTGGTGCCAGTAAATATGAGGGTGAAGGAGTAGATGATGATATCTGGGACAAGATGTTTGTCACAAATGATTCGGCATATTACAAGAATCGGAAAATGAGAGAAATGGACAACTATTTTGGAGACTTGTATGGCTTGATATGTGGCAAGTTGAGTACTGATCCTCTCTTACTATTCGTGCTGATTGGGTTACAGACAAGGAGATTGAAATCATTCATGATCTCGCGGTCAAAATCTTGCAGGACGAAAAAGTACTGATTGAGGCTTCTGATCTATTAGGAGAACTTGACAGTCTTGTTGCGTTAGCCTTGGGAGCGCAAAAGTATAGACTTAATCCACCAAGATTAACCATGGCAAATGTTATTCAGATTGAAGGGGGTCGCCACCCTTTGCAAGAGCTCACTGTCTCCTATATCCCCAACGATTGCTTCATTAGGGGTGGAGCTGGCGATGACGAAGAAGAGGAGGACACAGAGCCCATCATTTCACCATCACGAAGCTCCTCGAGTTTACTGCAAAGTATCGAAGAGCCAAGCATGCTCATCATGACTGGGCCGAACTATTCCGGCAAATCTGTCTACCTTAAGCAAGTTGCACTTATTGTGTTTCTAGCACACATCGGCAGTTTCGTGCCAGCAGATAGAGCTACCATTGGCTTGACAGACAAGATATTGACGCGAATCGCTACGCGAGAAAGTGTGTCGCGAGACCAGAGCGCGTTCATGATTGATCTGCAACAGATCTCTCTATCAATGACATTAGCGACACATCGCAGTCTTGTGGTTGTCGATGAATTTGGCAAAGGTACTAATGCTCACGATGGTGCTGGGCTCTCATGTGGGGTATTAGAGTATTTCCTCAGCTTGGAGAATAAACGCCCCAAAGTCCTTGCGGCTACCCATTTCCATGAAATCTTCGCAAATGGTTTCCTTCCCGAGCGCCCTGAACTAGGCTTCGGTCATATGGAAGTTCAGGTTGACTCAGAAGCGTCCGTTGAAGACCAGATTACTTATCTTTATAAGTTTGTCCCAGGCCGCAGCAACTCGAGCTTTGGTACACTGTGTGCTATGATGAATGGAATTGATCAGGCAGTTGTGGAACGAGCCGATGAGCTTATCCTTCTCTCAGCACGCGGCGAGGATTTGATCACAGCCTGTGCCAGAATTCCAGATGATGAAGCACGCCAGCTGGAAGAAGCTGAACAGGTTGGGAGGCAATTCTTGGAACAAAACTTTCCCACTCCTGGATCGAAGGAGAGTGAGACGTTCGACATCCGAACTGCACTCCAAAACATACTCGCTGTTAGTCCCGTCTGATCATTGTGTGCTGGGTGGGTCTATCTCATGTACGGACCGATATGCCACAGTTTCGCTTTCTTTGGCTATCTACCCAAACCCTCCGGTCGTACTGGATCTAGGGTGTTTCTTATCACTGTTTACATTCAGTGGGATTTAGCGGATATCGCGTTTATTTGCTCAAAATAGGGGTTCGGATAAATATGTAACTTGGGTGTTCTTGCTGGAAACGTGATATTCCTGCCATCGGTAGGCTTCTTTTGAGGCGTGAGTCGCGCTATCACTCTAAGTGATATGCTGTTCGAAATGCGAAAGTAGATCTCAACATTACTGTTCTTTTCTATTAATTATTGCCATTGTCGCAACGAGCAACAAGTCAAACATAACGAACATACAGTAATTCATCGTCTAACGAATTGATCTGATCTACCAAACGAGACAGCCTTGCGATTCGCGAAGATCTCAAACACCATCGCAATGACCCACTTTCGCATCTGTGTTTTACATTTTGGAGCGCTGGAGAGCTAGCGCTTTGGCCTCGGCCGTCATTGTCTGGTGGATTTCAACAACAAGACATTCTTTTCTATAGCAGAGTAGAGCTTTAGTTGAGCGTATTGGGCTTTGAATTTTGTCCACAGGATAGTTGGTTATCTCTAGAATAGTTCTAAAAATAATAAACGGTGTGGATAGCAGTCGTTACTAGCTGAAGAGTACGCGGCCGCTGCCCACTTCCACTATGCCTTATGAAATCGAAGGTTCCGAGACGTGTCTCGTCCAAAGTCTGAAATCCAGATTTCAACGTCATTCGACCACAGAAGTCCTAACTTGGGCTATTTTATGACTGATCGACGGCTACCGTTTCTCCATGTTCTGGCGATCTGATTTTGGGAAGACCTTCTAAGAGTCTGGTCTCGTCTAAATATACCCGTTGCTTGATTCATTCGCATAGTTTCAGCATCAGAACCTTCGCAAACCTCATGCATAGTTTGCTAGATTAACATCATTGATTCGTCAAAGGACTGGGACCGTTTTGGGGATTTCCAGGGTGCTTGCCAGTTTGGAGGCTCTGCGTGACGTGTGGGTGTCCTACTCTCTCAATGACTAGTTGTAGATGTCCTATAAGTATAAGCCTTTGACTATTCTCCCTTGGAAGGACTTTGACTATACCACTCCAACATATCAGAATCAACAGAAGTAGAAAGAACAAAACTCCTTACATAAAAATCATCAATCATGCAACTCAGACACGTCATCCTTCTCGCTCTCGCATCCCTCATCACAGCAACCTTCGACTTTGGCAACGCAGAAACATCAGTAAGTATCCCGATTCTAGAACCAAACCTTACTAACCTCTTCTCAGACACTCTCAACAGCAACAAGCCAAACAAAGAAGGGCTCTAAAACCGCAACCTCAGAAGCATCACTAGGCACGGGCAACGCAACTAAAGGAAATGGCACAAACTCAGTAGTCACAACACCGACTGCCTCAGCTAGGGCAAGCGCAGGAAAAGGGAATAGCACCAGTGGTGGAAAAGCAACAGGAAGTTCTGGGACTGCGAAACCAACTGGAGGAAGAGGAAACTCGACGGCGCCAATACCGAGTTTGAACGGAGCCGGTGTCGTACAGAGCGGTGGACTCGTGACGTTGCTGGGACTGGGTATGGGATTCGTGTTGTTCTTGTAGGATAAGGTGGTTCTTTGGATTTTGGGACTGGGGAGTCTGGACTACTATCTTTTAGCGGCATGGTATGGTTGGATCTTGGGTGCGTTCTGGAGCTGGACGCTTTCGGTTAGCGGCATAAAATAAATCTTCGTCGAGTCAACAGGAGTATCGCATTGACCAATGTGATGAAGACCAGAAGTAATTACCCGGCTTCGTCAGCCGCGGACACCTCTTCAAATCGGTAAAAGGTGTGATTTGAAGATCTGGGAATTCGAAATGAATTCGTTACCGATTAACTGCTCGTGTGATATGTGAAAACAGGCCAAGAGACCCTTGGAAGCATTCATGTCGTCAAAACCCCTTCGATCAATTCTCGCTTCGATACCGTGTCAGATCTTGGCTCTTCGAGGACGTATCAAATTTCCTTCTCCGGCGCCTAAAGCCAAACGACTTTGAAATGTTGAATACAATAATACTCAATCCCGTGGTTTATAAGACGATTAAAATTAGTTAAGTTTGATTTATTCTTCCTAGGAGGATAAATCAGTTTGTTACTGTATTATAAATCACGATAGTATAGCTGAGTACAAAAGTATAGTTTTTTAATAAATGGTACTCAGGTGATGTAAAAGGAAGTTTAATGTGTCCGCGTAGAGCTTGGGTCGTACTGTGGTATTTATAAGCACATTGCATTTACCCCACCTCTTCCTGTAAGTGGTCAAGCCAGGAACAGAGTGTGATTGCTCCCGGTATCAGATTGTGGAATTATGATTTGCTGTGTCGTGGTAACTGTTGTATTGTCAGCCGGCCAAATTGGACTGCTGGGTATCTGCTTTCAAATGGAAGCCCGGATTTGCAGCTCAGTGTGCTGATCTTGGCCGATCTGAACCCACCAAAGGCGTGCTATCTATTTTTCTTAGAACGTTCTGCGGTATTTTCAAGAGACAAAGCTAACGATATGGAGAAAGATGTTTCGTAGTGAGGTCTTTTCGAGTAAGCTGCCACGCGGTGAACAATAAGCGGCAGTCGCGACTCGAATCACGACACTTATTCAATCAGACTGACGCAATACCGTATATTTCTTCAACTGGATTCGGTAAATCACAGTATTTAGTCAATTAGGTTGACAAAATAAGGTTATTTCGTCAATTTGTTTCAGTAAACAAGATGTTGTAGACTCGGCTTACCTTCCAACAATGATTCCGTCTTCCGCGAATCTGCTGCTGTATTTATACGAGTAGAGCTCGAGTAGAGCTCGTAGAGCAAACGCAGGCAGAATCTCGAATTCTCGAGATTGATACTCTTTATCGCCGATAGAAATGATTCGCGCTAGGACTTTATTTGAACAAACTCCGGCACCTGGCTCATATCTCCGCCCAGATAATCCACCATTTTCTCACCTTCTTCGCCTTGGCTCAGATATGAAGTCACCATCCGTAAACGAGCGAGGCTTGAATAGGAAATTGGTGGACGCTCTGCCGCAGTCTGATAACATTATGGCTAATGCACGATGTTCCTGCACCCCTAATTTGAGCTCTCAGTCGTCATCGGTGTTGAGCCCAATCAACCCTCGTCATCGCGGATTTTTTGCATCAAATTTCTGTGATTTCTCAGCAGCCTTATCCAGAAACATACGCCCAGACCGCCATGTTGATGTTCGAGTGCAAGAAAGAGGGTCAAGAAGTCGGTATTCGTTCGGTCTCTTTTAAATAAGAAGTGGAAATCTTGAAGGGTTTGCAAGCGCACTTTTAAGTATCTTTCTGTCGGCGGCCCGGACAGTTTACCGGCAGATTCGTTGGCTCTTACTAAATAAGGTAATGACAGCTCGATCGGGCAAGAGTAGTACATTGGTTTCCATTGTTTTCGTGACCGCGACTAACGGCGGAGCTTTTCAGGTGTTTTTGAAGAACTCCCCATTTGTAAGATTCTTGGCCTGGGAAGGTTAATAATCCACTTGCGCTAGGGCTGGCTCAAGTTGGAGAAAAAGACCTTTTAAGTATACAACAAGGACTGATGTTTCCCAGCTATCCAAGTTCCAAGCTCCGTTAGGTGAGCGCCAAACCAAAGTCCGTCTTAAGTCCAATTTCGGCCGAAAAGCACGAATTATTGGCAGGATAGATATACAGTGACTCGACGCCGTCTCGACCTGTCAATACGAGCCTGTTCTACTTGTCTCAACGTTCATTTCGACCGTCGCCGCCATGTTGTACACGCAGTCGGACCGCATGTTCACAGCATGCACACGGGAACGACGAGAAGAAGTGCCAATGCACAACCGAGACGAAACTTTCCCAGAGCAGTCAAGGAGTACGGATGATCCATCATCGTCTTCTTCTCAGACTGATGTTGAGAATGATGGTACATGGGGTGAAAGAGATGTGGGCGGGCCCGTTGATCTCAGACATGCTATGCAGGAGTATGAGGAGATGAGAAGGGAATTGACAGCATTGTCGAAAACACGAAGTACTAGAACTGAGAGGCCGAAGTCGAGAGCGTCGGCTTTGAGAAAGATCTCTAGCAGAGCAAGCCGACGTTCACGTACGACGGCGCCAGCAGAAGATGAAGATTCTGATGTTGAAGCACAGGATGGGGAACGGGACGCGGATGATTTTCAATTGGGAGATTTCCTGAAAGATGGACATTTCGAGAAGCGCCGGGAGGGAAGGTCTGCGAAGAAGGTGGGCGTAGTTTACAAAAATCTCACAGTAGAAGGAGTTGGAGCTACCGAGGTCTTTGTGAAGACACTGCCAGGGGCTATATTAGGGGTAAGATCTCTTTTTTGGTCCTGTTTTACACTCAAGCTAACGCCATTGTAGACTTTCGGTCCTGATTTATATAAACTGCTCTCGAGATTTATTCCTTTCCTACCACACGGCGCTCAAGGAAAGAGACGAGCCTTAATCAACGACTTTTCTGGTGTGGTACGGGACGGAGAAATGCTTCTCGTACTTGGAAGGCCAGGCAGTGGCTGTAGCACTTTCTTGAAAGCAATTTCAAATGAAAGAGGAAGTTTTGCTGGAGTCAAAGGAGATGTCTCTTATGGTGGAATTCCAGCAGATGAGCAGAAGAAGAAATACCGAGGAGAAGTCAATTACAACGAGGAGGACGATCAGCATCTTCCAACCCTCACCGTGGGCCAGACACTTGAGTTTTCGCTGCTCAATAAGACGAAAAAGCATGAGAAAGGATCGATACCGATTATAATTTCGGGGCTGCTAAAACTTTTTGGCATAACCCACACACGAAACACACTAGTTGGAGACGTAGGTTTTCCATGCCACTGAGTAGGCGGGCATACTACTAATTAGGTGTTCAGGCTTTTGTACGAGGAGTTTCTGGTGGTGAGCGAAAGCGTGTTTCCATTGCAGAAACCTTGGCCACCAAATCTACGGTTGTTTCCTGGGACAACTCCACTCGTGGTCTTGACGCCTCCACAGCGTTAGATTATGCAAATTCTCTCCGAGTGATGACTGATATCAGCAACCGGACGACCCTTGTAACACTATATCAAGCCGGAGAAGGAATCTATGAGCTGATGGATAAAGTTCTCGTGATAGATGAAGGCCGCATGGTCTATCAAGGTATGTGTTTCAGCCCAAGAATACACATTAATATCTAATTACCTCAAACAGGTCCAGCAAATCAAGCCAGGAAGTATTTCAAAAATCTAGGATACTACGCTCCTGACAGACAAACTACCGCGGATTTCTTGACATCTTGCACAGATCCAACCGAAAGACGCTTCCAAGAGGATTTCCAAGGCCCGATCCCTAAAGGACCTGTCGAACTTGAGAAAGCTTTCCGCGAGAGCGAAGCCTACAAGCATGTGCTGGACGACATCGAGAGCTACGAGAAGATGCTTAGCGAGACTGATCATGCCGATGCCCGAGAGTTCGTCCAGGCTGTGGAGGAGGGCAAGTCAAAGACCGTGTCAAAACGATCTCCGTACACAGTTTCATTTATCCGACAAGTCCTTGCTTGTACCAAACGCGAGTTCTGGCTTACCTGGGGTGATAAAACAACACTTTATACTAAAGCTTTCATTATTATTTCAAACGCCTTGATTGTTGCATCTCTGTTCTACGGGACAACTGATGACTCTGCTGGTGCCTTTTCGCGCGGCGGCACCCTTTTCTTTTCCATTCTCTTTCTTGGCTGGCTCCAACTCTCCGAGTTGATGAAGGCCGTCTCTGGACGGTCAGTTATTTCCAGGCACAACGAATATGCGTTTTACAGACCATCAGCGGTCGTGATTGCCCGAGTCGTTCAGGACATCCCCCTGATCTTTGTTCAGGTCATTCCTTTCTCAATTGTTATGGTAAGCATGGATGTCTCAACTATTGAGGAACAATTACTGACAAGTTACAGTATTTCTTGACTGGGCTTGATGTGGACGTCAGCAAATTCTGGATATATTTTCTATTCATATACATCACCACAATCTGTATAACAGCCCTTTATCGCATGTTTGCGGCTCTGTCGCCTACAATCGACGATGCTGTTAGGTTTTCTGGAACTGCACTCAATATCTTGATGTAAGTTGTCTGCACTGTGGATATGACATTGTTTCTCTTTAAATCAGCGCTTACTCTTTTTCAGTGTTTTCACCGGATATGTAATTTCAAAACCGCAACTTCTCAGCGAAAAGATATGGTTTGGGTGGTTGGTAAGAGAAAACCACCGAAGGCGTCAATCCTCTTCTAATTATTTTTAGTATTACGTCAACCCGATCGCATACAGTTTCGAGGCCGTGTTGACCAATCAATTTTATGGTAAAGTTTTGGACTGTGCTCCAGAGCAAACAGTTCCTCGAGGACCTGGTTATGATAATCCAGCATACCAAGGCTGCGCTATTACAGGTGCCCAAGTCGGGTCTTTGCGAACTCCTGGCCCAACGTATCTACAAACAACTTACGAGTATTCGAGGTCTAATTTGTGGAGAAACTTTGGTGTTGGTGAGTACTTCTGCTTTTTGCAGGCATGGTGTTTTTTTTGAACTGACATTTACCAGTAATCGCCTTTACCGTTCTTTACATCTTGGTCACCTCATTCGGCTCTGAAGTCTTCAACTTCACTAATTCTGGTGGAGGAGCTTTAGAATTCAAACGTTCAAAGTCAGCCAAGAACAAGGTCGATGGTGCCAAGAAGCAAGATGATGAAGAAAAGGGGGAGAGTCAGCCGCCAACCGTGACTTCAAGGTCTAGCGAGACATTGGATGGAGCTCAAGAGGAAGAGGTTCTTCATGAGATATCTGGTTCTGAAAGCGTCTTTACCTGGGAGAACGTGGAGTACACGGTTCCAACCGCTGATGGCGATCGAAAGCTTCTCAATAAGGTTAATGGCTATGCCAAACCCGGAATCAGTAAGTCCTTATGCCATTCCTTTCATTTGGCAGGCTCGCCTTGGAGAAAGTGCTGATTTTTACTTAGTGGTCGCCTTAATGGGCGCTAGTGGAGCTGGAAAAACGACTCTTCTTAACACTCTATCACAACGTCAAAGTACTGGAGTTGTCACTGGTGACATGCTCGTGGATGGCCGGCCTTTGGATGCCGAGTTTCAAAGGGGAACCGGCTTTTGCGAGCAGATGGATCTTCACGATGGCACTCAGTCGATCGAGGAAGCTTTGAGATTCTCAGCTCTTTTACGGCAAGACAGAAGTATCCCAAGGGAAGAAAAGCTCGCATACGTCGAAAAGATTCTCGATCTGCTTGAACTCCGTAGTACCAAGGACGCTTTAGTCAGATCGCTAGGAGTTGAACAACGGAAGCGTGTCACCATCGGAGTCGAACTGGCGGCTAAGCCTAACTTACTCCTTTTCTTGGACGAGCCGACATCTGGTCTTGACTCTCAGTCCGCATACAACATTGTCAGATTTTTGAAGAAACTTGCACGTGCTGGTCAAGCAATTGTCTGTACTATCCACCAACCTTCTTCCCTCCTTATTCAAGAATTCGACATGATTCTGGCACTGAACCCTGGAGGAAACACGTTTTACTTTGGGCCAGTCGGAGATAATGGTTCTGCTGTTACTAAATACTTCGCAGAGCGTGGCGTCGATTGTCCACCAAGCAAGAATGTTGCAGAATTCATTTTGGAAACGGCTGCGAAGGGTGGAAAGCGAAAAGACGGGAAGCGCTTGAATTGGAACGAAGAATGGTTGAACTCGGAAGAATTCAAAAACGTCAACAAGGAAATTGAACGGGTCAAGTCTGAACGAAGCAAGATCGAGACCGATTCCAGCATCGAGCTACGCGAATTCGCGTCCCCTGTCCTTGCACAAACCATCGAACTCACCAAACGGCTTTTCATTCAGTATTGGAGAGATCCGTCATACCTTTATGGAAAGCTTTTCGTCTCAGTAATTATTGGCATCTTTAACGGTTTCACTTTCTGGCAATTAGGTAACACTATTGCCGATATGCAAAACCGAATGTTTACATGCTTCTTGATCATCTTGATTCCGCCTACCATTGTCAATGGAGTCGTCCCAAAATTCTACCAAAACAGAGCAATATGGGAAGCGAGAGAACTGCCTTCGAAGATTTACGGATGGCAAGCTTTCTGCACGGCAAACGTTTTAGCTGAGATCCCCATTGCAATTCTTGGGGGGACCATATACTGGGCTTTGTGGTACTGGCCGGCTGGTCTTCCGACGGACTCATCAACCGCTGGTTACGTGTACCTCATGAGTATATTATTCGTAAGTCTAATGTCCGGTCATTCTATTTTATGATACTTACAGAATACAGTTCCTGTTCCAAGCTTCATGGGGCCAATGGATTTGTGCGTTCGCGCCCTCGTTCACCGTTATATCCAACGTTCTGCCATTCTTCTTCGTTATGGTCGGTCTCTTCAATGGTGTCGTTCGTCCATACAGTCAGATGCCTAGTGTGTGGCGCTATTTTGTGTACTATTTGAATCCGGCAACGTATTGGGCAAGTACTTCTAGAAATCCCAAATCTAACTTGACTAACTCTTATAGATTGGCGGTAACATAGCAGCAACCCTGTCTAAAACACGCGTCCAATGTGACCCTGTGGAAGCAGCATATTTCAACCCACCAGCGGGTTCGACTTGTTCGTCATACGCTTCCGCCTTTGTAACCCAGGTCGGTCAAGGTTATCTCACAAACCCAGACGCGACCACGAACTGCGGCTACTGCCAATATGCTTCCGGCGTGGAATACATGGCTACACTTAACGTCAAGCCTAGTGATAAATGGCGGGATTTCGGTATCTTCCTTGCGTTCTGTATCAGTAATTGGGCGCTGGTTTACTTTTTCATCTACACCGTCCGCATTAAAGGGTGGTCATTTGGTTTTGGAACTCTTTTTGGACTTGGCGGAAAGGTTATCAAGGCTGTTAAGGGTTTGTTCAAGTCAAAGAAGGGCAAGAAGGTTGTTGAGGAGTAATAGATAGACAAATCGTCTATGAAAGGATGGATCGAATGGTTTTAGCGTTTTAACGAAAAGCGACTTGAGAACTTACAGCTTTTAATTAGAATCTCGAGACCACGATTTAGCGAATTATCAGTATTACTTTCTGTAGCGTTGTGTTTGCTCTGGGTGTACTCGCTCTAGATGTGGCTGCCATTCATGTGATCGCTGTTATGTGTATCCGACTGCCAGTCTTGTGCACAAGACAAAGAAGAAGCTCCTGCCTATCACGTCAGCTTCAGATCGTGATTGAGCGAAGGCATGCACTCTTAGAATTTCATATTTGCTGAAGACGATTGACGAAATATATCGTATTCTGTCAAGCCAAACGAGTAATTATCTTGTTCCGACTGCCAGTTATTATCCACGAGGCAGGAGCGAGGGTCTCTGAGTTGGTCGGTCAAGCAAAAAATAAAGCTCGATATCTGCCTATAGTAAAAGTATGGTGTGGTAGATTCAGCTTACGGTGAGCTTACTGATATTATACGACACTCTTCTCATCCAAAGGTATGTCGCAGCAACTTCTGTGGCTACAAGGAGAAACAGCTTGTATCTCGAGGACGACTTCATGAAATGACTGCTGATTGCTAGGCTGTTAATTTGGTCCTAGGAAGAACACACAAGTGCCGTCGGCATATGTTGGATTTTATCCAATCACATTTGCTAAACAAATCGTAAGGTTCTTCTCGTGAATATGGTCGCAGCACAATCTCACTGCGGCGCAGATTTCGGAAGCGGCTAGAACCCCACGAAATGAGTTACTGTACCACCGAGATGTCAGAATCAAAATAGGTATTGATTTTCGTGGCTTCTTCATGTATCTCGTCGGACATTGAAATGAGGTGCCGCCAAATTCTTGGGCCACATCAACAAACAACGTCGCGCCCTCAATTCCCACTCAACGCAAGCAAAGCTAATGGTCTCCCCATGGTCGCGACTGTTTTAAAGCTATGTTGGTGTTGGAGTTTATGCTTTGCGAACAGCGGCCACTTCTATATATACTCTCGTCCAGCCAGTCGTACGCAGCCCGTCTCGTTGGATTCTCGCTTTATGTCAATCAGCCTCACGCGCATGCAGCAAACGACCAAGTGTCCTCGTTTCAGCTCGGAATCCTACCCAACCTGCGGCTATCACCCGGTATAGAATTTTACGCAGTCGAACGCCTCATGATTGAATCCGCTACCGCGAAAGTCTGACCACAAGGCTGGAGGGCTACACGACGGCGCAGCTTCGCGAGACACGTTGATTGACCAGATGGGGACCCTTAAGGATTGTCTCCCCTGCGCAGGGCTGTTTGCGCTGGAGATGAGAGGGTGCACAAGGCGAGATGTTGGGGGAGCACGGCCTTGTTGATCCTGGGGTTACAACAGTTGAGGGTTAGGATTTTGTTTAAATACTTTCTCTGCCTCCTCCCTTCTGCTTGGCATATTTACCAACATTTCTCATTCCTCTTGTGTCTTGCTTCAATTGAACAAATCTCTATTTTACTTAAATTTATTCGATACAAACACAATACTTTCAATATGCCTAATGAATGGAAAAACGGCCTCTGCAGCTGCATGCCTTGTGGACTGTGTACGTAAACTCGAAATTTGAACATCTGGCATCCAATTCTAATTTTTGTTCAGGCATGAAGAGTTACTTCTGTCCTTGTATTCTCGTCGGTCAAAATCACGCTCGAATCCACAAAGGAACGCAAAAAGAAGATGCTTGTAGTGGGTGGTGCGCAGGATGGTGTGGATTGACGAGTTGTCTTGGTCTTGGATGGATTTTACAAATGATGGATCGTATGGAGATGCAAGATAAACATAGTACGATCTTCTTCTCACAGTTCTGTAGCGACATTCTAACAATTGGCAACAGATCTCGAAGGTGGTGGTTGTGGTGCTTGCTGCAAGTCCTTCTGGTGTGGATGCTGCATGAACATTCAGATGTCGAAGGAACTCGATTATATTCAACTCCAGCAGCAACAGGGTGGTTATGCTAGCAACCAGGGGATGGTTGCGAAGCCTCAACAGTATCACGGTTAAAATATGTTACAACTTCTTGTGGGACGCCCGGTTAGCTTGGAGTTTGGGTATGCAATGGCTTGGGTTGTTTAATTTGTTAGTAATTTGTTAGGAGTACCAAGGATTCAATACCCATATTATTCATATTGTTCACTGCGACCATTGAATTTCTGAATAATTGTAGGTTATTTCTTTCGTGACGGAGCTGAATATGCCGCTTAGACTTTGACTTCGACCAAGCCAAGTTATCTCGAGACTGTCATAGTTTGACTTATCGGATCATCACATATCAATAACCAAAAGCTGAACATTCCACAGCCGATCAAAGTCCTTACTCCGATCCTTGACGCCTTCGTTTCAAGTCTTCGTAGGGCTGAGAAGCATATGTCTCAAACTGCGAGCCAATAGCATTTTGTATTGACCGCGCAAGTTCATGGCGTGTAGCTTTTGCCCATCGGTTGAATGTTTTCTCAGATTGAAGATACCCAAGAATTAGACTATTGAGTAGTACACGCAGATACAAGAAACTCAGAGTTGATCTCTGGAGTCTGGTGTTTTGAGACGCGACATGGAAATGCAAAAGTCTTAATCATTTTGGAAATCTTGGTCCGCATCTTCGACACTTAAGCTTAATATATGGCGTTTCGCACAGATTAAAGTATGTCTATGGCAATTTAAGCTTTTATGGGGGTTTTGGTCTAAAGACCTCATTTTGACTCAACGTTGTTGTACAAATTTTACCTGCTCAGTGACATGCCAACAGACAAGGGGCTGGATGTAGAAAGACCAGTTTAAAATCAATACAAAGTATTACTTCAAGTTGTTTTCCAAGGAATAATTCAAAAGATTATACATTAGAACACTTGGACAATAGAGTAATCGAAGATGTCGCAGATATTTCATGTTGGTTGTGGGTAAAATAAGACAACACCATCTATACCTACATAATGTGACTAGAATTTAGAGACTAAATAGAGTTACTCTATGCTACTGACACCGCAAAACCAATCAATCCATACCAAATGGGAAACCCTGGTAATAAGGAAGGTGCAACACGAAGTTTGTATGTGTGGAGTTGATGTGTATTCTAAGAAGTTTTGTCTCTACATTAGATCTACAAAAATGGTAAGCTACTTCGTAAGGACATATTTCTCTATATAAAAAAAGAGGATTGTGTATTATATAAAATATCTGAACACCGAATCAACGATCAAGAGGTTTTAGCAAACCAAATCACCTCAAATGTAATACCGATATCAATCTATTTACTAGTGGGATACCGATCAATAAAAAGAAGACTTTTTTTGAAACACATCCATTACACTAATGCCATATATGCATCATTCGCACGTCATAGAGTACATAAATAACGCCAAAGTACAACTATATCGACTTCCCAATCTTCTCCCTCGTACTTCTGTCCTATGCATGGTTTTAATCAGCTATAAAGCCTACTCATCATGTTTTCATAACAGGGAGTAGTACGTGTGAATATCTATTCACAGCTCACAATTGTGTCAAAAAAAGGAGGCGAGCGGGAAATAGGAGAAAGGGGACTTGTATGCTGTCAAAATAGAGCTCACTACCGAAACTCCCCGCATCATTAAAATTATGTATCAGAACGCACTTCCATGTTCAGCCATATCACACCCTAAATTCAAAAGAGAGCATACGAACAGGTGTACCAAAGTACACCTTCTGATGTATGGCCATACACCGACGACCGCAATAGGGGAGTTTGTGCAAAAGTTCAAGTTCCTGGCAAGTTACACAACTGGATGAATTTCCTCTTAAACTTGCTTATGCTAAGCTATCAGCCACTCTAGACGCCAAGCCTTCTAATATCATAAGTTTACTATCTAGCGTTTAAGTTAGAGCGCGTTTTTGTCTTGAATTATATCGACTAGAAAGACAGTCTATCTGATTATCAATTCCTGTACAATTCAACTCGCATTCACTTCTAAGTCTAGACCTCTGGCTGAGGTAGTGCTTCACATCTTATATCTTGTGAAAGTGGAAGTCATATACTGATTAATCTGTGCTGTAGAATTCGTAGATGCGATTTCCAGACTGCCAGACATACTTGTAGATGTGATAGAAAGTATGTAATTATTGAAATTTGCAAAGCAAGAAAAAAGAGTATTTCCTAGCACGCCGTTACAAACGCTCTTATTTTCATAAAAAGATCCATAGCTTTTCTGGCGTTGTGATGGCTAATCAAGCCTTTGAATATGGATGAGGTCAATTTGTAGGACGAATAAGGAAGTATAATTAATTCAAAGCTACATCACTGAACTGGAACGACATCTCACAACGCTACCATTTGTATTTTTAATACTTGGATTTGATCGGCACCTATGGATCTAAACATATCTCATGGACCTCCTCCAGTGACTCCACGCAAACCAGATCCATAGCCCAGTCCCCACTTCCTCACTCTAAAGTATCCATCAACTCTAGGCAAGAGCAAAATAACATTTTTACAAACCCAGACCCCGTTGCCTCAGCAAACAAGATATATCAGCCGTAATTCGTAGAACAGGGCCATCTAAGAACCCCTATTCATTTGTAGTTTGGACCCAATTCCCCCCATTATCCCATCCGAAAAGCGTGTGCGTGGACTCAAAATGTCTAAACCAAAATGAGAGCCCTGAGCCAGTTCCCCAAACCATCCCGAGAAATTAACGTAATCCCGTGAGAAACCTGGTGACCCATTTATGAATTCGATTCAAAAAATACAAGAAAAGCATTAGCTAATTGCGAGAAGATGCAAGAAGCAGATCGATGTAACCCCCAGAACGCCGGTCGTCGTGTCGACAATGAATAGTATTATGTAACAGTGAGAAATTCAAGTGCACCATCTGTATGTACGCATTATCGAAGGTGACAAGTTCGTCGGTCCGGTTTCTGATGACTGTGACATGCCAGCAGATTTATCGTCTCCAACCAACATTCCATATAACATGTGCGATATCCTTGGCGGTATTTACAGTATCAACAACCTTTCCGAAGAGCCCTTCCGATACGACGTCATCCTCATCTTCCTCGTAAGGCATGAACATTCCGGACGGCGTTCTTCTCATCCCACTGGGCTCACCGCTGAGACTCGATGATGATCCTGACTTCTTGAGTCCCGATGACAGTCGATCTTGAGTAACCGCGACACTGTCCTTGCGTGCACCAAAAGAGCCTGATGGTTGCCAATCGAGATCGTCGTCGTCTTCATCATCCTCTCCCAACAGGATCCGTGATGATGGTTTCGAGGGCCTCAATGTTTCCTGGGATGGCGAGGGAGAGAGTCTATTACCACTCCAGATGCCACTACTATGCTTCATAGCTGTTTCTTGTGGCTCGGGTGTATCCTCACGGTATTTTAATGTAGTCGAAGGAAGAGTAGCAATCGTCTTGGTCTCGGTATTGTTCTGGCGAGCTGCGGGACGTTTGCTGTGTAATGGAGGTAACTTCCGCTTCGAGTTACTTCTCTTCATCATAATAGCACCATCGTCGGAATCACTGTCATCGTACTCCTGCGGATAGATATCTGGTTCCTCTTCATCACCCTTGATATCTAAGGCGATGCATTGCTCGACCTGTTCGTTGAAATGGATATGACGTCGTTCATTTGGTGATTCCAATCCAGAAGAGGAGATTGAAGGTTGTGTGCTGGTATGAGGACTCAGTCGTGAAGAAAATGGATATGCGTATTCCGATGTAGCCCGTCCAAGTAATGGTCTGTCACCATGTGTTGACTGCTGGGCCTGAATTGCCGCTGCAGCTTGCTTGAGAAGAGAGGAAGAAGAGAGTGACTTTTGCAGCATAATCTCTGACATGCTTCTCTTTTTCAAAATTGGTTTCTTATTGAGAAAAGAGTTCGATTTTGATAATTTGCTGCTGCCAATAGGAGAAGGGGGCTGAAGGTGTAAAGACTTGTCCTGGCCGGATTGAAGAGGCCCATACAACCAAGTAACGTCACAATCTTTTAACCTATCAATTGGTCAATAACGGGTCCTACGACAATATTTTCAAGGTTTCTTACCAATTAAGCTTTTCTGGGGAGACGGTTTTCAGCTGATTCTTCGATTTCGTCCATGTCCGCCATGAGGCATTTTCTAATCGCGCACTGTTATTGTAAACACCGCGTTTTGATACAATGTGCTTCCATGACGACCAGATATCCTCTTCGTTCCAATTGTGGGATAGATAATCAACGTGCCGCGAAGGCTCGGTTCTTACCGCGGTATCATCTTCAGCGTGTTCTACTGGGGTCGGAGATCCTGGTCTCGATACGTTCGTGGAAGTTGAAGCCGATGTGGGGGATACGGTATAGGAATCACCCGTCCGGGGGCTCGCCGGTGGTTCCAGATCTTCTAACTGGTCGTGGTCAAAATATCCTACGTCGTCGTACGAGGGGAATGCAATCTGATCGTCGTCGTCGGCGTCGTTTTCGCAATTCGCATCGAGGGAGAGACTGCTGGCTGGGGTAGATGAGAATGACGGCGCCGCGGAATCTGCATGCAAAGTTCTAGGAGACGAAGTGGTCGATGAAGAAGTCGAGTTGGAAGGGGATATTATCGTGCCAAAGCCGCTACTTGATTTAGGTCTCGAGGGGAGCGCGAAGGACGATGGTGTGATGAATTTTGGCTGCGAATGCGAACGTCGTAGCGGCCCTGAGGAGAAGTAGTTATTCTCTTCAGATTGGAGGACCACTGCCATTTCGTTTGAAAATGCACCCGAGTCGAACAGAATAGCGGAGCGGTTTAAGGTCGCAGTGGACCAATGTATCAAAAGTCCTCTTGCCTGGTATCTACCGGTTCCTGTCCCAAATTCGCGTTTTCCGTGCCGAACGTTCCCTCACTCACACCACGCGTTCAGAAAATTCAATGGCGTCTCTCATTAATATGTTCTCAGTTATCGTCCGAGGATTGTTCGTGGAGGAGGCGAGAGAGCGGTGACGAGAAACAGCTGGATGGATATGCGGTTTTCCGCGATACTTTTATGATGTGGGGAACCTGGGGATGCCTCGGGAGGATGGGTCGATCGATTGGCGGTTTGGAAGAGGAAGTAATGCTCGCGGGAGAAGAAATTGGGGACGTAATGTGAATATGGTCGTCTCGAGAGTGAATAGAGGAGTGGAAGAGAGGAGAATGAATGGATGGTGATGGAGGTGGAGGTGGTGGTGGTGGAAGTAGTCGGATTGGGGTAACGAGTAAAGGTTGCAGGTCACATAGAGTGCAGCTCCCGTACTCTACTACTCTGTGTGCGGTAAAACGGCGGGGCGGTGGGAGGGCAAAGAGCAGGAAAATGCTGTTGCGGAGGCTCCTAGAGCGGCACTAGGCCCTTAGCGAGCAGCCTCTTCTGGGGCGGCCCAGTCGAAGGCTCTGCCCCTACGAGCTAGCAAGGGGCCTGGGAGTTCCAGAAGCGCAGGACGAATTTGCCTTCATTACCCCATGTGGCTAAAGCGGCAAGGCGGTGTCTGGTCGAATACTTCAAGGTCAACCTCGACTTCTTCACCAGATATAATGCCTTCATTTTCATTGTATCATCACATTCACAGACTCACCCGGCTTCAGCGGATTCGGCTTTGCCGTCGCAAATGAACTTTTCCAATAATTGCTGGCCGCTCTGAGCTCTCTACCTTCAGCGGGCATTGTACTTCGAAGTATATTCCAAACGGCGTTGACTAATAGCAATGTCGCTCAAACCTTGCCGCTTTCCTTCCATGCAACCTAACGAGGGGCGACCGACGGCTTCACAGCGAAAAAAATCGAGACAGGGAGGCTCTGGGCCAGCAGAAATAATACAGCATCATGGTACTCGTCGTCTCCTACTCCTTTCCTGGTGAGAACTCGCCCACCCGCTTACGCACGCCAATCGAATCACTCACTTGAACGAACTCTTTTACGAGCTTGCGGCATTACTCGTCGGGGTCACAAACCCTCTTCCGGCTCTGTCATAGTCGAACGCGGCACGAATTTGGCATGTACGAAGTACTTGTAGCTACGAAGTATGGCGAATATCAAGCGATGCAGGCATCCAAAGTCGGTGCGATTGTTGTCGAATTCTTTCCGCATCCTCCCTTTGTGCCCCCTTTCCCCTCAAAAAGCCGCCCCGTCACACCAAAGACGTGGAATTATTCGTCGACACGTTCTTTGTGTTGTATTCCTTGGGTGCTCGGTCTGGTCGTTGATGGTTAGAGTTTGTCTATCAGTGCCAATACACCAGTCCCGGGGAATCTGGAGCATCCTCGGAGAAACATTTCCGAAGGGAAGGAGAGCTGGAACAATACAAAGTAAACCATACTCCGTAGGACGTCTTCAATCATACTTGAAATCTTCCCCAGATGCGGCAAGCCATGACCTTGGACACAGACTGGTCGTGATAGGCACCATGCAACATACACGCCATGCAGAGCGACATGAATCCAAGTACATCTTGACCATACCTGATCAAATAATAGCTAGAGGTTGATCAATAGCTATCTGGAAGTGGAGTTGGTCTGTACGACCTTAGGTTGATTGGAAAAGCAGCATCAAACGATTGGAAGCATTTACTCCCTTGGTTCCAGCTTTCTGGTTTTCCCAGTTGCTTGCTTTTTCGACCCAGCAATGCTAATTAATAAACAGGAGCTGTCCCGCATCACAACGGCGTTGGAATTCCTCCATACATTCCTTATCATTAGAGCTACTCGACACACCAGACAGTGTCGAGTCTTCAGAGCTCATATCCCCTTGCAACGAAGTGGGATCAATGCATAGTTACTGCCTGCAGTCCACAGCTCCATGTTTGCACCATAAAAAAGTCTAATATACTTGACCGTCATGTTATATTCCAGCCCTCTCAAAAATTGAGCAGTCCTTGAGTACTGTATACATGGACAACGCATGATACCCACTTCATTATCCTCCCTACCCTTGTCACCCCCATCTTATCCACATCACCCCAAGAAATGTCTGAATGGTCTGGCCATATTGTGGCTTGCCTGCTGCACCCGAACAGCCGAAGCGTTGCGTGCGACCCCCAAGAATATTGGCTTCACCCACGAGATCGTCCATATTTCGTGGGGTGAAACATCGATTTAACTTTATTATCACATCTAAGACTGCCAACGTGGGGTAGAAAGTTAGTGATTGAGATTATATTGATATCTGAATAGACGCTACTCTTCTCTTCACATACAAATTCCTTATCACGATCTATCCATGCTACCTATTAAGCTTGGATTGACAGCGTCCATCAAACCTGGCTGCAGGTATTACGTATATCTTCGAATATGAACCATAACAAAAGTGCTCGCAGCTTCTGAAGGCTGATCGCTTATGTCGTCCACATCGAGGCGTCAAGCCACCAGAAGCCGTTTACGCCAAACCTTACTTCGGTCTTCTTTCAGTTAATGCTACCCTTAGCGCAAGATCAAATACCTCGCATTGTTAGCAACTCCTTTTCAAGGCATATGCGCCGCCATCTTCATAAACCGCCGCGAATTGGTTTCGTATACTTCTTGCGTTAGGAATACGTCATTGAGCTCCAAGTCTAAAGTTTCAAAAGCACCAGCACCATGGGCTGCAAATCGATCTGATTATGAAGTTCTCATCACTTTGGAATTGCTGTTTCACTCCGGATTCGCTTCAAATTCCTCATTTGATCTTTAGGGTCTTACCTAAAATGTTCTCCCGCGCTTCTCTTGATAGACAAAGTACGCTCTGGCTCCGGTGTTTCTCGTCGTGGCATTCGAAGTTGCTGTACTACAATCACGCAACACGATCGATTACTCTGCCATGCTAACTCCGATCGGTTTTTCGAAATTCATCTGAGGAATTTAGGACCAAGAAGTATAAATGCTCTTTCGGATTAGACCACCCAGATTTATATCAATAAGCATTGACGTCGAAGAATAATCCAAAAGCAGAGACACATGTTCTAAATAGCGCCGCTCGTTGATCATCCTTCTTGTTGAGTTTGATATCAAAAGAAACGTTCTTGTACACATTGCGCATCCTTGGAGAAGAAGTTGCTTGCGAGTTGATGAGCTGAGTCCACCTACGCGCATATAGAAATGCAATATAAAATCTACTATAACCTCCTCTTCCCTAGGATAATTCATCGAGTGTTGTCGATTCATGAAACATATGGTACATGCATTGTGGCGTTACACATCCCATTTTTGCTGTCCTATGCGGCTCACTATGCTACAGTCCAATCTCGGTATCACTATCTTGATTCATTGTAAAATCAGATACCATATGTCTCCGAACCTAACTAGATGAGGTCAAAATCATGGATCAATTCGTTCTGCCAATAATACGCGAAGTACTTCCTACATCTCCCGCAGACCATTTCACGGTTGGTGGTTAATAGACGCGCATCGCATTGCATAAGAGTGGGTACGTAAACCTGTTTTGCGAACGGTATTTACATACCGCATGCAGGAGGGCTTGCATATGTATATGTTGGATATGGAAGAATATAAGCCATCGGCGGTGAGGAGACACAACATTATTATTCTAATCGGTCAGAACAGAGAATGAAAATAACCAAATTGGGTCCATCACTTCGATCGTAACACCCGACAACTCACCTACCTAACCGCTCTTGTATCACGACATAATCAGCACTTTATATCGACCGTGTAAATGCCACGATGTTTGGTGGGTTGGCTTGCATGAGGATGGGACTGCCAATGTAGATAAGGTGTTACTGTACCTTTGCATCGTAGGACTTATGTCCGGAATTTTGATCCGCCCTCTTAGACGGGAAGAAACTTGACGGCTTTCTGTGCGGTATGTACCCTTTCTGGATATCTTGTTGTGTTGTATGAAGGATTTTAATCTAGAAAGATATAGATGCATTCGACCGTATGTCGTACGATGTCTGAAAGGAGATGGATACAATTCGAAGAAGGAACGGTTCAACCGGTACAGTCCATCCAAGCATACCGTTTAGTGTATTTGTGGGTTCACTTGGCGACTGGACTTCTCCACCCGGAAGGTGAATCATTTGATTTCCGGATAATTGCCCGATTGGATTCTGAACCTCTGATACCATTTATACTTTGCGGTATAAAAATCACCAGGAAGGGCGAGGGGAAAGCTGGGAGGTCTGAGCGATAACTTTCCACTAACGTTAGTTCTACTTCAGATCGGGATCTTACTCCATGCGCTTGTACTTCTATACCTTCAATTCATTTTCTACTAATCACAGTATCCATCCCATGACGCTCTCTTCAATTATTACGGCATCTTTAACCTCCCACTCTTGCACTCAGCCCTTCAAAGTCTAGACCTCAACCACCGTATCAAGTGGATCACCAAACGGGAGCAATCACTCAAAAGATAAGATGACGTGCAGGCAGGCATACATAAACTCCACTCCCTTATCCCTATATAACCCGCTTACTAGGCATACGGAGTATATTTCGCATCAAACGGCACGATTATTATATTCGGCAAAATTTCTCCTTTACCACTCTCGAAGTTCAAAATTGAAGGAGATATTAGAAGTTGGCTATTTACTCGAGTCCCGAGGCCCTGGACACCTGTTGGTAATGAGGGGTCTTGCGGCATACCTGGCGCGGCTGAATAGGAAACGTTGAGATGGCTTACGAATAGCATCCTCGTATCGGAAGCGGTGGATGTTCCGAGATATGCAACTGTCTCCTTTCCTGGGATCAGATCCGTCATATTTGGCTTGTGAAATCTCCTTTGTCGGAGCATATA